CACACACACACACACACACACACACACAAAGACAAACACATAGGGTGTGGGTGATGACCAAACAGGGTGCTGTGGGTGAAAGATGAAAAGGAGCGTTTTGCATTAGCCTGCTAATGTCTTTGTTGTATTGCCAGTCCTGCCTACAGTTCTGTGTCATGACTCATGTCCTATCTAGAGCCACCAGAGCTCCATTTCTACATCATTGTGGCTCAATTTCACATCTTAGCACCATACTGTGCTTGTATGCAAAACTGAAAAGATCTCGGTTGCCATGGGATGCAAAAATCTTCTGATCAGATTTGCTTACACAGTGTCAAAAACACACATCACAAGCTTGAAACGGCACATTTGCAAAAGACAGCTTTCTGACTCCCCTGGACTGGTTTTGGATCCCAACTCATCAACCTACTATTTCTTAAAAAGAAAGGCTGTCTCAAAGGGATATTAGGGTCAAACACACCGCAACACCGAGTTAGACACCTCATCGAGAGATGAATGTTGCTGACCGCTTACTTCTCTAGTTATACCAACTTTAGTAACGAGCGCACGATAGCAATACAGAGCGGTCTGAGGAGCCATAAACAAACCTCAACCAAAACGCCACTCTATAGCCACAAATAATGTTCAGAACAGCACCTAACTTCATCAACAGTACATATAGGGTCCCAGCCATAGTACTAGCCACCAAACATCTTTTTAGCTTTGTCTGATTTCTTTAGCAAAGAGACTAAACACAACATACCTACTCTCTTCCAGCAGCCGCTTGTTTGTAGCGAGACCTCGGGCAAGTGCATTACGGACTACAGTGGGGTGACGCAGCTCAAGGAAGAACATTTGTGATCATTGCTTTATCATTTTCTTGAAGTACTAATCACCATATTAATCATTTTGTGTTTGACCCTAAATTAATTTTACGGCGGAATATCCCTTTAACAGTTTTAAGTTTCTGGATACAGTGGTGCATCCAATCTGCTTACTTTAATGACAGCTACAAGCGTGTTCTTGCATTAACACTAATGTTACTGTCACAGAATTATTAGCAGGGCTCTCCCACCACAAAACCATCAGATTACTGTTCAAGCATGCCTTGTTGTGGGGCCACAACAGTGACAGGTTATGATGAGACAGCACTCTCCCTTGTTAACTCAGGACTCTGCCATCATACCCACTGAACAAAGGGAGACCATGTCATGCCCACACAGTGTTGAGTCACCCATACAGACTTGTGCCTCTAAAGTCTGTTTATCAACATTACAGGTTGTAGTAAAGTGGTTCATAGCTTGATAGCTAATCTTAATGAAATCCCTCATTAGGTCACGAACATGCATAAAAAAAAAATCACAGTGAAAAAGTCTTATTGAATGATTCAAGAAACTTCTTAAGACAACACAAGTGCTTAATGGAGGTGGGTGGCACCCTCACAGCGATTATCATTACTGTACACTGAGATCAACCATCTAGCCAGCAGGACTCCATACTCCACATGATGCAAACAAGACAGTAAAAAGATGATAAAGAGAACTTATGCACTATGGGAAAACTGCATGTTGTGGTCTTTGCTGGATGCTACAGAAATCTTCACGCAGGAAGACTTTACACCTTTAGAAACTCCTTGAAACAAACTGTGTTGTCTACAATAGTGCCATCTTTATTTCTGATTTGATGGTAAAACTACAGACTTCATAAAAGAATATAAGTCAAGTACGGCTAAAGTTTGACCCCCTCTAGATGAAGGACTCTGTGAGGCAAAGTGGCAGGAATAGAAAAGAAGCTATTTTCAGAGGAAATGAGGTGTAGTAATAAATTTATGAAAAAATGCAAATAATTGCTGTTCCACCTTGAGACCTGGAAAAGGCAGCTGCACTACTATTGCACTCTTAAAGTTTTAATGAAGTGAGCTGTGAGGGCTCTCACCTGTCTTAAAGCCTTCTCTAAAGTCTGGCAAGATCCCTTCTCTAGAGTAGAAACAAGTTTTGTACAAAAGTTTATTGCTTTTTGACCTTTGAAAGAGCATTTCTACCATAATATATTGACTACTTTTCCTTCAGCAGCCATTATGCTGTACTTTGAAAAAGCAACGGCAGCTGACACTCTTTTATTGGCATGGCCTTAATGCTTGTAAAGCAGTAGTTTTTCCAATGATATAAGAAATAATAGGCTGAAGCGTTGTGGTATTGAATGTGCGAAGGCCTATTTTTTCCTCTTTTTTTCAGCCACAGGTTATGTTTACTATGTTATCATTGATATTTTACAATATCTGCATCTTTAGATACACTTCTCAAAAAATTACCTGCCCATTAGAAGCAGTTTTAATTGACTTATTTAGATTCCCATAGCCACCCCTGACAAAAAATTAAAAATAGGGCTGTACAGAAGAAAACTGATGGGGGACGAGGCTCACCTGACTAAATTACTTTTATGGATGTGTCTCTTCTCCACATGGGGGAGTCAGGATCTTTTGGTCTTGGTCTAACAAGCCATAATACGATTTATGAAAGGATAAGGATTTAGGGATAAGGATAAAGAGATGCCATTATATGGTAAAATGGAACAATTTGACTGAGATACATGTCAAGAGATCACGTTGTTTTGGATTTGGGACATTCACACAAAAGGGCAAATCACAGAGACCCATATTCATACAGAGAGAGGAGCCTTTGCCAAGCAACAGGCCATTTTTTTTAAATCAGGCTATTGTTTTGAATTATGTTGGGTACAGAATTGGATTACATGTTGCTAATGCTAAAAGTACAACTAGCTCTGTGCATTTATGACATGAGCATGCAAGAAAGGTATCACAGTAACCACAATAACACAACACAAGTCACAGCCACCACAAAAAACATTACAATATCCTTCAGCGGTACAAAAACATGACAGAAGTAAAGGCTAAAGCTGAAGCTACTTTTCACTCAACTGCATCAAAAGCACAACAACGCAAGCTAGCAGTCACTTAACCAAGCCCAACGGTTAAAAACGTTACTTTCAGCTCAGAGAGTTTACTCACACTTTTGCCGCAGTTTGGTCCAGAAGTTGTCTTCTCCCTCTCTTGTCTTCATCCTGAAATTAATCCCCCACTTTGGCAGGTACTCCAACATTTTTAAATCCTTCTATTTCGCGAATGGCGCCACAAACCTCCGCCATGTTCCAGCCGCGAATTTTTTTGGAAGGATGGTAGGGGAAGATCCCGCCCTCCTTCGCCTGTGATTGGCTAGAAGTGCTGGGCTCCGATTGGTTATTCCTAATGGCTGTTAAACTTCATCGTCTGTCGGGTTAGTGTTAAGGTTAGGAGATTTAGAAGTACTTTTAAATTATTTTAAATAAATTAACTTTTTTTTAAAATAAAGTTGGAATAATAAACAAAAGTGAAAACCCGCTCATAATCGGCACCATAAACTTTCCACAGGTGCATGCAACCATAGATATACATACAAATGCTAGATGGCCTAGCCAATGGAGACCGAAGTCCGTGCATGGTGGCCATTTTGCTACGGACGCTCGCCCACTCATAACATTACAGTATACAGTGCATGTAGCATTTAAAGAACCATAATTTGCTTAATTTTGAACCGATTTTCGAACGGTTTAGTTTGTGACAAACCTCAGAATTTAAGTTATATTCCTGCACACTCAAGAATAATTTTAACCATGGAATTTTCATAAATAAACATTAAACAGTTAGGTAGAGCAATAGCTATAGGCCTACACACAAGGCAGTTATATTAAATAATTAATATATATAAAATATTTAATCAGCCCATGTCTGTTATATTACTAATATTTCTATTATAGGGATAACTATAATAATATACAGCAATAACATATATAAATATTTATTTTCAATATAAATTTCTGCCTCATGTTGCCATTTTAGATATTTTTAACAAACCAAACAGTTTGGAAATCATGTGCAACTTAAGTTATGTTGAATCGAAAGAGCATTTCTGCCTCTCCAACTGATGTAAAATTGCTGGGTCAACATATTTGGTCTCACTCACAGCAAGCCTGTTAGCCAAATTAGATAGCTGATAAACACAAGCACATCCACATAGATATTTTTCACTTCGACTAAATAAATAAATAAACAGGCTGTCATTCAAGAAATCCAAATATCAATTGTGGTCTCCCTTGACAACTCGTGCAAAGCGGCTCAAAGTTAGCCCTTGCACACAAATAGCCGTGAAATAACTGTGCTGCATGATTAAGTCTTTTTTTCTCTCAAAGAAAAGCTGCTATTTCAATATGTCCAAGCATCTCAACTCATAGCCACGTTATTAAGATCTGTAATAAACAAAACCATTTGTAAATTTGTAAAGATTTCAGCAAGTTAAGAGTATTTTTGATCATGCAGATTACTTACCTCCCGCGTACCAGATTGGTATACTGGAGTAAGATGGCCGCCGTGTAGGGCCGCCAGTGACTCCGCCTTGAGTGATCTAGCCTTTCTTATATATATATATATATATATATATATATATATATATATATATATATATATATATATATATATATATATATATATATATATATATATATATATATATATATATATATATATATATATATATATATATATATATATATATATATATATATATATATATATATACACGCATGCACCGACATATCCCATTTGTCTTGGTGGCTACTACCTTACTCATAATATAATAATTTTATGCTGAAAGCAGGCTTGAAATAACACCAATTTATATTTTCATACATGAAGCACCCTTTTTTATTATTTTTTTTATTTACTGGGACAAAAATGCAGAGCTTTCAAATAATTTACTGGTGTAAGAGGTGGTAAACAGTGGGTAGATAGACTGGCACCTCTGGACCAATTTACCACCTGCCAAAAACAACTAATGAGCTGGCTGTATCAGCAGTATTGGTAGAGTGTGTAAATATGAAAAGCACACTACTTTTCCAATTTAATATGCTTGTTTGGGTCCACGGCATTTTCATGCAAATTACTAGAAAAAAATTTAAAAAATACACGCTTGGAACTGTTTACAATATTTATTGACAATGTATTAATTTCCATAGGTAGTTCATAGTAAAGACAGACACTGACTTGTTCAGGGCTTATCTTTAAAAAGGGTACAGCTCTGGGTTTTTGGGAATGTTCTTGTGAGTGGCACATACAGGATTTTTCAAGGTGGCGGGTGTTGAGAGGATAAGGATTGATGCTCCTTGGAGTGAAGTCCAGGGCAGCAGTAGGCTAAGGCTTCTTCTGTGAGTGTGTGCAAACATACACTGTCACCAAGGTGTGTCATTTAGGCTTTTAGGATGTCACTTTGTCCTTGCTTTCCAGAGTTCACTCTGCCATCTGATGAAAACCTTTTATTTCCAAAAAGCCTTAACGTTCTACTGACAAAGAAAAAAAGCCATTTTTGAACCATTCCACCATGTATTTTTTAAACTTCATACAAGGATTATGAAAGGATCTTATAAGCATACATATCATTGCTTTTCCAGAACCCCTATAAGATAATTTAATCATTCTGTATAGTATAAAGGTGAAAATTCCGAAAAGTTATATTTACAACAATACTGTTTGCTTTTTTTTTCTTTTTTTCCCCACAGGAGTATAGAAGTATAAAAATATATGAAACAAAAATGCATTGTGAAGTACAAACACATATTCAAAGTGTAGAATTAATGAAGCAGACCTTTCTTGCCAGTATCTGCTGTGCTTTTAAAACACAGTACAGTCTGGCTGACATACATCCAGTACACACTCTCATACTCAAACATACTCATACTCAACTATGTCATATCACACATAGAACAATAGTGAAGATTAAGAAATATATCTAAATTGGGTAGGGTAAAACTTGTATATGGCTGAGTTGGATTAAGTACCTTAATGACTTTAATCATAATGTTTGGATTCTGCCAATGCTGTAAAATATATCACACCGTTAGTACTGTTAACATACTGTGTGATTTCTGTACAACAAAGGGAGCGAAGAGGTTAAAATGATAAAATATCTGAAAGAAGCTCACTAAGGTACTTGTCCTTAAATACAATTCTTGTGTTGAAATTGTTGTTTGTGTCGTGTTGTGTGGTGTAGTGTTGTCAGTAATGTGACTTGTGCTGACCTGAGATGGTTGTATTTTGGGCCGATATAAGGGCATCGCTTGCCTTTTTATCACTTCACCCTTTTATGTGTTTGTGTGTGAAAAGTGGTGTGCACTGAGCTGAAATTAGCTGATCATTGGTACAAGAAATTGTTATACTTTTGCTGACACACTACAGCAAATACATGCTGTATAAGAATATCAACTACATTCATGAATATATTATGTTAAATTTTGGCAAAACCAAAGAAAATGTGCTTTGAGAGATAGAGCAAAAACCAACAAAAAGTGATCAAGTGACACTAAAAAATAGAATATTTACATTATTTCAAATCAGCATTTGCATTCTCTTAACTTTTAAGTAAAAATTCTAACAAAATTTGCTTTTATTTTTTCTCTTGAAAGCTCATAGCTATTATTTACAGGAATAATATGTTCCAATCGATGATTAATAATATTCTATCTTATATGTACAACCTTAATTGAATTAACATATGGGGACTTCTTCCTAAATTGAGTAAACTTGTGAAGAAAGTAGGACTTTTAAAAGAACTTTAAGTCTACCAGGATCCTTCATATACAGTACATGTTTTTTAAATAGGAAACATATAAATAAAAGATAGATGAGCAGAAGGTTGTTTAAATAATCACCAGATGTAAAAAATACAAATACACAATCTTCTAGTTATTTATATTTTTTACCTACATAAATGATTTTATAATTTGAAAAAGAAGATGTAAACACCACTGAGGTGAAAGTCCAACTCTCATACTCTTCAGGGCTCCTCTCGTTCATTGGGCAGTGTTGCTTAAAATGCATTACTTGGTAACTCTTGTAAATGTCGTGTAAATGCTTTATATAAACTTTAAATATGTTAAAGATCGTCATCCTCTATATTTGGATATTATCAGACATACTTTTATATGTTGTAATCACAGATTTCTGTATACGCATCTGTGTGGTAAGACGGACACAAAAAGCACATATGGAAAGAGACAGTTTGGTGAAAAAGGGACAAAGTGATCAAAAAACAGAATATCAAGGAGTTTCTTTACAAAGCATGCAGTGAGACATAAAAGTATGAAGCTACATTTGAAGTAAACAAGTAGGATATAAATGTTTAAATGTTCACTCACACCTTTACACATCAAATGAATGGCATACTAAGAGAGATAGTCCCTTTTTGAATTCGAGCTTTGTTCTGTTAGGTGAACTCTAAAGAAGCACTTGAGATGAAGGAGACAAAGGCTCCAGCTACTTACTCCCACTGCGGTGTCATTTGTCTCCCTTTCTGTGTCAACTATTCACTTTTGGTCCTCTGACTTCAGATCGTTTACATTTCACTCTAACGTATGATTTGGTTCTTTGTGTTTGTGGGAAAGAGGCCATCATAACACCAGAGGTCATTCATACGGACAGTGTGGCGAGTCTATGCTGAGAGGGATATGACAGTCTTGTGTATTGCAGCCCTAGTGTGTTTTTACATTTCAGTATCATTTGAACTATAAGATTTATTATAGTTGTACCAATAAACAGCCTCCAAAAAGCACCAGAAGAAATACGGTACAGCCTCTATGGCTTATGATAACCTGTGTGCAAAATCTTTTACAAAATCTGCTCTCTGTAAATACAGTCATGAGCACAGCATTATTGGTAAATGGTCGAAGTTGAACTTGGATTCACCACTATATCCACTATGATCCTTCAATTAGTTTTTCAGTGGGTCTAAGACTTTTTAAGTCTATAGATATATAAATAATCCAGTTTGGAAGGCAGGTAAAATAACTTATTGGAAACAAATAAACTGATATGTAAACAAATCTTATCAAAATGTATCAGCCAAAAGTGGTATTGGTTTTTGTGCTTTTATTCTACCTCTCTTTGTGACTTGTGGTCCTTTTAGCTTCATCATTCGTGTTCTCCTTGAACCATTACATAATCATAGCTAATAAAGTGCCTTTCCAGTATTTCATGAATCAAGAATTATATGATTGATTGAAAAGTTAAAAGAGAGCTGTAAGGGCATTTCATTGGTCATATTATCCGTATATTAGATGCTACTCAGAAACATGATTGAATATGGTTGTTTTGAAGGTGCAGTGTGTAGTGCTTCGAGACATTTAGAGGAACAGAGTTGATAAAAATGAAATACAAGGTTTAAGAGTTTGGATGAGTGTATAAACTCCCAAACATCAACACAAACTTTGTTAACATGGAGTAAGTCTTTTATATCTTAATAGGAAAGTCCCCTTCTATGTTTCCATAGTTGCACAAAAGTGACAAACTTGCTGCACCAGATGTCTTCTACGTTTGGAAGACGAAGAAGAAGAGGGTGGTTGTTCTCATGCTCTAAAGGAGTTTGTACTGAAATGTACTGTATTAATAATGTTACAAACTTGACAAATGGTGATCGACCGTGCTCAATAGAAGCTTTTTGTCCGCTAGACATTGTCGAGGGGTGAGCAAGGGGGTGTTCGGGACTAGATCGTGACCACTAGATGTTGCTAGCCATTCCCATTTCTACACACTGTACCTTTAAGATTAAACTATTGATGCAGTTTTTTTCCTAATACAACATCCATACCACAAATTCCCAAATTTCCAATTTTGCCAACTCTAATTGTTAACATGCGGCCAATTTAGCGAATGAAAAATACTTAATGTGTTTTAATTTTATCATTCCTAACTAACTTTTGGAAAGTTCAAGATTATTTTTATATCTGACCTGTCTGAAGTGCAATCTGAGTAAACAATTGACTGTTTTGGAATGATCTAAGTTGATTTATACTAATCCTATCCTATTAACACGACCTTATTAACCAATATAACGCGAATAAATAAATAGTTTAATTCTCCATTTAGAAAAAAAAGAAAAGCACAAATATCTTCCCGATACAAGACGTTGGTAATTGGGGCCCTCATAGCCTGTCTGTCCACCTATCCGTCAATCCATCCAATACCTCTGCTACTTATTCTATTTAAGTCAAGGGGCTGGGGTCTGTCTCAGCTGCCACTGGGCGAGAGTCTGGGCTCTATTAGCGTAATATAAAATAATTTTGCACCAATTAAAAAATGAGTTCATGTCATATAATTCGGTGTAGAAAACTTTGCTAACCAAAAACCTGCTTGAGCACTTTTTAAGTAGTGTCACTGAAAGTATATGGATAGTTGTCAATTTATATGTAAATGATATTTTTTGGCAAAAATAATTTATCTGTATTACATGTAACATGATAAAAACTTAAAATTTCTTAAAATAAACATTTTAAAAAGATACACAAATCACAAAATACATAAAATCTTTAACAACTACTCAGGAAGAGGCACCTTATATGTTTGTAATCTCTCATCTATAAGGTTTTTACGTGTTAGCCAGCAAATGTTGTATTCCAAGATATGATGGACCCAGTTCTGAATATGGATATTCAGTCCAGTTTTAAAGGATCAAATCAAAATGAAACGAACCAGACACAAACAAGACATGAGCAACATATTTTGCTGTTTGTTCTTGCCCTCACTGATGTCCTTTCTTTTTAGTTGATATAGTAAAGCCAGTAAACAACGTTGAAGAAGGAGAAAACAGTAGGGAAGAGCATCCTCGACCATCTGTCGATAATGTTCACATCAGTCAAGTCTGGGATGTTGATCTTTAGCTGTGAAGCGCGCCTCCGTAGTCGGCTCTTCTTCTGAGACATGTGACACTCCAGAGTGTTTCTGCCAAAGTTGTGTCTGGTCAGTCCTGCTTTGCGGTACTGTAGGGTACTGTCGTATGTCAGCATGGTGTTTCTGGGATCATTAAGACCCAGGGCCAGCTCTGAGACGCCCATGTCATTCTTGATGTCCAGGGTGCCCAAAAGGATGTTTTCATGCGGCTCCATCTGAAAAACCAATGAAAGGGAAAGGTGTAAGGATGCATGCTTTAAAGTATCTCACAGCTGAGGGTGCTATATTTTGTTTGGGGGTACCTTATTCTTCTGATCACCGAGTCCAAGTGCTGCATCATCCACAAAAATTGGTTCCCATATTGAGTCATGACCATCAAGATCCCTTTGCTTCATTCTTGCATACAGAGTGTCATCTCTGCCAACGACATTACCCACCAGCCACTGCAAGCATACAGAATCTTCAAGGTTACCAGACTAACCGGAAGGCAAGGGTGTTTTTTTTTTCTTTTTTAATAATAAAATCCTTCCCTTCAAACATCATTGGAAACATAAGTCTAGTTCTACTACATCTCTGTGATTTGCAAACAAATCAACTCAGTTCTAGACACTGTTTTTCCTTCCACAGATTCAAATAAAACAACACAATAATGACCATCTTGCTTGATTGTTGGTAGAATTTGGTCCATTTCAGCCAGGAGGAAAAAAAGCTAATATATTTTCCCTCTCAAAGCAAAAGCAGCTCAGAGACCTCCTTTGCCTCTGATTCAGCTGGCAACATATCAGCTTGGATTTCAAACAGGCACAGTAAAAGTTTACTAGGCTAGCTGAACTTGGCTAACGGTAAAAGCAAGACACATTAGGTCAACACTCCATTTGAAGTGGTGACATTTCTTTTCTTTGCAACTAATTATTCTGAGCTTCAACTTCATGAATAATTAAAGTAAGCTTTAGATGCAAAGTAAGGAAAATATTTATCTCTTTGAATCTAGAGCAAACAAAACTTTAGGCTATTGAGTTAGGATAAATCGGTCATCGCAGACTGCAGAGGCTTACCTTGTTTGGATCCATTCTCATCTTCTCATTGTTGGCTATAGCTGACTTCTCAGCGGCCCTTTTCTGACGCTGAGGACCCCGACCAAAGAAGATATAGTTTACCAGCGCATACTCCAACAGAGCCATGAAGACGAAGACAAAGCAGCCCATGAGGTACATGTCAATAGCCTTGACGTAAGGGATCTTAGGGAGGGTTTCTCTCAAATGGGTGTTGATGGTAGTCATAGTGAGCACAGTGGTAATACCTGTTGAAGAAAGACCAAGGTCAGGACTTATTGCCTCAAGAGGCACTAATGCAAAGGAATGCCTATAACACATTGTCAGCGTGTTTGTTCAACAGAAAAACATCCAGGTATTTAATATTTATCGCGTGACTAATGTATTAGAACACAAACCCTCTGCTATTCCTCCAGTTTTACAGACAGACCGGTGTTTTGACTGGCTGATCCCTGTCTGCTGCAGCCTCTGGCCGGGCATAATTTCCTGACTTTATTACAGCGTGAATGTGTTATTGGTTTATGTTGAGATATAAAAAGTCCAGATGCATCAGCGCTGTGTTCACACCCGCCGTGGACGGAACCATGGTTTGTTTGGAAGGGGACCGAGTCCTGCATTCTCAAGAGGATCATGGTCCGTATGTTTGATCCGGACCACGGTTTGCTTGCACGTTCATACCACTCAGACCAAAGGAGTAAGGGGACCATAGTCCTTTAAGAACGAACCAAACAGTCCTGGTATGAATGCGCCCGAGTCTTCTACTCTATTCAATGCCCCATCCTCTGAATCAATGTTGTCTGTCCATGATCCTTTATTAATAAGGTGGGTTAACTGTGAAATGAATTGCCCTTCGGTGATTAATAAAGGTGTCTGAATCTGAAACTTAAAGGAGAAAGCTCCATGTAGTGCAGACTGCCAAAGTTCAGACTGTGTATCAGAGTTTGTTCAGCAGCACAGAGCTGCATGGGATGAGCTTTTATCAAGTTTATCAAATAGAAACATTCAGGAGAGTACTAAGAAATTTACTTCAATTGCAAAAATCCCCTGATACCGTCCCTCGCTTTCCCAATCGGACTAAATATGTGGATATTTTAATCCGTCTGACAGCACGACATCTTTGTGATCAGCTTGATGCCATGTCTTTGCTTCATAAGGGCCTGTCAGGATCAATCAAACCGATGGGCCTCCCTCTAAGACTTCAGACTACGAATTGGGAAACCAAATACAAGACGGGCACCTGAAGCCCCTGCACAATTTGAAATTCAAATATCAACCTCGGTGTTGTTCATTAGCGGAGAACACCTTATGAGAACAAGCTGTAGACACTTGAAAAAGTCTAACTAAGTAAGCTTTGGGGATAACTCCTGTCAGACATTCTATGCATATCAATGTGAAGAGTTTTGGCTTATTATGAAGGGCACACAGCTGTAGTTGCAGTAATTAAATTTCTTGTTTGTGCTGTTTCAGCAAAGCCATTGCTCTTAAATGCGATATGCTTACAGTGGTGTTATCTAAATGCAGGAATTACAAATGGCAGTATAGCTTTGATTCTAAAGCTCAAATATGGTTGAATAATCATCTCAAGTCCTATTATGCCCATAAATCCACCCCCAGGCAACTGTACATTCTACTCTAAATGCATATGCAATGTGGTTATTAAAGGCACTTTCTATTAACAGTCTCTGTAAACAATTACTAAATTATTATACAGCTGTTACAAAGCCATCAGGTGACCGCCGCTCACAAAAGGATTCAGGCAATTTTCCTGAGCTGTTGCTGCAAGAGCTTAAAAACAACAACAAAGGATTTCTGCAGCACAGTAGCCATGTGATTTAGCCATTACAGGCTCATTTTAATGCCAGAAACCAGGTCAGTCAAGTGGCTCTGGAATCTGGTGTAGATTGGGGAGTGACCAAACATTTTACCAACTATGCTGACCCACCTCCATTAAGGAGCATTACCATTTTTTTTTTTTTTGTTAAATCCTATGCATGCTTTCCCCCCCCGGTTCGCTAAATGCAGCTCAGTCGTCAATCAGTGGAATTGCCTTGTCGACTAAACCAAGGGATGAGTAGAAGGGTGAGTGAAGCCTGTTGGATGGAGTAGGGTTGAAGAGAATGCAGAAAGATCCCAATAAACATAGAATGAATTGGACGCAGGGAAAAAAAAAACCCTCACAGGCTACAAGAGGTTTATGTAATCGAGGATGACGTGTTGGTGAAACTGTGACACTCTCTGTAACAAATGAAAAGACTAGAAATTACCAACTTCCACAGTGACTGCACAAGAAGTGAAGCATTGCAGAGCCGTAGATCAGCACAGTGCTATTCTGCAGATAACTGTTTGCAATGGGCACAAAAATGTAATAAATAACTATTAAAAGTGAAAATCTCTAATAAAATCTACCTTCATGCCAGTTTTATTGAGAAAATTTCAGTTGCTCTGACCCTGAAATTGACCTGATTCTACTGTTGATCAGTGCGCCTTAGATTATTTTACTCTTTCGTATGTTTTTATTCACTCTACATCTACTTTTTTTGTGTGGCTTCTCAAAGTTTACACCACGGCTCTATCCAATCGTTTCCTATTGGTCAGCTCTGCACAAGCACTGAGCCAGAGTTCTGCATTGATGTGTGCATGTCACCAGTCAGGGAATCATTCTATACATCCTGGATCTATATAAAATCTATATCTATGGAGGTGAACTTTCCTTGAAAAAGGCCTGAAGTGACATCCTTGGTGCAGTCGAAGGTGAAAAAGTGCTGTTTGTATTCACACATACAGTTCATCTGAGTACTTCTGGCATATTTAACAAACTTTGTGCCTGTCTTAAAGGGGATCTAGACAATGTGTTAATTTAAAGTGTAGGTGAAACAGGTCTAATTCGGGGTCTAAGGTATCATTTTGTGTGCTTTCTTTTGTCAAATCTAGATCAAAATCTGACGACAGGGATAAAGGTTGTTGAACCTATTTACTGTTAAACCCTACTCTCTCACTATGCTTTATTTATGTGAATGAACTGAAGCGGTGTCTCTCATTAATCATTTTGTTGTTGTGTTGAAAATCATTTATGTAGACTGCGCAGGTTTTGAGTCATTGTTGTTTACTGAATTAATCTGTAATGACGATTGTTGTTTTTAATTATTTTGCAAATGCTTATAAAAACTGTTTCTGTCAAGTCACACTCGCTTTCCCTCTGTTGTCCTGGTATGTCAATTTAACAGCCTAGACAGTCTTTATTTCAGTGTTGTCTCCTGTTTGAACAAGCCCCTGCCTCTCTTGTCTCTGTTTGCACTAAAGGCCTCACCTAGAGCCACTCGGGCAGCAGAGGCATCATAGTTGATCCAGAAGGAGACCCAGGAGAGGATGGTGATAAGTATAGAAGGCATGTACGTCTGCAGGATGAAGTAGCCGATATTTCTCTTCAGCTTGAAGCTCAGGGACAGGCGAGGGTACGCACCTGCAGGCAGGAGGAAACAAGGGCAAAAGAAAAAAAAGAAGGAAAGAAAGAAAGGAGGCAGAGTCAGGTGATACTTTCATCTACATTTTACTACAGCTGTTAGATCTAGGGGACATATTTCTTCCTGATAATTCTCTCTCAGAGACAACCCTGCTCAGAAATGCGAAAGTATCTGCCAAATTGTAAATTTTCTTGCTGTAAAGTTTTGTTAGCTAACCTCCTAATTAACCATCACTACAGCCTTGACTGACATTTGAAAAGTCACCAGTTCTCCTTCAGCTGTCTCACTTTCAAGGTCTTTTAACACCAATAGATCCACACCAAAAATCAAAACAAGCCCATGCCTCTCCTCATTGACAGCCATCACAGGGACCTCCGGTAAAAGCCGCGCATGCCTCCAAAGAATTGAAGCATCAGCGCTCCAGAATTACCTGCTATCTACCGTCTGTGAGAGAGGTTTGATAGTTCATCCGTTGAGGGTCCTCTTCTGTTATGCTTATCTCTGCTCTGTTTGAAATGAACCTACAGGAGGGCTTTAGTTGTATCAGTGCAGACATTTCACTCCTTTGGGAGTTGGCTGTGTTTTGGTTGGAGTTGCATTATGGCTGAAAGAAGGAGGAGGAAGAGCAGACATGCCCCACAGTATACAGCTTACTTATTGGAGGGTCACAGGGAGAAAGATGAGGGGCCATAGAGGAAGATTAGGTCTTTTTAATGAAAGCGCCAACAACCCAGCAGCCACTTAGATCTGCTTTTACAGTCAGCTAATGTCAGAATGAGTCACTGAGACAATCATTGAATTATTTCTTTATGCAGTGAGGAAACCACTTGGGCAGAAAATGACAGGATGGAGGTGCAGCAGTGAATATATCTTATTCATAAAGACAAGAATGACATTGCCTATCCTTGGAGTGGAACATGACACTTGTGTTGGATCAACGCCCAGTACTTGTGCTGATGTTTGCATCTCAGAGTGACCCCTGGGCTGCTCCCCTTATCGCAATAGACATCACTTTAAAAGGGGATCCCCAGTCTACCACATCTCTCTATAAAGATAATAAAATCAGACACCCTGCAAGGAAACACTCGGGCTGACTTCCTTGCATGCATGCTAATAGACAGCACATACACTGATGCATACAAACATTGTGCATTCATCAGGAAGCATTGTGTTATTAATAGGCTTGTTTTGAATGTGGGACCCTCACAGACAAAAGCAGCTCTCTCATTGGCCGAATCTCCCCGTTCCTATTGCATCGATGTTCTGCTCTCATTCAACACGGTACCCGGAAACTGTGTTCAGCAGAATCGCTGTCCCGGCCACATTTGCTTGCTTGCTTGCATGACAAATTCATGAATATGAAAATGCAGAAGAGTGTGAATGAATATTTCATTATATCAGACAGCATTCTTTTTGTTTATTGCTGTTAAATAAGTCATAGTGTCTTCTGTTTTTCCAGGACGACACTTCATTTGAAGGTTTGTCGGTACATTTGCATAACAGTTTGCACAGCTGAAAATTAGCTGATTTTTTTTTCGTATCAATAAGAGCAAACAATGTCTGAGTCAATATTTATGAATTGCCTTATTACCCTCTTTGCAGCAGAATGGTGGCAATGAAATAAACTAACCTGAAGCAATCAAATAAAGGCAAGTTAACAATGACCCGATTGACAAAAAACAGAAAAAGAAATAAATGCATTTTTAGGGTTGGTGATAATTGCATTATATTGCTTTAGAGAAGGATGTTGTCCTGTACATTTTACAGCCAAATTTCACTACGGCAAGTCTGCAGTAGAGTATCCGGAGATAGTATTTCATTTGTATCATACTGTGTTGAATCATATGCATCACACTGAGTAGTGCATAATTAGCCATTTCCTTCCATATCACACTGTGATTATGATGCATTGAATAATTCATTGTGTCATATCGTATTGCATTACATTAAATCATATTATTTTAAAGTTATATCATATTATTATTTCAAATCATATAGGATCATGCAATATTATATCATGATGTCACTCTAATCTCTTTATATTGTTTTAAACCATATCATAAAATATTGTATCGAAATGTACCTAATTGTATCATATCATATAGTATGGTATGGTATCTTGTTCAATAATAATAATAATAATAATGCATCAGATTTCATATATCATCACATCATATTATGTCATATCATATCATATCACATTATATCATATCATATCATATTATGTCATATCATAACACATTATATCATATCATATCATATCATATCATATCATATTATATCATCTCATCTCATATCATATCATATCATATCATATCATATCATATCATATCATATCATATCATATCATATCATATCGTATCATATCGTATTCTATTGTTTTATACCCTACTGTATTCTATATAATATGTTTTATCATCATGGTGTTAAGTATGTTTAGTATAAAGGCCTCTGGTGAGATTGATGCAGAAGACATTATTTTCTGTGATAAACTTGTGATCCACAATGGTGATGTGGATTAATGTGGATTATGTGTGGATTTTTTGTTTTTTTGTTTGTTTTTGCTCTTAAAATTGGTTCAAATACTCTGGATGCTGCTGAATGTGTGTACCACTCAAATGTGAGACAAGGTTCACTAAATGGACAATAAAATGTATCATATCAGATAGTATTGTAGTGTATTGTATCATATATTAACTTTAATTGTGATTGGTGGGATTCATGCCACAGTCACTTTTTAATTACCTGTGGAGAAGACAACATTCTTGGAGATGAGCTTGTGATCCACGATGGAGAACTGGGGCAGCTCAATCTTGTCCACTCCCGTTACTGCGTTGTCTCCTCCTCGCCAGTAGAACTCAATGTCATCTGTAGTATAACCATCTGAGAGAAGAAGAATAACCATGGGTCATTAATGGTCCATCTATATGCTCATAATCATGTTCCATCTGGATCTCATGCAGTCCAGTTCGTTAATCACATAGCATGACTAGGTTTGCATTCATTACTGATTTACCATCTGCTGACAGCAGACGCAGTAATTGGTCTTTAGATCGCTGACGGGAAATACGAGTTTATCCATAATGAAATAATGCCAGTTACATCATACTTGCTTTTTAATATGCATCTAAATTAGTAAAGCATTCGATTTTTTCCTTGTTTAAAAACTTATTCAGATGAATGATATATTCCACAATCCTTTTAAAAGTCAGTAAAAATTTCATCTGACTACCATGACACTGTCAAGCAGCACCTCTGACATAACCACTCAGTCAGTGTGGTGGGTTGAAATATGCCATGATCAGTTCATTTCCTTAAATGGAAATTTTGTGTTATTATTATTATTATTTTTGAATAAAATGGAACCACTTGTACGCTTTTGACTCTTCTTGACCTCGTAATTGTTGCAGTTCAGCATTTCACGGCTGTCGAAGCACTCAGGAAAAAAATGTCACAAGTGGTTTTCTCTACTTTCCTTTTTTTTCCTTTTTAAAAACAAAAGCCTTCATGGATACACAGAAGCCTCTGAACAGCTCTGAGCTTGTTTTACTGAAACCTAAACATCAACTTCTGATGTACCCGTTAGCGAGGCATGAGCTGATGTCTTTGTCCTGAATTCTTGACAATAACTGAATAATGAAAAATGGCCTGCTAACACTAAATTATGAAGTCAAGTAGAGCATAACATTCCACATAGTAGCTCAGGGAATCCCTTAGATGTGGGACTAAATGTATATAAGTCAACTTTATTTTTATGTTTTGTGCCATGAGAAACTAAATTATTAAATACAGGGGCAGGAATGATTAAATAACCAGGCTTTGCATCCATTTTCATCACTAAAACCCATTAAAATGTGCAAAGGGACGAGACCCAAAGTCCATTAATATTAATCTGAAGCAAAGCGACTCGCTCTTTTGCTCTCACTTTGGCCGAATCAGTGGAGACACGGATGGCAAAGTGGCCAGTGGGCAGGAGCAATAAATGATTGAGTTGCACTGTAGTTATAGTTGAAGACAAGTACTGTTGCAAAAGGCAAAGAGGAACGTTTTCATTAGACCATGAAACTGGGCTCTTGCATAATCCACAGCGTACTGTCTGCTCGGGTGCAGTTGTCATGTCTGCTGACTTCAGGCTGTAAGAGCTTTGGCCTCGCAGAGAGGGGAGAAGAAAGACAGGAGACAGCTGGGGTTAGTGCAACTTTTCTAAATGGGTGGCTCATGAGGAAAGCTGAGCTGAGTTTTGAAACTCATCTAAAACTATAAAAAAAATATATATATATGAAAGCTCTTCAGAGGCCTTCCTGTATCACAGCAGAAACCCTAACAACAAATTATTGCAGAATTCTTTATCTATATATATATCCCCTAAAAGCACCATTTACAGCAGACGAGTTTGTTTCAAAACTTTCAACTTTCAAAGAGGTAATCATTACTTCTCCATTTTGATGTTTTTTTTTAGAGCTATAGAAAGGCAGAGAAGCATAACACAGTTAGGCTGCTCTATTTTGAACACTGCAAGCCATCAGCAATACACATCTATTATCAATACATATCCTTCTATATAACACGTCCATGTTAAAGCTTTTTCCAAAATGCTAAGAGGCTGTAACAAAGACGTGAGGGCGCTCAGCACTGAATAATCATACTTAATTATTATATTATGGTCAAATGGTTCTGTAGAGAGAGGGAAGAAGACAGGAAACAAGAACTGAATATGGACATGAAATAAAAACAGGACATTTGATTATAAAGTTTGTTTTTTCTCTCTGTAACTATGAGTTCTATGATTGTATGAAATGGACTGCAGTCTGGACCTTCTGTTAACACCTAATATTTTATATAGAATAGACGCAGTCTGCCTCCTCGCAGGGTGAAGCCACAACGAGAACAGCACCATCTGGTGATGGGCTGCAGTATAGGTCATAAATCCCGCCTCCTTCAGCAAACTTTAGAAATTAACTACACAAAATATCATTTTTTTTGCGATGTTGACATGTACTTACTGTAAGACTATTTTGTGCTCAAGTCCTCTTTTTTCTGTACAGCTCCATTTTTAAAAGTTATTAGGGGGTTCATGTTTTCAATGATTGACACTTGATTCAGCCTATGGGCGTACAAAGATTGCGTAGCTCATCCGGGGGATACGCGGTCTGAGCAGAGCATCATCACAGCGACTCTCCCGCCAAATGCATACAACGCGACTGCGGTTCCAGGAAGTGGAAAAAAAACACGGATATACCGAGAGCACCATGGCTTCAATTTTGTATAATGACGGAAGGCGGAGCCAAGTTGTCTGTGGGCTAATTGTGCATCAGTTTATTATGTGTTAATTTCCAGACAGTTGGTAGGGGCGCTCCACCCTGTAGATGACAAGATGGAGATGAAAGCTCTTCATTTTTTTGTCCTTATTTGGCAGGTTTGTGTCCTCTCTTCTGCTCCACTGGACTGATTTCGATACAGCACTTCTGGATGCTGTGTGAACACTGGGAAGTTGTTTTTCATTTAGGGTTGTGACAACTGACCGGTACCAATGATAACTCTCTCTATCTGATGTTTATACTGTGCTGAAATGAGCATATGGTTGTCTCGTGACTTTCGAGTCAAGGTCCTTTGCGCTTGTTGCCACACATCAAAAGACAGACGATAGAGGAAGACTGAGAGAAGACTTGGCATTGACTTTTAAAACTGATGATTTAGGTTTATTGTGAATCTAAAACAACATTTAAACTGGGACTTTATTGGGTTACAAATCTCGGTTATGATAAGAGGCCTGGTTGGAAAACTTACGGGTCTTTATTTGTGAATTTATGGAAACTTGGCCTATGAAATGGCTCATTAAAATCAGTCTTAATTTTTAAACCCCTTCTGAAAAACACTTGTATTTAATTTGTTTTGCAAAAACATCTTTGAGATTCCTTTGCCCTGATCTTTTGTAATATTTAAGCCGACACCTGTTTTCATCTGACTGTTGATGCATTTTCAAATGCTAAATGCTAAGTGGACTGCACTTATGAAACACTTTTCTAGTCTTCCAACCACTCAAAGCGCTTTCACACTTCATGTCACTACAGTAATTGTGGTGCCATGCGGGGCCCATCATTATCTTTAATGCATTCACACACTGAAAGCAATGCCTCAGAGGCTAGGGGTTCAGTGCCTTGACCACTTCAGCATTTTGACAGTAGGAGCTAGGGATTAGATAAAAAGACCCCTCGATCGGGGAATGACCTGCACTTCAACCAATCGACAGCCAACCTGCTTTATTACCTGTCTATTTTCCATCATTTCCACGATTTATCTTGTCCTTAAAACTCTTTTCAACCACGTGTGTCTTGAGAAAGTGCTACAAAGATGAATTTGTACCACTTGTGTTCATTTAATCACAGCTCTGCCTGCACATCACATGGTTGCTGAGTGGTACATATAAAAGCTGTATGAAAACAGTAAAAAAAACACCCTGTTAAGTCACTCTGCATGTGCACGTGAAGTGCTGCTTTTGTCAGTAACAGCAGGGGATGGATTAAACAACCATAACTTGACATGCAACACAATAATCATGAGTGATGGTCAAAGCAGTTGTAACTAGTTCATTTTAGCTGCAGTGGGGATTTGCATGAGTGTTTGTTGAGTTTCCTGAGTGAATTATCTGATTGCATGTGTAGAAGTTGACTCCCTCCAGTTGTTAAATCCCCCCTTTATCATTATTTGGCTGCATGATGGCCACACACACACACACACACACACACACACACACACACACACACACACACACACACACACACACACACAAATAGAATAAATCATTAAAAAGGTGAATTTACATATTTGGATTGTGAACAAAATGTGTGTGTGGGATTGCAGCTGAGTGAGATTCAGAGGTAGAACTTCCACGCTCTCCCATTGATTGGAGCACACACTGCAGACAGTTTACCACACTTCTCCTTTTTTCTCTCCTGGTCTCTTTTCTCCCCCTCTCTCTTCCTTGCACTAGTTCTGTTTTTATCTCCTTCCCCCACCACCACCACCTTTTTTCTTCCATATGATTACACACCTCTCCTCCTCTCCTCTCTGTTATTTCTCCGTCATAACTACTATTATGTGTCCATCTGGCTTTCACTCAATCTTCCCCTCTTCTTCTTCTCCATCCCCTGTACCCTGCTCTGCTTAATTAATACTTATGTGACCTATTTAGTTGCTCTGAATTATTAAAGCAGACTCTTCAGCTGCTGCTTTCAACACCCTTACACTCTGACATCTCTTGTTCCCCTTGGAGAAGAAGGACTTAAATTTGCTTCCTTTTTATATGAAAAAATACACTTACGCAACATTCATGAGCTGTATAGTTTGGGTAACCATATCACGTGTTCATTGTCATCATTGCCTTGCATAAGACAATCAATAAAATCTAAAAAAATAATGCCTTTCAAAGACAATAAGTGTCCAAAAGAGGAAGGGTGAAATTAGATTAATGCATTCTCTTCTCTCTATTGAAGTAAAAAGCCTGGCAACTGCATTTTCAACCAACTGCAGACGATTAAGTGCTTCTCTACTAAGTGCAGCGAATAAGGAAATTATATTAGTCGAGATGGGATGAAATAAAGGCAGGTCGGGTCAGGGGCAGAAAAGGTAACTTAATTTTGGATACATTTCCTAAGTGATAAAATCAGAGTCCGATTGGCATGCTGTACCTGAGATTCAGAATTTGAATTTGAGGCACCGGGTTCGGTCCCAGAGGATTGTCCCCAAAGGATTTAAAAGCACAGCTTATTGTCGAAATCCCACCTGTACACAGTGGGTATCAAAATACAAGGACACTGACTCCAGCTACACAACAGACAGTCCTACAGCTACGTGTAGTGTCCTTTGGCTGATGCACCTCAATCCAGAAATGTCACCTTTCTTTAGGATTAGGATCTTCACAGTAGGTCTTATTGGAGAAAACTGGACCTAACACTGGGTCAGAGAATTAATGGTAAACTAAATAATATGAATTAGTTTTGGGCGGTATAAACCGTGTGATTGGTCAGGTTTGGGTGCGCTCCCTATGATCACCAGTGTGTCCAGCAGACTGCTTGGCATAGTTTTGACAAAGAAGAAACAGCTTCACTGGTGTTGGTCAAGGCGGACATGGAGGTTAGTGGCAGTACCGAGCAAACGAAGGCAGCCCAACCCACCCAACACGAGGAAGAGGAGGAAGAACTCGATCCGAAAAGGGCGCGAGTCGCAACATTGGTTGTCTTGAGAACCTTCGAGGAGAAAACACCAGCAACCTCTTCCACCACCTAAAGATGAAACATGCCAAGCACTATTATGAGAGCCTAAAGATGCGTGGCGCACCTGGTGCACCAAAAACTAAAGTTGCAGCAGCTCCTCTCATACAAAAGAGCTTGGCAGAGTCTTTCGCCAAAGGTACGCCATATGATAAAAAATCGCCAGACTGGTCTAGCATTTTGTTCGTATTTGTTTACTCATAAACAAATTACTCATACTGTGATATAAGATTTTGTTCATTCTGCCCAACACTAATATGAATAAAAGTCATTCTTCTGTCTCAGTATTTTTTCCTGTTACTCATACTCTCGATCTCTGACTGTGGTTGTATCCTTGACACTGTTTTGATTTTTACTCCGCACACATACAACCATTGAATACCAATCGTTCTGACTATCACTCTACAGGGGTGAGTCAGGTAGAGGGCATGGTCCTTGGAAAGCACTTAACAAACCAAGGAAGGTTTGAATGTTCTGGATTACAATGTACCGTCTTCTTCTCTATTATGGAAAAAAATCAATATATGAAAAATCTATGTGCATCATGTCCTTCTGAGTTGAATGTATAGTCTTGTATCACATTATACTGAATAACAGTGTGTCATAGAGCATGGTACACTATTGTATCATTTAGTGCAGTGTGTTGTATTATATCCTACTCTATCATTTCATACAGCAGGTATAAGTAGTTCTTTTTTTTCAGATTTTCAAACATATGAACCCCACAGAGCAGCTAATTAACCATTTGACTGGCTGCAGTTGACGCGTTATGTTTGAGACCTCATATCAGCTTTCTTCACATATACTAATTAGCACACAAAAAAGCACATTTAATATTAAAAAAAAAACATGATAAGGGGTGTCACGATTTCAATTTTTTATTGTAATCAATCGAAATTACGTCATGGTCTCGATAATCAAAATCGAAGAAAGGATCGATGATTCTCTACCTACACATCTGGAAGGTGTGCAAAGTGGAAGCAAATGACAAGTCCGCACATTGTGGCCGATGCGAGCCTCTGTGAGTTTGAATTTTTGTTTTTATTATGTTTGTTCTTGTTGTTTTCACATCACTGAAAACAAGATTTTTAAATGAATTATTTAAATTTGACCATTAGTGCCTAATGGGATACATTACACAAGAATTATGGAAGTTGTAAAAGGTGTAAAATAAAAAGTGATTCTACAACCAAAAGGGTAAATTAACTTCTTTAGTCCTTTGCGACTTAAGATGAGAAAAAAAACAACGTGTGGGTGTGACAGTGTGCATTTTACAGCAACACAGGGGGCTTTTCTCATGACGTCAAAAGGCCGGAGGTCTTTGCAGATGAAAAAGTAAATGAAAAAAATTGTGATAGCATCAGGAGAGATAATGGAACAATACTAAAGCTATTTAAAGGCTGAATCTTCCTGACTCCAGGCTTTTGTTATTGAACTTTTACAATAATGTCCCAGTTTATTTGTTCAAAGGAGAAAATGACTTTGCAAAGTGTTAAAAACAGCTTCTCTTGGCAAACAATGAAAATGGACCAAAATTATGCAGTGTGTACTTCTACATGCTGATTTAGAAAAGCAAATACCTGTAAAAACTTTTTAATAATGATTTTTTAATGGTTTTTATTTTTGTGTTCATGCAAAAGCAGCTGTAAAGAAACATCGACTTGGATAACAGTGTATGCCTATGCATATTAATAGCCCTGGGTTTATGCTGCATGAGTAAAGTCCTACCCACTTACATAGGCAAACACATGCTTGCATGGACAAAAACACACTCCCACATGCACACATGGGCACCTCAACTCAACTCCCATCAAAAACTACCTCCATCTTTCTTTCTCTCTCTCTCTCTCTCTCTCTCTCCCCTGTGAGCTGAGAAGCTCACTCCCAACTTAAATATGTCTCCGATGAATTCTTGATTTCCCACACATGAAAGAGACTTTAATGTTCGTCCAGGGGTCCAATTTGAAATGCTTTCAAACTTTTGCAGCACACAGCCGTGCCACAGTTGATTGCACACCTGTACTAATGTGGACTGCAAATCCAAAGCAAAAGAATAGTTTAATAAGCCATACAAGTCTGAGAGGAGAAGGCTTTCACACACCAGAGGATGTATGTGATTTCTAAATATGGACTCTGATGTGCACGGATAAAGTAAGGATGAGAGGGATAGACAGCCGAAGCAGCTCTGTTCATATGATTTGGACCGCTAGTGCAGAAAATATAACTATTACTTTGTAGAGATGCTGTGATAAAATGACATTGTGAGAGTGAAGCAACAATCTCCATGGAGCTGCCGCTCACTTCTCTGTTTACAGAAAATAACAAGGGAAGTTTTGTCTGTTTTGGCGAGCAGGTGTGAAGGTTATCAAAGGTCAAAAGTGTACCTCGTTTAACTCAACATATTTTCTCAATACTCTCAAAATTCATAGCTATTTCTACCTCATATAGAGTCTTTTTTGGACACACATATGCTAAAGAGACAGCAGCAAATCAGGGCTAAGATGCATCTGTGTAGTATTCAGTGTGCTACATCCGAGTGACCCTACTCCTGTCATGATTTATTAAAAAGATGCACATCTGCTGTACATGTTATGTCAATGTTACATATTTTACTAGAGCCCACCTCCTGCGGCAGGAACGGCTACTATTCAGGGCAGCAGTTTGAACTGCATTACTGTAACAGTGACCCAGAACATCAGGGGGTTTAACCCTTTTTAATAATGAAATGAATGATGTTACCTCGCTCTGATGTAAAGTCCTGTGTGGCCTACTATGTCAGGTGAGGTCCTGGATTACGTATGCATCATAGAGGTCCTGGGCAGTGTTTGCAAAACAAATGTAGGGGGAAGGAGCTTGGTTTGAAAGGCCATGATGTAGTGTTGGACCAGTATTGGGTTTACAGAAGCCAAATCCAATGGTGATCATTGGAGAGCAGGTCGACCAATCATTGACATGTATGTAATTTTGTCTCTTGGAGCTGCAGACCTGTGCATCAGTCAGCCGCATCCAAGAGTTGTACAAAATAGGGCTGCACGATTAACCGATTTTAAATCATAGTCGGATTATCTAATTATGACAATGTTAAAAAAATCAAAATTGTCGAATCAATTTTCCTCTCTATCATGTCTAACCGTAGACTTCCCCCTTCCTGCAAGAGCAATCCCCAGTTCCCACACACACCAGTGTAAACAAACATGGTGTTTGTAAAAGAAGGTGATAATTTCATGGTCATGATTGCACAGCCTCTTAATAAAAGGAGGACAGTGATAAGTGCATGTTTTCTCTTGACATGTCTTAAGAAACACTCTCTATCCTATGATGTATTTTCTATCACAAGTGTGGTGTCTTTATTACTCGTATCTATCATGGCTGAACCAACACTGAAATCCAAAAGGAGTTACCGACAGAGCACGAACATCCTTTCTTGCAAATCTCCACAGAGGATACCACCGGAATCAGGGTCTGAAAACACGGTGAATCATCTTGAACTAAAAGTAGAAATTCTCTTTCAGGATCGCACTTGTGTGTTATACAAGATTATCCCCGCTGTGTTAAAGTTGAAAGGTTCCACGAAACACATTCTCCACGTCTTCAGAGACCCACAAAAATACCACACTGTGTTTGGATTTGGAGAAGACCTATTGCACTCAAGATGTAGACAGGAAGAAAAAGAATGAGATAGAGTGAATGATAGGGATGTCGATATTCTTGAATTAAATAAAGAAAATTTGGCTTTAAAAATGTTACAAGAACAGTTTTCCACCATCACCCTCTCTGAGTGATACTTAAATACTTTTAGTACCGCTGGTTTACCCGTTAATTCCTGAGCAGCTGGTACTGTCCTGTTGAGCGGGGCTGAGAAAATAAAATGCTTGTCTGCAAATGTTTATGATTTCTTTTTTAATCGTTCTTATTTATTATTAATTTAATCTCATAATCCAAAACATGGATGAGCAATTTGTGAATTTATCACACTATCAGTCACAGGAAGGACAAGGGAAGCCCCTCACCACTCACTCCATCCCAGATGGGTATGAGGTTTTCTTTTTTCCATCAAGTTGTGTGAACCTTATTTTGATTTCATGTAGGGCTGCTTGATCATAGCAAAAATCATAATGAGTTATCTGATGTATTTTGATTGGTATCATCATTACTAAATAAACCGAGAACAAATAAAAATGATTTGACATCTGCATTACACAGATAAAGGCAAATTAAAACCTCTTTAAAACTTACAAACTCTTAATTAAGGAAAGGACAATAAGTGGAAAAAGGACCATGCATCACTTCTTAACTTTACCATAAAAGCTTTGGCTTACAAAAAAAGGGATTATGGCAACATGAAGAGAAAAAAGGTCATTCCAGGAAGGGGATCAAAGTCAAAATTTCGAGATTTAAGTCAAAATTTACAGATTGAAAGAATCAAAATTATGTCAATAAAGTCGAAATTTACAGATTCAAGTTGAAATTTCGATTTTTTTTATTTAGACTTTTTAAAATTTCGACTTTGTTCTTGAAATTTCGACTTTAATCTTGAAATGAGAGTTAAAAAAATTCTCCCTCCTGTAATTATTTTTTCTCTTCTTGTGGCCTTCTTCTCTTTCTTACATGGCCCCTCCTGCTCCTCTCTCTGCTCTCCTTTCTCCACCTTTGGCTGCCTGATAGCCTGTGCTTCTGTTGACTTCAGCTGATTAGGATACTACACTCCACCAACAATCTTCACAGGAGCCACATCTTCCTCAAGCTTCTTAACTTTGTTCAGTCTGAGAGCTGATTGAGGAGAGGGGCTGCCGTTACAAAAAGAGAGGGACGGTGCACTTTTTTCACTGTATTGGATGTAGAGATGGGCGATAAATTATTGTTCACGATAAATCCTCCATGATAATATTTGCCATCTCATTACAAACATGATAAATGTAAGTTGATGACGTAAGTGTGAGCGACGGACTCACAGCCATAGCCCACACAGAGCAGAATAACAAACAAACATGGCCGAAGGTAATGAAGAGGATATTTCTGAGCAGCTCGTTACTGAATGAGGCTCCACATGAGGGACTTCCTTCACATTTGAGACTTGTTTGATGTCATAAGTTTTCTCCATGACCTACCACTCAAACTTGTGGTTAAGTATCTACTACTCCAGCTGGTGTTCTCAAGACAAAATGAGTCAAAAATATAGACTGGACTTTTATTGTTATCGCCAAGGTGGCTAATCTTCTTGTGATAATTTTTTTAGCCCATATCGCCCAGCCCTAATTGGATGTAACAAAAACTGGAACTGTAGCTTTGAAACTGCAGTATTTAGTATTAGCAAGGGCTAGACCCCTTCCGATCTCTCATCACTTGCAAAGTATGAGTCAGGCACTTCAGGTTGTCTCAGTCACTGATCACAGATGGAGGTTAAAAAAAAAGAAAACTGTAAAAATCTGTGGTGTCATACTGGGGAAGCCATAAATACACTCGGGTGGCCCTCTCATGTAAATATTTGTGTGGAAAACATTGAACCATGCTTATACAGCAACAACCACGCAAACTAGCCTGTCATTGGGTCATTAAAACTTGGTAATTAAACAAAGGTCAGCAATTTCACGTTGGCCTTAAATAATCTAAAGGTCAGCACAAAGAGAAGAGAGCCAATCCATGAATGAAAGTTCATGACATTATATTTAACCTGTCAAAGCTTATTAAACCACAGGCATCACTCAGTGGCTTAATATTAGGGATCATCAGGGACTTTTGCAGCAATCAAACTCATTAAAAACAAGCCAAGAGATGGAAAAGGAGCTGAAGGTACAACACTGAATAATAAAAGAGAGGGAAATACAGGACACCAGGACTGTAATGAAAAACACAAAAAACAGACACGGGAGATAGAAAAAATCAAACATGCAGCACAACATGTGGAACCATCAAAGACTGTAGTAGATCTGGGGCAGTCCATAACAGCAGATATCCTTTTAACTGTTGCTCAGTGAGCCTCTAGACTCACATGAAACAACACGGGGACTGTATGGGTCTCTTTTGTTTTCACATTTTTATCTGCAGGACACATTGCATCTTCAAGTGCCTCCACTGTGCATAGATATACTGTAAACCACATACACATCTATGCACACACACACACACAGCAGTTACTACTCCCCGGCCAGTGTTTTTAAACTTCGTGGACCCAAGCCTGTCACCAAATTAAAAGAGAAGGATGTGCGCTCCGGGTGCTGACGACTCGCAGTGTTGTGAGGAAGACTCATTTGTAAACAGCAAATGTCCCGCTCTGTCTCCTCCTGAGCCACACCATAACAAGTACGGACAACAAATAGTGAGAGCTAACATTTGGGGTTACAAGCTCTACAGCATCTCACCGACCACAAACCAGGTTCCCAATTAGGTTTAATTGATGCACTTTTGTTCATTGCTTCCTCTTGGTAATAGAAACTATAGATGACAGATGAACAGATTTCTGCATAGTGGTGCGAACATGAAGGTCATGCTCATAACAACAGCATGCACACTCTTCTGCCTCAACACTTTCCTTTAATTTCTCCGGTCCGTGACCTTCTATGGAGCAGTCCTGTTTTTAAATGTGTGAATCTGAAAATGAGGTACATGGTTTTCAAAAGGTCTCTGAGCTTTATATAAAAGTGTTCCCATACAACCACCTTTCCCATGGCTTTTAATCAATCTATCTCCTCATTTTTTGTGCTGTTATGAACTTTTACGTACTTTTCACTACGACTGGGCAATAAACCGAAAATTTACCGATACTGAAATTTACGACAATAACCGACGTCATTTTGCCCATATCGGTATGTTCGGTGTCAAAAAAATAAATAAATAAACGTTGGTTTCAGATGTGTGTAGGTAGGCTATGGTCTCATGTCAATTTAAAGGGATATACCGGCATAGAATTAAGTAAGGGTCAAACACACCGTAACACCAAGTTAGACAACCTGTCGAGAGATGAATGTTGCCGACTGCTTGTTTCTCTAGTTATACCAATTTTAGTAACGACCGCACGATAGCAATACACAAGTGCTAGTACTGTGGCTGGCACCCTATATGTACTGTTTTGAAGTTGGTGATGTTCCGAGCATTATTTGTGGCTATAGAGTAACTTGGTGTTACGATGTGTTTGACCCTAACTTAATTTTATGCGGGAATATCCCTTTAAGACGCTGACCTACCTTGGACTCCACCCCATCCCGGCTGGATCAGCGGCTGAAGTAGACGAAGTTAATGTAGGAGGGGGTGAGCAGCTTGTGAAGTAGTTATCGTCCATTTATTGTTATCAAGGTAAACTGCTCAATATATTATGATATTAATTTAAGGCCATATCGCCCAGCCCTAGTTTTTGCTCTTTCCCGTTATAAATGGTTGAAATATATTTGAATCATAAAATCAAAGGAATTGAGCCACCACAAAGAAATGAAGAGCAAGCTGCGATAAAATGCAGGAATGTCACTTTTACTTAATCAGTCAGTGATAATTATATTCTCAAGGCTAATGGGGGGAAGTGTGCCATTAGGAATCAAAGACCTATGGGGAAACCTCAGCTATGACACTATCGCTCAGCTCCAATATTGTTACTCTGGCAGAAAGCAGTCTGAGGTTCATGCTTGGAAACATTCGGGAAAGACAGATTAGGCAGAACAGAAATGAATAGATGTTATGTCTCTGATAGGCAGTTAAGGTTTGATAAAGAGCCGTGATATCATCAATAAAAGAAAAGGGGACGTCTGTGCAGTTAGCATGAGGTCACCTTGTCAAACTCGCAGAAAAACAGGTTTAATTTACTTTGTCCCCTCCTGGCTTCCCCTCAGCCATTTAGCCTAACAGCTTATAAACAAGGCTGTTACTCTGCCCCATCTACGCCTCTTTCACACTAATCTGCCACAGCTTGATTTCAATTCCCTGTCTGCTCCTGTCCTCTCCTTTCTAACTTTTCCTGTCAGTTCGTTTTGGACCTTTTCACTGCCAACTTTGCTGAACCCATCTCAAACCCAAACGGCCTCGGATTCAAGGCTGAATAAACTGTGTGTTTTAGTTCAGCCTCTGAAATCAACAAACTGTTTGCATGGGTGTTACAGAGCCTGATGCAATATGCATTTCAGCTGGAGAGCCTTATGCCTGCATAATGCACCGAGCAAAACACATTCTAGTCCATTAGCTGACTACCGGACAGAAGAGCCCTCCTGGATTCCTGTAAACACACTCCCAGAAAAACTTAGTAGGCTGCTGCTGGACAAATGGCCTGTATCTATAATGGCACAGGACATTTTCTTAAGTGGCTGCAGAGAGATGTGCATCATTAGCCTTGCATAGAGACAGCTCCAAGACTTAGACTCAAATTCACTGGATTGAAAGAAAAAAAAAGCGATCATAGAGGAACTGCAATGGATATTTCTATAAAACACAGCCAGACTTTCACTACAATCCCATCACTGGTAGTATCTGGCCTCCACCTAACCTCTCCATTGTGGGATCTTGAGCTCACAAAAAACTTTTAAACTGCCGCTTTTGCTCCTTATGCTCTACTTCCTTTTGTACACCAGCACCAGCTGTAGTCCTCCAAGCTTGCTTGCACAGCTGAGTGCAACATCCTTGAGCCATCTGTGTGTGACAACAACATTTGGAAGCATTTCCACTTTTCCAGTTGAGATCTGAACTGAGCTTGTGCAAACTTTAACCACTGAGGTTTGGAATGAAATTTCATTTCCCCAGTGACGACAGAGCAAAGTCACCTCCCTCTACTCCAGAAAGTCATTTTTCTCTTGTGTGCTCAGGAACTCAGCAGCAGGGAGTTTGGTATTCAAGTAAAAGTTAGCATCACTTGTGTCAGCCAGTTATAGAGAAAGAAGAAATTAATTATTTTTTACATTTACAATTATTCTACCAACAAGTCGAAGGTGAAACAACAAACAAGCTATGAATAAACAGATAGATAGAAGATGAACAATGAAGGTCCTTAAATCTCTAAAACCCTGGTGTACTGTGGTTTAGTTATAGGTCACCTCTTGGACGTACTATTGTTTGACAGCTTGTCATTTCTTGTCATTTGAAACTGAGTTCAGTTTCAAGCTTTGCCACAGTGTGAGCCCTCCTTATTTGTACTGCTTCAGCTTCTGTTGAACTTCAGCACCATGGACAGCACCCACGGGTAGTTTTTTTTTCTTTAAGATCCACTCAGATGAAAATCATGTTTTTCTTGTTTTTTACATGTTCATAAGGCATTTTTCTGATGCTACAGGACATATCATGAGAAAACTTGCATTTCTGAGTATTTCTTCATTCAAATCGCTCTAAGACCCAAACAGCAGGTTCAGACGCAGTGAGATTTTCTATTTCACAACTGCAAGCTCCGCCCCCTGGCACCCCACTCTGCAGGCCAGACTTCATGAAGTAGAGAGGACAATCATGAAACAAGTGTGTGCATTAGCAGATTGCAATGCTCAAAAGAACGCTAATTATGATATTAACCATTGTCACGCCTCTAAAGACATTAGTGTCTTTAACTACACCAGCAATGTTAGGCTACAAGCTAGCATTAAGTGGAGAGTGCAGAGCAGGGCTGTCTCCGTCCACGACTCAGAGGCGAATTGCTGATGAGCTACCGGAGCTCTGCAGAAGAAAAGCCTTTAAAAATGACACAAGTAATGCGATTTTGGCTGAAAACATAATTACAATTTAAAGACCACTGAGAACACTGTAAGTAGTAAAAAAATACGATCGGAGTGGGACTTTAACTATCATTATTATTTTATCTGATGATAGCTATCCAACATTACAACCAGATTTCTTACTAATCACCAGGCTGGATTCTGATTGTCAAAACCTTAAAACAACAATAATCAATTATGAATAATAAGAGAGACGCCAGGGGGGAAAACGATCATATATGTCGAATCGAATCAATATTTTAACCAATATATTTGCAGTCAGAATAGCAAACTAAATCAACATTTCATCCAGAGTGTAATGATGTGTTTAACACATGGTAACGTAGAGGAAAAGTAGCTTTATTTTTGGATATATTGAGATCTTGATTTCAGTTAATTTTAAGTTGGGACAAAGTGTAAAGACAGTGTTCATGTTATTATGCTTACTAGTTGCACACGCCCTGCACTGACAGGAGGCAGCAGCTCTTCTGCATGCACCATCCTGATTATTCTCTTAAATAATGCAGATTTTGGAAATGTCAGCCAAGATTCGCACCCTTCTGATACCATCACGTCTGTCCACTTCTCCATTCTTCTTCACTATTATGTTTTATTACGATGCCCAAATAATACAACTCCCATTTTGATCCTTATGTCAGGAAAGAGTGCAAAATAACATTGGTGATAGCAAGTTGAAGGTTCATATTCACAGGAAATATTGTGCTGCTAACAATGCATTTGACTGGATCCAATAGCAGAAAATACTACTTTGGAACATATGCAAAGGGTGCAGTGCACACTTGTTTATCAGACAATTGTCAAAGAGAAATAATACAATTATGGTTGGCAAATATATGGATGGTCGCTCTGTTGATACTGAACCTCTTCTTAAAAAGAGCTCTCATTAAATCCAAGGATACGTGTACCTTTAACAATAAAGAGCATGTTTGATGGAAAGTATCATGCTGAAAATATAATTTTGAGAAAATCCTTGTAACCACAGTGGAGAACAAATGGGTCGGACAAAGTGCAAGCTCAGCACAAGGTATTTCCTCCCTGATAGTTGACTGAACAGAGCCAAGGTTGTACCAATATGTAAGGGTGCGAACACTTAAACCACTGCAGGCATTGATAACACTGACAGGAAGCGAAAAAAGAAGAGCAGAGAATGATTAATAATTTAGTGGAGGATGTACTTACAACTTTCTATCTCCAGAGTGCAGTTTTGCTCGTCGAGTGGGTACCTCCTCAGGTCCATCATGCAAGCAGCCGTAGTGGTGATCCTGGAAAAACACAACACAAACAAATATGTATTAATTTAGCTAAACTGTGGTTTGTTTGGTAATCAGCAAAGCATGTGTCTTTGTCATCTGTTGGAGTGTCTCGGTTAACACCAGAATGGTACTGACAAATGCTCGTCTGGTTTGCCATCATACAAAAAGCAATAAAGATAATGAGAACCAAACGTCTGTAACCTTTTGCGACATTTTGACGACCCCAAATGACACCCTATTCAATCACTCTTGGTATTAATATTTGGTGTTGGATTACAGTTGTAGCTTTTGCCTCCATATTGCATAGATTTATGTAGATGTCAATGGTAGTCTTGCTCTTGAAATACTTCACCTCCATTCGCCAAAACGCCATTTAATCCATTTTTAAATAACTGTGATATCATTGACTTTTCTGATGGTACGGGTCACAAAACAAGACTCCCAATCTTCCCTCCCTTGTTCCTCCAGGTAAACCCAGGAGCCTTTGAGAGTTCAGGAGAGGTGGCAGCACTGGTGGGAAGTCCTTCACGGATTACAGGACCAAAGCTAATCCTTATGTCCCAGTTTTAGCATTGTTGCGATAATCCTGTGTCAGACCCACCTGAGATGCGAGTCACTGCAGGGATCAAGCTCTTTGGGACAGCAGTGGCAGCAAAAGGCTAGAGATAACAGTGGTAGTATTTGTGCTTTTGCTATTGTGACATATCAACATGAAATGCATGAAACGAAAAGGAGTGTTTTACAACTATATTACATACCAAAACAGGTCTTATGCATCCCCTTGTCAGTCAACATAGCCGTGCATCCAATAATGCAAACTCACAAAACTCTTAGCATGAATACAATCAAGACTTTTTCTTAGCTGGATGTAAACCATTTAAATGTTCCTGTTAATACTGGCCTTCTTTTTGCATGAAGGCTAATAGATATTCTTATGTCTTATGTGCACCCTTAAGAAACCAGTTTTTCTTTAAACTTCTGCACTAGCCTGTTTTAAGACCAGAGGTTGCTTCCTGGCAATAGTGCAGTAACCCAAACCACTGGGTATCATTAAGTGATGAATATAATACCCTAGTAAACATGTTGTCCTCAGGGATAAATCCACATAGTAATATCATTGCCAGAGAGTTATTCTTAGAAGTACAGTCTGTAGAAAGCATTTTTGACCCTAAATAGTCCACAAAATACTGAAACCCGAATTTGTGATTCTAGTGGATAAAACTGTGATTCGCAGTTGGGATTTGAAAGCTTGTATTGTAAGTCTACTTGCTTTGTTATCAGAGAACATGCAGGAATATTTTAAGTTTTTAAAAATATGTATTTATATATTTAAAACATTACTAACATCTTCAATTTAAAAATACAAAACCAGAAATAGTACAGGTGATATTCTGAATATGAACCTAGTACATGCGTGTTTATATAAAGTGTGAGCTGTCCACACGTGATCTTATTGTCCAGGAAACATGTTGAAACTGGGTGTAAATGCTAGCTTGGGAAGGCTTATTTTGTAAAACAGCTTTTTAAATCTCAAGTGGGTTTCCCTTTAAAATAAAGCTTAACTTAATAAGTACCATGTTTGTTGAAGGCAGCCGTATAAACTCTGTAAAGATGAAGGGCTAGCACAGCTTTCTAGGATCATGGGAAACGTGAAGCGTTGATATTTACACAGATGAAATGATCCTCCGTCTGTGTCTACAGAGAGCAGTAAAGTTTAATGACTGTATCATTGAGATAATATGGAATATGTCATGCACATATAAAAGCCGTTTTTATTGTCTCTAACATGGGACCAATTGAGTGATCCTCCAACAAACTGCTCCAATCAAGACAGTTAGTTATTATCGACTAAACCAATGTCATTTATGGAGCTCCTTTAAACGACAAATTCAAATCCTCTGACCCTCCAGCTGACTGAAATAGGACTTGAGGTTTAATCTCCAGTCAGCTTGAAGTGCCATAAAATCAACAGCACCTGACTTTATGGAACACGTTGAGGGAAATAATCAATAAAGCAGAAAAAGATTGTTATCCTCATTTCAGCTGTGATGGCCTCAGGTGTGACTGTATAGACAAAGTCAAGAGCACTGGGACGTTAAGTTGACACCTGAGGTTAAACCATTTGACTTTTCCCTCAGGCAGAATCCAATTTTGACGTAAAACGGCACCATTAACACAACGATTGTGGATTCAATTTGAGTATGTTCAGAGATGAACCTTTTCAGCGGAAGAAACAGTTATAAAAAGTGAAGAAATACAAAGAAAAGCTATCGATTCTTTACAATAACAAGTAAATATTCTATTTACCTTTGCTGACATGTATCTTTGTCTTCTTGTTTTCTTGTTTTAAAGTTTTTTTTGTTTTTTTTTGGTAAATGACAATAATAGCTAAATGACAATTGAAGTAGGGCTGTCCCAATACAACTTTTCTTTTAAACCTCTGATGCGATACAGTTATTGTAGCCTCCAGTATTGTCCGATGACGATATTGATCTGATATGAGCACAAACTTTTGCATGACAAGTTTTGCACTCGGTTGCAACATCTTTTCGGACTTTAACGAAAAATACTGCCACAGGGCCGACATCACTGCTACACCTTGCGGCTTTGTTCGTACCTCAGTACACACTGTTGTTGTGATCACGTGGGCTTTACATACTGGAACCGGTTGTTGCTAGATTCTGGAGTCTGGAATGGACTGCCTGTATCAGAGATTTTAGATGCAGGCCAATATTATCTGATATTTGAATTTTTGCTGATATCAGACCGATATCCAGTATCAATATTGTATTGGGAAATCCTGAATTGAAGTGTCAGAATTGTTTTTTGTTTGTCTAAGGAAACAACAGGGATTTCAGTTTAAAAAGTAGAGATTAGTAATACCCAGCATATGCATCTTTGCTCTCTATATCTGGCCCTTTCTTACCCCACATACACTTGAACTACACAATTTGTAAATATACAATGTTTTGCATTATTTCGCCGGTATTATTGGTTATCATTATTGGTTTAAAATAAAATCTATTTCATGCGTCCCTAATATTTTTTTCTAAAACCAAGACCACCAATACAAGTAATGTGAGCACTGCTTTTATAACTTGGCATGAGCCTGTCTCTGTTTAAAGAGTCGCTTCAAGCATAAACTCTGATTTTCTCGACAAATGGAACCAGAGCTAAAGCACATTTCTTTAATAATGCATCTTCAGACTTCTAACCTAAACAACATTTATTTTTAAACCACATACAGCAAGTAAAGACAAGCTGCACTGTGATAATAAGCAGCCTGACTACTGATTATTCATAATATAATATCTAATAACCCACATTTACAGTGAATACTCAAAGTCCTAGCATGCTGAGTGGGCTTTAATAAAAGCTACAAACAAAAAACCCAGGAAGCTATGCCCTCTTATTTTACCGCCTCCATTATACTTAGTGTTTGTGTCAACGTAATAGCATTCAGCCTATCAAAACAAAAAGGCAGGGCTGGATAATAAGGGATAATAACAGCAGCCACCATGAGTCAATAGATAAGGTTATGTTGTCCATCAGACTTTGTGAAGGGAACATAAGAACGAGGCTGTGAGTAAGCGGCTGCCATTCTTTCCCCAGCTCTGGTCTTTTGCGAGTACTTGACTCCCACTAAGGGAGTCGCCACAGAGCAGCACGGCATGGTGGGTAATCGTCTAGGCACACCTGACAACAGAGATAAATTTGTGCCAGAGGAGAGGCTCATCTTGAGTCCAATCCTCTGTGTTACACAGTGGAGATAATCACCCTTGTGTGTCTCTGTTCCTCTTTCTCTCTCTTCTGCTCCCTGTTTTCTTTGCTCCCTCTCTCTGTCTCCATTCCATCATTCAGACCCACAGCCTCTGCGACCGCAATCTGTTCTGCATCTCATAATCCATGTATTTCCCAAATCCAAGCTATCAAAGAATCATGCAATTGCATATTGGACATCAGCACAAATACTGCATGTGATATGATTATTTGGCATGCTTTTGATATTGTGACGCAGTAATACGTCGATGCTTTCGCAAAAAGCTGTCTTATTAATGTTTTTTGCAACGCTGTGACAAATTCTGTCTGTAAATCATCTGCGTCTGTGTCTGAGTGACCAAGCTCGCCACAGGACCCATATGGCGAACAGGTGGGAGCACACCTACGCAATTTGAAGCAGACCGTATGGTGCACTGAAAATTGGAGGTCAGTTCCAAACTGAGTAAAGATTAGAGAGAAACGCTTCACATTTCACAGTTTCTAACAGCCGACTTAATAAGGTAAGATCATTTACATACAAAAGTGTATTTTTGTTACATCTCTTGCTCTAAAGTTGGTTTCTATAAGCCTCCTCCACAAATGACAGTGAGGTACTCAGATAAAAATTAAGAAGCTACAAAGACCTCAAGGATACTGAATTATTACTGAAGTGTGCTCATTAAGTTATAATTACAACAGTATGAAGTCTGAAATGAATCAGCTACGCAAATCAATGCAATATCATGATGGTAATACGGCGTTTCCCCTAGCTTTTTCGCTTTGGCGGGGGGTGTGATGTAGACATACATCATACAGGGCGGGAGATGAGCCAGCGCAAGAGATGCTTAAGCTAGCATCCACAAGAGACGGAGCGCTAAGAGTTTTCTTGATGAACAAATAATGTTATGATTGACCGACACAAGATTTAGTCTGTTCACATTAAAAAGCTTTTTCTCAAATGTAGTTTCTTAAAGGGAGAGTCTACATATATTATCAAAGTATCAATACATCGACTCTTTAGGGCTCCGCCGCAAACAAGCGGCTGCTGGAGGAGAGTGGGTGAGATGTGTTTAGTCTCTTTGCTAAAGAAATCAGGCAAAGTTAAAAAGATGTTTGGTGGCTAGTGCTGTGGCTGGGACCCTATATGTACTGTTGATGAAGTTAGGTGCTGTTCTGAGCATTATTTGTGGCTACAGACTGGCTTTTTGGTTGAGGTTTGCGCATGGAGACATAAACCGCTGTGTATTGCTATCCTGCGGTTGTTACTAAAGTTGGTATAACCAGAGAAGCAAGCGATTGGCAACATTCATCTCTCGATGAGGTGTCTAACTCGGTGTTATGGTGTGTTTGACCATAACTTAAATTTACGCTGGAATATCCCTTTCAGTGTATTATACAGTATAATGGTGGCCAGGTGGCTAACAAGGTTTGACCTGGAAAAATTGGCCTTTGCCAGCAACATCTTGTAATTGGGCATGGACTTTTACTGAATGTTTGCTGAAAGAGATTATACGAATAAAGCATATACCATACAAGCCATGATATCCATTCATGAATCACACTGGGACATGAGACACTGTCTTTCTGCGTTAATTTTTCTATTGCAATTCAGCAACATGCAGTTTTTGTGCAGCCGTGTAGCTTTTTCGCAGACTAATCTTTTGTTGCCATCCTGCATCTGTGTGATAGTTGAACTCAGCCTATGGTAGTGTTGATAATTGTAGCGTGTTACAGCCCCGGACCAATTTGCCAAGGTTTGCATCACTCATCTCCTTATTTCTAAACTGAGGAGTCTTTCAATCAAACCAAAACCCTGATAGGTTTATTTACTTCAAGTATAACACATGCATGATTGTTGCCTAAAGAGAGAGAGAGAAGCTGTTCAAAGTGGTGCCACTAGACTGGTCTGTCTCTGTGAGTCTACAGCCACTTGTCGTTTAGAGCACCATCTCCACAGTAAAATCCTGTAAAACATCCTTCTGCACTTTATACTGCTATTTCAGCACCAGTGTGACACTGCCCATTTTTTAGATGACATAAAATTGATCAAAAGTGTGTTATAGAACAAATTCTGCCTTCACTTTTACAACCTTGTGTCAATACTCTAACCTGCAGGCACTAAGGTTATGTTTCAAAATGTGACCACTGTCACAAAGCTTCATTTCTTTAGGTAAGAATAATGACCTGGGGGTCCTCAGACGACTAAGAAAGCAGTGAAAAAGTGAAGGAAAAAAGCGACAGAAGAGAAATAACCAATAGAGGGCAGATGAGAGAAAACATCAGGCCTGAGGTTTCCAGGTGAGAAATTGACAGGACTATCATGGCAGGACTTTTCACTCACAATAAAGAAGTTCAAAGGAAGAGTTCTGTCCTCAACACGCTGTTTCGTGCAAAGTGCCTCAAGGGTTTCCAGCCTGCAGGAGTGAGAGGGGGGTGGTTGGTTCAACCTAAAAGGTTTAGACACAGTCTCCTTTCTTCCTTCCTTGTCCCCTGTCTTTGTCAGCATTTATTTCCCTCTGATGGATTTGCCGCTGGTGATGGGGCTCTGTAGCATCCAAGTGTTTAACCAAGGAGTAAATTGCCGGTTACTTCCTGGCAACTTTCTGATCTCTGTGTCAAGATGGAGTCAGTGGTGTAGAACTGAGAGCAAAGAGCCTCTGGCAGAGGCTTTAAAACAGACTGTGTGGGAACGGGAAAGGCTGTGCATGTTTGTGCGGGGTAAAGAGTGTGCACTTGGGTTCCTGTACATGTCTGTTGACTCACTGTCACTCGGGATGTGAGCGTGTGTATTGTGTGTGTAAGTGCCTTATTGTGTTTGCACATGGCCCTCCATTTAACCTCACATACTTCCCTGCTTGTCCCATCCATTAAGTGATGCACAGACCTATTTCTCGCTCGGTCTTGGTATAGTCTACGGTTGCTTGGTAACAGCCTGAGGACACTGCCAACCTGCAGCCGGCTGAGACCCATATGTTGCATCACCTGCAGTGCCCCTTCATATTTCCCAGACTATGCTTGAAGACTCTGGCCCCTCGATGGAAAAAATCTTGTGAGGTCAAATCAAGGCCAAGTTGCCTGAAGGGTTTCCAGCAGTCAGTGGGATTCAGACCAAGAAGATATGCTCAATGTTGGTCGTATACCTGGAACAGATACTGAACTCAAAGAGTAATCCAAGTCTAAACCTAGTTTACACTGACCATTTTTAAACGTCTCCTATCACTGTGGATTTCTGACATTTGCTATGATTGTTTAAAGGCAGGGTTGGTAATCTGATTTAGATAGACTTTTTCTTATTCTGATTAAAATGATCTTTATGTTCCGATGACAATCATGACATGATGTGCTCTTAAAAAAAGAGCGAAACATAGCTGCTATCTACAGCAGGAGTAAAACGGTGAAAACACCAACCAATCACATCGTGTGGGTCCCAGATTTTTAAACCAATCAAATCCCGTGCTCACCTCCTGTGGGTACATGTCGCCGGTGTGCACTGGCCCTGATTCAATGCACATAGCTGAGCTGAGAGGGATACAGCAACACCGGAGAATGGCTGAGAAACTACCTAAACCCAGATTAATGGTGACAGAAAGATGGAGGCAGAGATGGACGAAGCAAGACAGAGTTTGGAGAAAGCAAGGGCGAAAACAAAAGTCAACATCGGGACAGCTTTTCAGCGATGGAGAGAACTGAAAGAGGTCAAGAGCTCTAAAAGTGATGCCATAGTCGCTCATTTTCTGTCGGACAGGTACGCTGAGGGTTTGTTTCAGGTTGAGTTTTAATCTTGATCATGTATTTAGCCACGTTGCTAGTTACGTGGACACCCCGATGCTAACGTTACCTTCTTTGTCCCTGCTGTAAAAAGACTTTCCAATCTAAAGTCCCAAAGTTTTGCAGCAGCGCTCGTGCATATGAGGAGCTCTAAGGGGAGGGGGGAGCGGATAGATGAAGTCCTGAGGAGATGCTACATTCAAATTCATGCTAGTTTGCCGTGATTACCAACCTTATCTTTAAATGTCTCGTGTAAAACTCTATGAGCTGTGCTATATAAATAAACGAACAAACCTTGAATTGATGCTTTGTAACCTAATTGGCTGTAACCACTTCAGTCTTTATAAACTCGGTTTTATGTAGAAGTTTGCCTGCAAAACTATTTCATTCACCTAGTGGAAAACGCTCCCTCTTCATAAAGCAGCTTAGACATTTGTCTCTGTTGTTTACGAGCTGACTGGGGTGACAAGATGGCAACTTCACACGCTACAAAGTCAGTGGAGGGCGATGGATAGTTTCCCCCTCCAGTGGGAGTGGAATTTATTGCACTCTGACTCTAAAGAGTGCTCTGAAACAGCTTTTGTTTTGTAGAGAAAAGCAAGAAATGTGGTCACATTAACAAAAAAATTAAATATTGATGATATCAATTAGTATAAATAGTAGCAATACTTGTAATAATAACAAGCCGATGGTTTACAACATTAATTATCAGGACAGAGTTCAGCAAAAAATTGTGTTTACATCACTCTGTACACTCTCAGTCTCATGTTTTGTTTACTTGGATATATTGATGTCTGAGACAGGGCATTAACAACAGGATTTTTGAGCTAATATATGCTTGAACTGTGTCTCTAAACAGCTGGTGTAGAAATCTAGATTAAGGCCCAGTTAATGCCAGTGTACAGCTTTGGTTTGCTTCAGTTTGCTTTGGTTTTTAAAATGAGCCAACTGGGTAATTTGATTAAAATTGAGTAAGTAGGATTAAAATATCTGGATTATAACATTGGCAAGATAAAACAAGACAAGAGCCAATAAAAGAGGAGTTTACAGAAGAAAAAGGGACTGAGCCTGGTTCCAGGAGTTTTCAGATTTAAAGCTGCTGTGAGGAACTTTTGGTTTGTGCTGGTTTTGGCGCCCCTTGTGGACATCTTCTCTCTCTTGTCCTGTTTCTTTGAATCCTACTCTATAACTTACTGTGAGTATTCACCATGAAAAATAAACTCCTGTTTTTTTAGCTTGCAGCCAATCACCTGGCCTGACACCTACCCCCTGCAGAGATTTCGAGTATTAAAAAAAACAGCTTTGTTCCTGATAGTCTTGTTTACTTTTGGAGGTCATATTTGAAGGCATCGACATTGGTTTCAGACTGTTTCTCAGCAATTTAAAAATCTCCTTACAGCGCCTTCAATGTAAACAGACTACTGGGTGATAAAACGTTGATATCTATAAAAAATTAATTTTCCTTGATAATGATATGAAACATGGTCAATATGTTTTTCAATAGCCGGCATTCTGCCATGTTTTGATAGACTATATGATAAGCAAATGAAAAGGGGAGTTGCTCCGGGTCCGCTTTGCGCTGAACCAATCATGTGCTGAATTAGAATCAAGTGACAAACAACTGCGTAATAGCAGACTGCAGCTACACGCAACCTTGAAGCCAACAGCTTTTTTGGTGAGAAAAAAAGGAAACGAGTGCTACCCCCGGCAGAAATGCAGTTGAAGGCTCAACAGATGGAGACATCGTTGACAACACTGGCATGAAAACGGTGGTGGTGTGGAGGTATTTTGGTTTTTTGAGGTCGGACATGAAGCAGAGTAATGTGCACTGCAAATTATGTTGAGTATATTTTTAAATTTAATTTGAATGTAACGGGGAACATTTAAGATTGACAAGTGATCTTTTCATATCATGACACATTTTGATATCGACAGATATGAAAAAAATATATCTTGATAAACTTTTTCGCTTATCGCCTGGACCTAGCACGAAACTATAATCCCACAACTCTTACAGTGACCGTGTCACTAAAACACTCTGAAATCCTTGTTGCTAAAATGTTGCTAAAGTAATAAACTTGCCTTGCCTAAATATCCATTTTTTATTAGTCAGGGTTTTTAAAAATAATCAGTTTTTGTATCTTGAGAGGAAAGCATGACAAGAGCAGAACTGCTGTTGATGCACCGTTACTTTCATGTTTTTCTGGACTTTTCTGGAGCAACATTTATGAGGTTTTTCTTAAAGTATGAGATGAAATTCTGGTTGTCCTTGCCAGAGCTGACACAAACACACACAGATGAGCCTTCAAACATTTTTTTTTCTTCTAATGGACCAAGGACAACCAGGACACACGTACTACAGAGCTGTGCTTAACATTGTGTACCTTTTCAGTGCCACTTAACATGTGTGATGGATCAGATTCGCTCTCCTACTTTGCCTGCAGAGTTCCAGAGCTGCATTTATTGATATTTAAGAAAATTACAGCATTCAAAGTGCGATCCTCCCCCACAGCCAACTGGTTCCCACCTACAACCTATTAAGAAAACATAGGAAGTAGGCTGCCAATGGAACCGGGCTGAAGCACTGATTATATATTCCTTGACAAAATGGTATTTACTGCTGAGAGGCAAAATATTGACTGTAATGTTTAGTTGACCTAGAAGTGGTTATTAATATGAGATATCAAGGCTAAAACACAATGCAGCATCGCACACAGGACGCATATCAACTCCGTATCAGGAGCGTATCGAGCGCGGCTCTGCTAACGATATGCGCCAAGTCTATTTTTGCTGCTCTACGCTTCCAATACACGTCAATCTACACAGAGAATATCGTTCTAGACAGGAAGTCAAGTAGAAAACGTGCATGTCATCCGGTATTTCAAACTAAAACACCATATGCGAACTCCCGACTGTGTATCAGTTTGTGTAGATGAGAAATACTTCCTGGTTTTGGATTATCAATAACACAGAACAATCCCATGGTCAATTCCTAGTCCATGTGGACCCCAACAGGACTTTTAATGCTAACTCTGTCTGAAGGTAACAGCTCAGCATAAAGGAACATAGTTTACTTTATTTAACACAAGTAAACCTGCAAAAACCTAAACTTTAAAATCACGTTTCTTTTTCACATACAGTAGAGACTCAACAGCCACTGAATTATATCCAAACTAGAAAAGCACTTGGAGAGCGCAGACCTCCGCCAAGCAGCTCATGTCCCCCCTTAAACAAGAAATGCCCTGACCAGGATTCGAAACCAGGACCTTCTGGTTGTGAAGCAACTGTGCTAACCACTACACCTCTGTGCAGCCTATCTACACCACTGTGCCGCCCATTGGTTATCTTTCAGCATTGAAAATTCCAACAACACCCTTATTTTTGTGTGCTCTGGATCACAGTATCCAGAATTTGTGGGGGGCATGTTGTTTCTTCTTTACTGAGCCCATCTGACCGGGGCTGCTCTACGCTGCTGGCACGCTCCAAATATGCATCCTATGTGCGATAGACAGCACTGCTCTATAAGGCAGATGCGTGACACTGATAGAACGCGCTCAATATGGATCTTGTATGTTTTCGGCTTTAACCACTAATGTTAAGATCCTCCTTCACTGTCAGGAAGTTTATTTGTTCAGCAACCAATCAGGTCTTACCCTGTGGCAAATGACCCCACTTTGGAACAAAGGCAGACCCTTTAGATGAGACTTCCCAAGCCTTAGAAATACCACCCTTTTGTCTGTTATCACTTTTGCACTCTTATAATTCCTGAGAACAATTTACTGTTTTTTTTTTCCTTTGCAGTGTCCTTGAAAAAGTATGTTGATTATAAAAGATCAAACTGGCGGTGTTACAAATGAACTGTAGTTTGCATGTAAACAATTATGTGCATACAGGATGAATGTCAGCCCACATGAAAAGGGTCTGTAGGTGTTGAATGAATCCCTGTGATGAACTGGCAGCTCAATGGCCAAGTGTCTATGAATAGCATAGATGTGGGGCTTTCTTTGTTATCAGCATCTATGGTTGCGCTGCATCCGATCACATTTCCATTAAAGGGCTTCAATGAGGAGGTTCTCCTTTTCAGCACTGCATCTTCCTGTTTGTTTGTAGAGGTAATAAGGAGAGAATTTCCTTATTGAAGTATGCATAATATGTTTAGATGACTAGTGGGAGGCACAGACTGCTATTATACTTGAAACAATGAACTAGGATTGTGTTTTTCAGCAAGTGGGTCGGAACCCAAAAACTGATGCTGGGATTTTTGGGTCCTTTTTCAGTCCTGGATTAGCAAAGTAAAAGCCAACACTATCCAAGAGTCATTAAAGTCCCACTCCGATCGTTTCTCAGTGGTCTTTAAATTGTGATTATGAAGTTTTTTAGCCAAAATCCTGTTATCTGTGTCAATTTTAAGGGCCTTTCTTCTGCAGAGCTCCAGTAGCTCATTAGAAATTCGCCTCTGAGTCGTGAGCGGAGACAGCGCTGCTCTGCACACTCCTCTTCATGCTAGCTTGCAGCCTAACAAAGCCGGTGTAGAAGAAGCGGCAGGTAACATCGGAGCTATTCAGCTCTCAGACACTAATGTCTTTGGGGACATGATGAAAGTTAATATAATTAGCTTTTTACATGCACTGCAATCCGCTAACGCATACACTTGTTCCACAATCGTCCTCTCTACTTCTCTTTGTCTGGCCTGCATAGCGGGGCTCTGTGGGCGGGGCTTGGAGTTGTGACATAGGAAATCTCATTGTGTCTGACCCTACCGTTTAGGTCTGCCGGAGATTCACAGCGATTTGAATGCAGAAATACTCTGTTGTGACCCCAAAATTATGGAACGAGCTACCCCTCCAAATCAGACAAGCCCCCACACTGTCCATTTTTAAAACTCGTCTTAAAACCCATTTTTAATTCATTGGCTTTTACCCTGCATAAGACTCGGCTCCTGTTTTAGTGTTTTATGGTTTGTTTTTAGTTATTTGTTTCTATGTTTTTAAATTAGTTTTTGAAAACATTGAAAATATATTTTACTTTTTAATATTTGCTTTTATTTTATCCATTGTTTTAATTGTTTTTTGATTGTTTTTTATGTCTGCGTTCTTTTGTCTATTTATGTATAGCACTTTGTTCAGCTGTGGTTGTTTTAAAGTGCTTTACAAATAAAGTTAAGTTGAGTTGAAATATTATTTTGCACTACTTTTTCTCATGATATGTCCTGTAGCATCAGAAAAATGCCATATGAACATGTAGACAACTAGGAAAACATGATTTTCATCAGAGTGGGTCTTTAAGATTTCCATGTCTGCTGAGGGTCTGCTTCAAATCAACACAAGGATCTGTTCTGTTGTAGACAGAACCAACCTGAGGGGTCTTTGCTTTTTTATCAGGTAGGTGAATGTGTGTCTCGGTTGCCTGAAGGAGTCTGCCCTTGCTGTGGCTCCAAACTACATCATCAGGACAACATCTCACTTTTTCCCCTCTGATATAAGATGCTGGTAATCCAGTTTCATTTTACATATTCCTGGAAGTATCCTGCTCTTGATTATTCCCTAAGACTTCTTAAGGAATCTGCAATAACCTGATTTTCATTCCAGGAACCACAAAAAATTTCATATCCAATTCATTTGCCTAAATAAATCAGAGAACTACATACTGTAATTTAAATGAGATTTTCACTCGAGCAGTGATACGCTGCATCTGCATATGCTGAGTAGATTTGTGTGCTCTCAAGATCCCGTGACCCAATTTAGGGTTCGTAAGAATCTGGCCATCCTTCTTACATGGTATTGAGTGTCAAGGGTGATGGATTTCCTTTTCTGAGTTTCAATCTAATCCCACTTCATCCAAAGTAATATTTGAGTTGACTTTGTGTCACAACTTCTGCAGTGAATCAGGAAACGTGCAGAACTATATTCCAAGTAGTACGGCTTTTTTATTCCCATGTTGGATTATAAACTGATACTGAAGGTTAACTATTTTCACGCAAATGTCCAGACTAAAAGATGATTTGTACTATTTTGAGATCTATTTTGGCATAATCTGAGCTTCACTATGTCTGGGTCAGTGGTCCTTGAGCGACAAGGACATCGGCGCTGATCCACTGCACTATAATGATCAAGCAACAATTTTATGGGATATGTTTAAGATTAAGTTTCTATGGTACTAGAAGTCACAATAATGTACAAGAGATGGACTCTATTCCAGGGACAGTTTGTCGAGGCATTTTCAAAACACAGCATAATACTAGAAGTCATAGGATCATCATTCTCCTTTAAATCCCACTAGCACTGGGATTTTTAGTGGATTTCATATTTTTTTTGATCAAATAGAGTGTCTTCAAATGTTTTTTTTTTTCTTATCAAAGGCTGGTATCATTTCGCCGACTGAAAGATTTTGTTTTGACCAAAATAAAGGGGTTTCTTATTCAGTATAAAGGCAATAAAGTGTAGCATATCTGTCCCAAAGCCACTTTGCTCTCTTTAGTGCTCTGGCATAATTGGACACAATGTTTAAGCGAGCTTCCCTCGCAATAACACTCAAAAAGGATCTAATTACCGCGGCCGAATAGTCCTCAAGTGGGTGAATTAAAGATGTATTTGGGATGCTGCCTCTCCTTTCCTTGAAACTCGAGGACTTGGTGCCTTATTGTTCAGGTTCGAGTTTGTAAATGGGGGCTCTAAAATTGACACCAACCCAAGGCTCCTCAGTGGAGCTTTAAGTTGTGTCATTCTTTGGAGATGTAAGGTTAATCTAAACTTATAGAGTGTAACATTTAAACTCACCAAACTATTTACAATGGTAATATCTTCACTTCCTGTGGCTAATCACTAAGAAGAGCTTTTGTCAGCTGGGTATAGCTGATATAAACAGGCTAACTGTTGAAAATAACTGCAATTAACGTTTAATTAAAAAAAAAAAAAAAAAACAGCCTGCATTGGTATATAAAACAGGACAAAGGGATTTGATTAGTTGAGAGAAGCCTATATTCTTAATCTGCATTAAGTGTAAAGAAACAACAGAGCAAATGATGGATGAAATCATCAGTCACAACGCAATGGTCCTGATATCATGATGTCTGCTGGAGGAAAACTTCAGCAGGAGTTCACTTTCCTCTATTAACGTTTATGTATGTGCTTCAGTGATGCCCAAAAGTGGTAAATCAGATGCGCTGGGCCACTAATCACACTGCAGAGCGACACAAGTCCAAAGCAAGAACATATTGTAAAGGGACATTACGTAATTGTGTGTAAGTGACATGAGTACATTACATCACACCAAACACCTTCACAGGTCAGTGGACGAGTAATTTAGATGGACAACATTGATGACGACCAAAGAGAATAATACTGACAAGCCTTCCCTCTGATCCCCCCCTTAATAACCACCTCTCTCTCTCTCCTCCTATGTCTTTCTCTCTCTGTATTCACTTCATCTCTCCCACAGCAGTGCCAACATGCTGCCATAATAGCCATTAAGATGTTATGGTTTTCAATAACTTTTTATAGTTCGGGCATCTGAGGCCTATTTGCAAAATGAACTGATGAGACATCAATGATGTGTGAGAAGTGCACTGTAATCATGTTAACTTTGAGAGGTTAAAGCTCAGTGGAACGGGTCAATCAATTTAAACAATACAATCGGGGGGTTGTTTTTGGCAACAGGAAGACAGATGGGACATGTCATATTTACATATCAAACATGCAAACCTCAGCCTTGGGAAATATTCAGAATATCAAATAAAAGCTGCTTCCCCAAAGAGTCCTCACTAAAAAAAGATCAAACCTGATGTTTCAGGAAAGTTGTACTCCACTCTCTGTAGCTTTGAGAGTGTCAACAAACCTGATGATGAATGTTCAAAGCTGTCATTTACGGAAAAAGACGGTCCCATTGTTAGTTTAAGTAGATGATAAAAACAAAAGTGAATGCAAAGCTTGACGGAGATGAATGGATATGCCAATCGTCGGTGAGGACTCCATTCAGCTGTAATAATGACTAGTGTTCCCATTCTGCTCTAAATATTAATGCTCCATTCTTTAATATCTTTTTGTAATCTAAAGAAGGAAAATAGTCTGAGAGATTTTAAAAGTCCTTGTTTTCTTTTCAGTCTTTGAAGAAGCATGTTGGTGTTTGCATATGATCAACCTACAGAAGCGGTGAAGTGACAAAATACAGGAAAGAAAATGGAAACCAACCCGTTAACATGGAAAGACAGAGTTTCATCGGAGGTGGGAGAAAGTAAGGCATAGGGCTGGTCGATAAAATGAAAATTTACCGACACCGAAATTTATGACAGTAACTGACGTCATTTTGCCCATGTCAATATATTCGGTGTCAAAAAAATAAATAAATAAAAGTTGGTTTTGGATGTGTGTAGGTAGGCTATGGTCTCTTATCCCTTTAAGATGCTGTCCTATGTCTGAGACGTACCTCCACCCCATCCAGTCTGTAACAAAGATGGAAAGACAGGTGAGGAGATGGAGGATTGTTCAAAAGTTGGAGTGGCTGAAGTAGACGAAGTTAATGTGGGAGGGGGTGAGCAGCTTGTTGAGTAGTTTCTTTCCTTTTATCATTATCGAGGTGAACTGCACATTATATTGTGAGATTGATTTGAGGCCGTATCACGCAGCCCTAATAAGGCATGCATGTAACCTAAACCTACTGAAATTTAAGTTTAATATTTTGCTAGGAAATGTACTGCAGGCCAGAAAGATATAACCAAGATGCTGCTGGAACAAGTTTCTGCTCTCTTTTGGTAAATAAGACAGTTTCATAGACTCATAAATGGGGAGCTAAGTTAAAAAGCTGATCCAGATTCTGATTAAGCTCATTTTCGAGGAGGACAGCACCACATAAAACAAGATTTACAAATATTAAATACTGATGCAGGTTTTTGAACTCGCTGATTCCCCAATTTCACACTTTGTGTTGTTGTGATATACAATTATACGGAAACTTTTCAAAAGAGTTGAGTTCATTGTAACAGAAGCCATTAGTCGGTGGTGTGTGCGCTTGTCCCGTAAATGAGGACACAACTAGGTCACTTCATCAACAAAGTAATTTCTGCTCAGGGGCGATGGTGCACCTTACTTCAGTAGTTTTTTTCATCTGGCTCTAATGAGCTAATTACCGACTGATTCCGATGTGGCAACTGTTGACTCGTGGTTTTATTAAAGCTGGTAAGGAGTGAAATTTTGATCTTCGTGGTTGTTGTTTGTTCTTTAAAACTGAAAGTACACTGACTGAAGGCGGAGTTTGCAGTTTCTTTTAACATGAGGCAAAAGAAAGAACAACTTGTTCAACACGCTTTTACATCACATGGTCGTGTGGCTGACTTTTTTTCCGTTTAATTACATTTAAATTACATGATAAAAGAGGGTCAAAGTCATGTCAGTATTCAGTAAAACCATATGACATTGGGTCTGGTATATATATATATATATATATTTTTATAAGGTAGTTCTACCAGCTGCTTATTTAGGTAAACAGATCAAATAAAAGGTAATTATTTTAGGGTCATCTGATCACTCATTTGGCCCCAAAAGTACAACTTAACTCACATGGGACTGGACCATTTTGACTTTATGCATCTCTACACCTTTCAAACCAGCCACTTTGATATAATGTACAAATGCTGTTGCTATGGTGACATGCGCACAGGTTTGACCAATCATGCTTTTGTACTAATGGTGTGTTAAATATAACTCAGAAATAGGAGGTGTGAATAAAGTCACACCTGAATTATCAGAGTTTCAGTTACAAAGTCGAAAATAAGTAGCCAATGGCCAAAAACAGAAGCGGACACAAGATGGCCACGTCTACAAGAGTTATTCTCGTGCTTGCCTCCAAATCTAAACAACTTCTGGACAAATATGCGATCATTCTGCAACCTGCAAACACAGTGGGTGAAGAGGAAACACAAATGCGCAGAAGGTAGCCAATTTTTTCCTCACTACAGGAGCTTCTACTTGCTGTTTGCAACCGGCACCTCCTTTTTGAAATGTCAACTCGGAGTTGTGTGGATCGTCCAACTTTCCGAGTCGGAAATCTGACCTCGGGAGTCATTCCAGTTGAAAGTTCGGAAATCCAGACTTTCGAGTACAACTGGAACGCACCATAATTCTAAATACCAAAATAGAACCTGATAAGGTACATAAAATTGAGGCAATTTGCATAGAGGGGTCCAGCCTCGACTCTGCCTGTTGACAATGTGGCAAAAACCTAAGTCCAGACAGAACAGAGAAAGCAGTTTAAATAAAACACCCACTGTGATATTTGCAGATTATAAACTGAGCTGTCAGCTGATTGGGCTGGTGTTAGAACCAGCTGATCGACTCTTAGGTGGACTTGACTTTATGGCTTGCAACTCTACGCTCACTGTCTGTTTGTAGCGTTTAACACTGGGAAACATCGCAGCAAAAAGCTCCCATCTCAGGCTTGTCACGACAGGCGGGGAGTGACCACGGTGTGCACAGATCCAAGGGCAGCCTGGGGGCCTCAACCTTACCCAACAGAGAAAGGTGAGCAATATCCTATCCTGCAATCAAGGTAGAGTTTGATGGGATAGTGTTATATGGTGGTTATGCAAATTAGAATTTGGACAAGGCGAGCAGCACCCTGATGTGAAGCAGAGAGGTCCTGTCCCCGGAGATACAGACCGTCCCCTCCTTGAGAGTCCCTGTGATGTTTTTCTCCGTATCAGCACTCAAAGTATGCCACTTGTCCAATCAGATGACCTGTTCAGAACTGACCTTTGCATAAACCGAGATGTCAAAACTCTTGGTTTTGTCGAGTTGTCAGAAATGTTCTCTTAAGAGATCAAGATCTCACCTTAGACCGTACAGAACAGTACCATCCGGGTGCAGTCGGATCATCCTGTTCTTCACAGTGACACCGTGGACAAACGATTTCTTGTCGTTGAGGAAGTAGGTGTCTGGGACCCAGAGCTGATCAGCCACCCGGTTATCTAGGGTCAGGTTGAGCGGGATCTCGGAATAGGACAGCCGCTTGTCTCGCCAGGCCTGCTGGAAGTACATTGTCAATGTGTAGTCCTGTAAGTGCAGAGAGAGAGAGAGAGAGAGAGAGAGAGAGAGAGCAAAGGGGAGCAGAGTGGGGGAGGAGAGGGGAGTAAAAAGGGTCAGAACATCAGAGAGGAAGTAGATAAAGAGGGAAAAAAAGGAGGAGGAGGGGAGAAAGAAGAGAGGGTTACCCCAAAAGCAACGATTTTATACAGCTGCTCTGTTATACATTTGCGCTGCATGCTCTCAGATTGGACCAGACGAGGCTTCAATATTGGATGAAGCTCGCTTAAAAGCAAATGGAGCAGTAGCACTACAGGCCAGAAAACTCTGGGTACAAAGCAACGGGGAATATCTCTCTTTTTATAGAAACACGAAGACAAAAGTGTGAAACAGTGTGTAGAAATCAGAGAGGGGAGCAGAGACAGGCAGTTATGAGTGTACGCAAGTTTGAGGTCTGTTAATATATGATAAAATAATACGTCTGTCTGTCTTCCTTAGTTGGGTTAACATGCATGTTGGTGTGCTTTTGTGGGGATGCAACTCTCGCACTAACACAAGTGGAAGAGAGACGGAGTGCAGGAGCGACCGCATGTTCCAGACAAATGAAAATAACCTCAGAGCAACCTCAAAAATCTGTTTTACAAAATATCTCCTACATGCTCTATTTGCTTTGACAGTTGCTGTCTTTCTGGGATTAAGCCTTGTTTGTGAAATGGGCCTCAATATGTATTACTGGAATAACATATTCACCCATTTTATTCTGTGTGTCTTCCCAGAACCAGGACTGTAAACCATCCTCCTGCATCACATCAAGACAAGCGCAGACAGTGTGTGCAGAGCCTTTGAAAGGACGGTACACATTCGGTTTGATTCTTTGACGTATGTGCTGTACCATATGTCAAACCATTTTTATTCACCTCTGTGTAAATAAGATAAAATACAGACAAAACAATGACATGATTATATATCAAGACTAACCAGTGAAAAAGTTTGATCATAAAAACATGCTCATGAGCATGCAGCTTGTGCACATCACTGTTGTTGTCGATTGAAAACTAAAATGTCAAGTTTCAACCTATCATTTGTTTATACTAACAGCAGGGACTGACGATAGGTGATCCACACTGACAGAGAGAGGCCCGCTCTACATGGTCAGACCAGTACAGCCTTGTCAAGTTATCCAACTTTTACCTGCAAGCTGCCACACACTAGAGGTAGGGCTGGGTGATATGGCCTCAAATCAATGTCACGATATATTAAGCAGTTCACTTCAATAACGATAAATGGACGATAACTACTCCACAAGCTGCTCACCCCCTACTGCATTGATTTTGTCTACTTTAGCTGCTGCTCCAGCCGTCTCTGATGTAACACAAAAGTCGCATAAGATACAAGACTTGTGCACATTCAGCCGGCTAAACCAGCAAATGTTGTCACCCTTGTATTTTAGCAAAGCCACCAGTAGGGCTGGGTGATATGGCCCCAAATCAACAAATCAATATATATAGCAGTTCACCTCGATAACGATAAATGGACGATAACTATTCAACAAGCTGCTCACCCCCTCCCACATTAACTTCGTCTCTTCAGTTGCTGCTCCAACCGCTACAACTTTTGAACCGTCCTCCATCTCCTCACCTGTCTTTCCCTCTTTGTTACAGACTGGATGGGGTGGAGTCATGTCTCTGATGTAGGACAGCATCTTAAAGGGACATGAAACCATAGCCTACCTACACACATCCAGAACCAACTTTTATCTATGTATTTTTTGACACCCAATGTATTGCCATGGGCAAAATGACGTCGGTTATCATCGTAAATTTCGGTATTGGTAAATTATCGGTTTATTGAGGTATGCTAACAGGCAGGAGCGTGTCCAGATCTTTTTGGCTGGGGGAGCCCAACCTCTGTGCTGACGCTGCTAGGCTGGAGTGACGTAAGGAAGCCTACACAGTACACCAATAAATAACATTGATTATTGCATCTTCATTGTAATACCAGCCATATATTGTCTCTCACTAAGTTGATTCAAAGGCCAGAGAAACTGGCCTTCACACTAAATAAGCTTGGACTAAACCCTAGCCAAGAAACTAGAAATCTTCATGCTGTATTATTTTGTACGTTTGCTCAGTAAAAAATACAGCTTTTTATCATCTCCAGAACATTTCGAAGGTGAGGCTGTTTCTCTTGAGTAACACAAAGAGACGAATACACGGTTTAAAACCAGCAGGCTAGACTACTGTAAAGCTTTCCTTACTCCAAGAAAACATAAAAACAGCTGCAGTTATTCAAAATAGTGCAGCAGGGGTGCTGACAAGCTTTACACTGGCTGCCTGTTAGTTTTCATATTGATTTTAAAGTTCTTTTACTTCTTTATGAGGCACCGCATGGCCTCGAACCCACACAACATTTCAGAGATGGTTTTCGTTTATGAACCAAGACGTCGTCTCAGATCCTCGGGCTCTTCTTTTTTAACTGTTCCTCAGAGTAAAACATAAACATTTGGTGATGCTGCTGTCAGCCACGAAGCTCTAAGACTCTGGAGCAGTCTGACAGAGGATCTGAGAGACACTTTAAAACGTGAAGACCTATCTGTTTAGTCTGGATTGTTATTAGTTTTTGTGATTTGATGTTTAATGCAGGTCTTAATGTTGTTTTTTATTCATTCTTGATTATTTTCATCCTTTTTTGTTGCTATTTTAGTGCGATTTACAGCTATTTAATTGCTGCAAGTGTGCACTAGTCTCTCCCTCTTCTTTTTCTTCAAACTGTATAAAAATGTCCCATTTCTGCCACTTTTGGCTATTGTGTTTCTAGCTTTTTGAATGGCATTTGATGAAAAGTGCTATATAAATAAACCTGGACTGATTGATTGATTGATCTGTTCATCTATTCATCTGCTAATCATTCTGACTGATTCACTGTCAGTCCATCTCTATCATTTCTGCCTGTTCGTCTGATTGTATCACTGCCTGCCTGTTTTTTATGTTTGTTTAACTGTCCCTCTGTATACCTGTCTGTTTGCCTAACTGCCTCCTTGACTGTCTATATTTGTCTCTCCTGATCCTCCTCTCTCTGTCTCCTTTTATTCTGCTCTCTCAGGGCTTCCTATCATGGCAGATCACTCTTCGCCCATGAGTCCTGATCCGCCTGTTGAACAGAAGTTTTCCTTTCCACTGAGGTTACGCTCACGGTGGGTTAATGTTTGGTTTGTCAGACCTTTGTCAGCATTTCTTCATCAAATCAAGTGAACTTTCAAGCTCCTAAAATATTTTTTTGTCCTATAAATATAAAAATTTATAAAGGAACTCAAAGAAAGAACAGAAAGAAACTGGTTGTTTTAATCAAATTTCCAACATTTTTATCAACAAGTGCAGAAAATCTTGTTTTTGTTTCAGAGAAAAGTGTATTTTTGTCACTTCAGAGCAAAAATTAACCTTTTTTTTTTTTTAACATTTTCTGTTGATGACTTTTGTTAACTTTTTCTTTCATTTCTCTCTGTATACCAGTCTTCCTGTGTTTGTTCTGCTCTGGTTAGGTGTATTTAAAGCCTATCATATTGACGCTTTAAGAGCAGCTCTGTTCTCCCTCTCATCTTGATCAGACGGAGGATGACGGCACAGTTTAACGCCTAACAACAATAAATCAATACATATAACAGAAGCTCTCTGCTTCATTTCATGTAAATTAATAGACAAGGATGAATCAGCAAAGGTGAAACGTGGATGAAAACACTTGTACTGCGTCAGATTTTTTTTTTTTGCAGCATCAGCAATCAATGAAGAATCAACAAGGCTGTTTCTTCAGCCGCTTTGCTTGAAGAATAATTAATAATAATGGATCCAATTTTATACAGCGCTTAATCAGAGAAGCTCAAAGCTCTTTACATTGGATACATCATTCATCCGCTCACACAGTCACACCCTGATGGTGGTAAACTTTCATGGTAGTCACAGCTGCCCTGAGGCAGAATGACGGAAAGTTTTGCTGCCAGTTTGCGCCTACAGCCTCTCCGACCACCACTACACAACACTCACAGTCATACACCAGTGGAGAACACACACTGGGAGCAAGGTAGGTCAAGTTTCTTGCTCAAGGACACAACGTACAGACTACAGATAGGGCAGGGATCGAACCGCCGACCCTCCTGTCATTGGACAACCGCTCTACTTCCTGAGTTACTGCCGTCGCAATTGAAAAATTAAAAACTACTGTATCAGACAAATTAAACTTGCCATTTTTGTACTATTATTATTTTTTTTAATCATAAAAAGGCATCAAATGAATGTCTTTGTCTTTCTTAAAAGTCAAAACCTTCTCAAATAATCTTAAACTATAAAAGCATCATTGCGGCTTTCCTAGTACCCTAGCAGAGGATAGGTCCTCTACATTTGTGTGACACGCTGCTCCTGTTCCAAAGAAGCACCCACAGTTCATCGAAGTTTTGTAGCTTTAATATCAGAAAAAACGCTTCTACAATGGCCAATGATTACACGTGCACGTCAGATATAATATGTCTACACTTGGCGAAGTGTATCATTGCAAAACAAGGAACATAAAGCACGATCAACAAAACTTACGGCTACCTTGGCTCACCTCTCCACCCCAGTGCAGGTAAGACCACCCCTTATATAACCTACCGGGTTTAAAACACAGTGCCCACGTGACCCAAGCCCAGCCAAACCAATGGCAACCAGACAAAAGTAATTGAACACAGGATAATAATACAATTAAAAACTGCTAGACAAACATTTGTTTGATCGTAAGACAAACAAGAATATAGTTTGGTGAGAAAACGGAGAAAAACCTGAAACCAAACCTTAGTCCTCAATCATTCAGACTATTAACTGTGACTAAACTCAGAGTTGAACAGTTCACACAAGGATACATTTCCAGATGGCACAACAGCAAACACAAAACCTGAAACACATTCAGTAGGTTAATATTTCATCAACATTTAGAGGAAGTTTGATTACTTGCGGTAAAATTCCCTGATGCCAAATCTGGGACACGATGAAACAGTCAAGCCAGCAGTCAGACGCTCATGTAGCTCACTGAAGTAAGACGCCTACCAATCAGCCATGAAAAAAACTACGCTGAATAAAGTTGCTGTCGCAGGGAACTTTTTTTTGTCATGACTGGCACATCCTCTTCCTGGCAAAGAGGCTGAACATGCATTTTTGAAAATGCCCGTCGGCTACAGATCTGACATCCCGCTGCACCTTGGGATCTGGAGGTTTGGATATTGACTGGATGGATTCAGAGAAACAGGAGCAGCATCTCTCAGTGAAGAGCTTGTTTGACTTTAATAGGTTTTGTCATGCTGTTGTTGTTGTTTGTGCCCTATTTGGCTTAGGGTGCTGACAACTATGGGTTTAAAAGTTTAGTTCGTCTAAAGAAGTAAATGGTGGCAATTGCAGTGTTGAGCACTGTTATTGGAAATGGGATAGAGCAGGTGAAACGTATTATAGGGTTGTAGAAAGTTTTATTCTGACACTTTTTTTTACTTGTGCAATAAAAGCCTGAGTTTGTTATTGTGTTTATTTAGCAGGAAAAAGACTCTGAAGGGTGATTTGGGGGCTTAAAGGGATATATCGGCATAAATTTAAGTTATAGTCAAACACACACATAATGCTCAGAACAGCACCTAACTTCATCAACAGTACATGTTGCATTTCCATGAAGTAATATTCATAAATGTTCTTCCACAAACAAGCGGCTGCTGGAAGAGAGTGGGTGTTTGAGCCATTTTATCTTTATTATTTTGGGGGTTTTGTTTTGTTACTCGCACAATCACCACAAGGGGCACTTCAGGTGAATGGGCAGGTAAATGCTACAAAGGGACACAGGTGAAGCAGTGATCTAGGGAGCGGGAAGAGCACACGTTTTTTTCCGCTAATCTCTGACACCACTCTCACCCTCATCATCACCATCATAGTAAGTTGGGAATATCTGTCTTTTTTTGTTGGTTTTCCATTTAATCAACAAATGGCAAAAACACAAGTCAACATCAACCTTGGATTGGACATTGGATTGTACTAGAAGCGCATCAAAAACACCTCACTTCCGCAACCAGGTAGTTAATAAAATTCAGGTCAGCATAGTCACTATGGTGGGTGAGTTGTGTTTATGCTCTTTGCTTAAGAAACCAGGCAAAGCTAAAAAGATGTTTGATGGCTAGTACTATGGCTGGGACGCTATATGTACTGTTGATGAAGTTAGGTGCTGTTCTGAGCATTATTTGATGGGTATAGAGTGGCTTTTTAGTTGAGGTTTGCGCGTGGAGACGTAGACCGCTGTGTATTGCTATTGTGCGGTCGTTACTTAAGTCTGTATAACTAGAGAAGCAAGCAGTCGGCAACATTCATCTCTCGAGGGGGTGTCTAACTCGGTGTTACGGTGTGTTTGACCCTGACTTTATTTTACCCCGGAATATCCCTTTAATGAGATGTTTCTAGGCTGCCACAAAAATAAGGCAGTAGGTTGCAGGATGTAAACACTAAAATAATAAAACACACCTCTTTTTTCCCCCCTTTTTTGTTGATGTATAGAAATAAAAGCAATAAATAAGTATGGGGTCGAATAACTGGCTTGCTTTATACTTGTACTAAAGAGTCATTGGCTGCACGTGCCGCACATTCAATCCCTGGTTGGCGGTTATGTAACAGCTCACGCTCCGCTCTCTCTTGCATGCTGCGCACCACAGACACATGTGGCTGAAGAGATGCTTGTTGCCATGTAGTTCTTCTAAACTATCTCCGCTGCACTCATCAGTGCGCAGCATCAAACAGGAGGGTTTATGAAACATCAGGGAGGCTTCACCACCTCCCTCCCTCTCTCTCTCTCTCTCTCTCTGGTGGGCACCTGTGCATACTCACACTCAGAATCTCTTCCTGTCTTACTGAAAATACGGACACTGAAAACAGACATCTGCATTCCACTCACAGATATCGCTCAACCTGTCTTACTTTTAACTTTGAAGTAAAATCATGCGTAACATAATCAAACTATTACTTTCTGATATAAAAGTTCATCAAAATTCAATGTCGTTTAAAAAGGTTTGATTTGAAAATGTGGCCAAAAGCTTTATTTTGAAAGCCTCGCTGGATGTTTAATGTTTCTAAACGCAGACTTCACAGTCAGGCTCTACCAAAGTAAAAGAGAGCTGTTCTTAGATATTCATAATTTGAACAAGAGTGTGAACATATTGATATAATATGTGTTTCAATGCACTTTACTAATTCTGCGGCTGATACATATGCTTTTCGTGTGTGTGTGTGTGATTTTGTGCTGCCTCAGAGATCGCAGTCCGATGAAAAGGGACAGAAGGAAACAATGCTCCTCTGATTTTCGTCTGGCACAGTACCACATGTGAAATTCCTGCATGTAACACATCAACTGCAATATGCGACAGCAGGGATTGGATAACAAGGGCCCCGATCTTGTACATCGCATCACTTTGGTGCTTATAATAAGCATCATTTGTTAGAGCCATCAGCCACTCCGGCATATGTGCAATCCTCCACAGCACTTCATGAAGCTGAAGTACTCTTAAGTAGCTGTGAAGAAAACTGACAGTGACGCCGGAGTGAGAAGGTGCCGTGTGACGTGGGATGTTCTTATTAAACTGAATGAGTGTTTCCATTGTCATCCCTGAGAGCCTGTTATTGCAGCTTTATCTGCTTGTGGTTTACTTTGCGGCCTGGGCTCCGTGAAGGTGCCGCTGTGGCTAGTTTACAGTGAGCATAAAGCTCTCCTCCTAGACGGCTATACTGTGCCGCTCTCTTCCTTTTCTCTGTGGGAGGAGAAGGAGGAGGCTGTATATCACCAGAATAACTGCAGCTGCTGTGTGCATGTAAGTGCAAGGGAGGCTGTCATAACAGTAGTCATAATGAGCATCAGTACATAAAGTATGTTAGGGAGAGAAAAACGAGGCGGGATGAGGACTGGAAGGAAAGGAGACAGGAGTAGGATACAGGAAAAGTGATGTCGCTGTATGGGAGATGTTAGAGCACACGACACGACGACAGCAAAACAATGATCGTTATTACATTCAAACGGCCCAGCTTCTATACCATGTGAAAATCCATTTAGGTTAATGTTGAGCTCCATAGCATGTCCTGCTGTGTCTGTGTCGACTCATTTAGACAACTTCTTGATAAATACATAATTCAGAGTAACATAATCAAAGGGACAGCGATTTCTTCGTTTCATGCAGCGACTCAATCAGCTGCAGAGCTAAAAATACAGCTCCCTGACAAGGAAAACACACGGTACAGCCTGATATAAAACAAGGCAAACTAGGGATGTGCGATAAATTGATTAAATCCATGAAATGCATTTGTGGAGACAAACATGCACAGAACAGGCTCAGTCTGGGAAATGGTTTTGGACTGGTTTGATTTTACGGTGTCAGACTTCAAACAAACCACAGTGTTGAGTAGGGCTGGGCAATAAACCAGAAATTTATCAATACCGAAATTTATGACTATAACCGATGTTATTCTGCCCATGTCAATAAATTCGGTTTTGGATGTGTGTAAGTAGGCTATGGTTTCATGTCCCTTTAAGACGTTGTCTTACATCAGAGACATGACTCCACCCCATCCAGTCTGTAACAAAGAGGGAAAGACAGGTGAGGAGATGGAGGACGGTTCAAAAAGTTGTAGTGGCTGGGGTGGTGGCTGAAGTAGATGAAGTTAATGTGGGAGAGGAGAGCAGCTTGTGGAGTAGTTATCATCCATTTATCGTTATCGAGGTGAACTGCTCAATGTATCATGATATTGATTTGAGGCCATATCGCCCAGCCCTAGCGTTGAGTCATGTCTGTAGTTTTTAGGAGAAAAACGAATAAAACTCAGTCCATATGGCCCAGCTTGAATGCTAACCTCTAAAAACATATTTTTGTGTAAAGCTGTCTACTTCTAATTTTTCCTGATGAAATATTATTTGTATCTGGATTGATTTAAGTCAGTATCATAAGGATGACAAAAGAAATACTTTTGAGGTTCTTGCAAAACTTCTTCGCCTGCATCATCCTGAAAAAAACATCATGGATGCACATCAAAGTTTTGATTCATCCCCTAAGGGCTAGTCCAGGCAGGCCACTCAAGCTGCACTGTTTTCAAATTTGCCATGATTCATTCTCACAACCCTCTCACTTTGATAGTCACTTTAAACTGCAGGATTTCTGCCCACTGCCTTTGCTCAGACGTAGCCACAGCTGCTCCACACTAACCCTGCATTCAAGTTTAGCAGAACTTTAAAAAATGAAAATTATCCTTTTTTTTTCTGAAACCTTTTTTTTTTTTTACTTTTATTACATTATGTTTGTTTTTATTAATTAATTTACAGGTACTGAAATTTATGACAATAACTGATGTCATTTCTCCCACCATGTCGGAGAGAAAGTAAGGTATAGGGCTGGGCAATAAACAGAAAATTTACCGCTACATCAATAACCAACATCATTTTGTCCAAGTCATAATTTGGTTTAAAATAAATAAATAAAAGTTGGTTTTGGATGTGTGTAGGTAGGCTTTGGTCTCATGTCCCTTTAAGACACTGTCCTACGTCAGAGATGTGAATCCACCCCATCCAGTGTGCAACACAGAGGGAAAGACAGGTAAGGAGATGGAGGACGGCTCAAAAGTTGGAGCGGCTGGAGTGGCGGCTGAAGTAGACAAAGGTAATGTGGGAGGGGGTGAGCAGCTTGTGGAGTAGTTATCGTCCATTGATCAAGATGAACTGCTTAATTTATCGTGATATTGATTTGAGGTCATATCACCCAGCCCTATCATGTATGTCAAGTTCAGAACATCTCTTGTAATCTTTAGCGTAGCTTCCTCAGGTCGCCTGTCAACCACCTGATCCTGGTACACAATGGTCTCATAGTCTTCGAGAGTTTTTCCTTATGGAGCACTGACAAAGTTAACCTCATGATGTCTCTTTCTGGTTTAACAGTATGAGCTCCACATGCATGAGGAAGTCTAACCCACGTCTTCACCACTCACATCCACATCCACATGATGTGTTCCCAAAAGAACTCCGGAAAACTTCAAGTTTTTGTGTTTCATAACTGAGAGGGTACATTTTATAGCCCCAGTCACTGTGTGGGCTGATTTTCAGACAGTGTCAAAGATTCCAGACAATGCTACTTTTACAGTCAACCGCACAGCAGGTCAGTCAAGCCTCCAGGCAGCCAAATAGTAGAAATCTCACATTGGTTTTTATCAATAATAGAGTTTGAGTCTACAATGATTTGATAGTTAAGGGAATTTAGAAATGCCAGAATTAATCTTGAATAAGCTTCAAGTCACTATTTGGAATTTGTCAAGACTCGCTTGCTCAACCATTTTGACTTGAATCTATGCCATCTAGTTTTTTTTGCTCTGTCATTTATTTGATCAGCATGACAGGAAATAAACAAACAAACAAACAAAGTCCACCTCTTGAAGACTGCAGTTTAGGGTATCTAACCATAAACCAGACCAGACCAAAACAACAGAGGGTTGCTCCAGTTGCTCACTATGACCCCACCAACCAAACTTGTCCTCCATGCACCACCACATGGTCTAACAACAGCATGAAGATCTAACTCCAGACGGTTTGGAGTCTGACTAAAATTCCTGTTTGCTCATTTCCAGTGATCACAGAAATAAATCATACTTTACTTTTTTAAACAAAGATAAAATACAGTGTTTTACTATCTTACAGAAAAAGGAGCATTTTCTGATCTAATGTTTTTAGATCAGAAAATGCTTCCTCCCTCACCCTCTGGTGATGGGGTGCAGTATAGGTCATAAATCCCGCCTCCTCCAGCAATCTCTATGGATCTGTGGACAAACTTAAGAAATGAATCACACAGAATATAAATGTTTCTCCCCCCTGGTTGAGATGTTGACATGTAGTTACTGTCAGACTGGTTTGTGCTCAAGTCCTCTTTTTTCTGTACAGCTCCATTTTTAAAAGTTATGAAGGGGTTCATGTTTTCTATGATTGACACTTGATACAGCCTATGGGCATACGAAGATTGTGTCACACACTCGGGGGATACGCTGTTTGAGCCGAGCGTCATCACAGCGACTCTCCCACCGAGTATGTCCAATGCTTTTGCACAAGTGGTGGTTTCAGGAAGTGGAGAAAATTCCAGAATTACCGCGAAGACTTGGCTTCAAGTTTGTATATTGATGGAAGGCGGAACCAAATTGTCCATAATATAGTATATATATATATATATATATATATATATATATATATATATATATATATATATACAGTTTATGGTTATAACACTTAAAAGTTTAACACTTTAGCTTCCAATGATAGATTCATTAAATAATATAGTACAATGCTGCAGATCCTGTTAGCTGTAAACACTATTTTTTATACCAAGCTCTACATTTTCTTGGCTTTTCAGTCAAACATTAGTAAAAAAAAAATAAATAAATAAATACACATATTAGGTAAAACAAAAGTTCACCTCTGGAGTCATTTGTTAAATCTCCACTAGGGGCTCTGCTGACTTAAACATGGGCAGAATGGACGAGAGACATCACGCCTGACCTTTTACTTTTTTTCTTGAAGGGTTTCTCTTTCAAATCAAAAAAGCGTGAAAGGATTGTGAGTTGGAACTTTTACGGGTAAGGAGAATCAAAACAAAGCGAGATAAAGACTTTCAAAGCAGCACTGAGGAGCAGGAGAAAGGTTTGGGGCTGATGAGGTGTAATGGGAGGATGATGAGGACAGAGGTAGGAAGAACGGTGACTTCAGTCTGCAGGGAGAGAGAATAAAAAGGAATAAGGACGACCAAATAGCAAGAACCGGTTCTCTATCTCCTTCTTCCCTCTTTACCCTTGGAGCTGGTTTTTCCATTTGAGAGGCATGGCATGGTGTGGTGAGTTGGCTGTAAGGGATGGGGGATGTTGGCTGGGTTTAAGGTGGGGGTGGGAGGGGGGGTAAATGAAAGGCACTGGAAAGCTCAGTGGAGCAGTGATGCAAATTGCTTTTATTCTCACAGCTCTTCACTTCCAGTCTCTGATTTCAGCACCAGAAATGACCTCCCTCTGCTACCTTCTCCCCCTCTCTTTTATCCCTCTCCTCATGTGCCCCATCATTCTTCTCCCTCTCTCTCTTTCATGTTATTTTCTCTCGTTTTCATCTCCCATTTTCCCCTCATTCTTTTACACAAATCTTTATCCATTTCCCTCTCCCTATGGCCTCCCCCCTCGCTTCCCTATAGTCCCGCTCCATGTATTTATCTCATTCTCAGAGGAGCTCCTGTTGCATGTATTTGCATGTGATAGGAGGAAAAAAAAGGAAGAGTTAACACACGGTGAATGTGAATAGCTTAGATCATTCCTGCTAAACATGCACAGCTGAGAGAGCTGTCTTCAGAACATGACAGGTGTTGGATCAAACTCGGAGGTGCTAGATGGATTCTGAAGGGCCAAGTGAGGAACTCAGACTTGAAGATTTTCCCTATTTTTAAAAATAGTGAAACTTTGCATTAAAATAATTGTTTACCGACAGCAATATGAGCAAATCTGATATTTTGCAAATATTGATTGTGCTACAGTTAGGGATGGGAATCAAGAACTGGTTCTAAATGGTTCAATCCATCGACATCCTTTATATTTATCTGAATAATTCTCTTAACGATTCCTTTCTTCCAGGTGCCTTGAAAAACAGTCTCACGAGTGCCAGTCTACGTGAACCAGGACAGAGACTTAAGACGGTAAAAAAAGTAGGCAGAAACGAGCTAAAGCGTGGCTTAATTTTACTAAGAAAGACGACAACAGTGCAACGTTTGTCGAGCAATGATAACATACAGAGGTGGGAACACCAACAACACGCTTAAACATTTGTCAACGGGGCACGGCATCAAATATAAAGAGTCACATGTATTCAATGTTCTACGCCAGTTGTCAGCCACCGCTGCTCTGTCTCAGCACGGCATGGAAAGTACGTATGTTAGGGTGACCATGCATCCTCTTTTACCCGGAGATGTCCTCTTTTGGGGGGCCGTCCGGGGGGGGTTCATACAATCTTCCAAATGTCCGGAATGTGTATTCATTCATTATAAACGCAGCACACGCATGCACTGTCCTTGGGAATTCAGAATATGCGTTTAACTGAGTCAGAAGCGCAAAAAAAAAACACTCCACTGAACCAAAAAAGCCCTCCAAATTAGGCACACAAGTCTGCACCCACATAGTAGTGTCCTCTTATTGGGGTTTCAGAATATGGTCACCCTAATGTATATCCTGTGTTAACATAAGAACAAATAGTTCGTCGTTTGATTATTTTTAGACTCTCACTGAAGGTGGCGTAAATCTTTCTCTGTTATCAGATTCTTCATTAAATTCTGAGTTAACGTTGAAAACATGTAGTCTATTTTTTTATTAAATCAAAGAAAGGCATTGATAAGGGAATCATTAAAGAACTTAATCGAAAAGCAGAATCGATAATGGCATCGATATTGATAATTGATTTTGATTCTTGTTTTTTTATATCTTTTAGCAGAAGAAATCCCTGACAGATGTTGCTGAAGTATATTTATTTCTGTATCTCGCTGACCTTGAAGTGCTGGACTGAATCCTAAAGGAGTCTCTCCCTCCCTCAATCCTGTAAGTCCATCTTTCTCTCTCTCCTCCTCCTCCTTCTCCTCTTTGAAATTCCAGCAGTGAGGAGGAAATGTGATCCCTCCACCACTCAGCCATATGTCCACGGCACACTCCATCATCCACCGACTTCACTCCCTCCAAAAAGCCCTCCAACAACAAGTGGCTTTCAATTTCCTGTCTCACCCGGTCCTCAAGCCGTCAGCGACAGGGCATGAAGAACCTGGCATAGGGCACAGCCTTTTTCCAGATGCCTAATAATAAACATGGCGATCCCTACAGAGCTGAGTGACATATATAACCGTCTCTGGAGAGCTGTGCATGCAGTCTTTACCATATCGGCTCTCTATCTGGAACAGCTTGTGCACTGCATGGAGTAAATCTGCAACAGGAGAGCCTGCAGGGGGATGCTGCAGGGGTTTCATTTGGCCCATTTGCTTCTGAATAAATAAGGGTGAAATATTTAGAACATGACAGTAAGATTGACAGTTTTGACAAATATCTTAAAATGTGGCAAAAAAATGTCTATTACAAAAAATAACTTGACAGTTTGTTTGATGTATTTGGGGAAGAAAGGATCTGTCATGCAGTCAGTCCACCAGAGACACATGAAAGTTATTGAAAGAATTCTTGCTATCAGAAAAAAATGAACATCCCTCGGTATATTATCTCTGAAATAAATGAAAATGACAAATTTAATTACTTATATCTACCCAAAAAAAAGTTGGAACTATTTATTAAAATGTAATGCTTCAGCTTTGTGAATAAATAATATATTCATTATATATTTCCGACCTGATTTGTGTTCAAAATTCAGATTTCTATGCGGATGTGACTCACCGGTGACACGTGTGACATGTCAGACACTGTCGCACAAGAGTTTCAGGGATGTGCTGCTAGTCACCTTGAAAACCAAGACTGAAAGCAAAAGCTATTCCAGCTCTTTTACACTGAGACACAAAGGAAAGTGGAGAGAGAGAGAGTGCTGTGGTCTGCAAACAGAAGCAGTTACCTGTAATGGGTGGACTTCCTGTACCATTGAGTCCAACGTTTACTGACAATGAATGGAAAAGGACGTCCTGTGAGTTACAGACCGCAATGATGCACAAAACTTATGGTTTTACTGCAGGTTACAGAAGGATGGAAAATTACTGAATTAGAGCCATTTATATGACTACATATGTATGGATTTGTCGATACTTTAGTTGATGCATGTAATGAAAACTAGGGTGTTTCAAGAACTTAAGAATACCGACGAAGATTAGATTTTTATGTTTTGATTTAGGCTGGTAGATTATGGCCAAAAAAATAATCACGATTATTTTGACTGATATTGACATCACGATTAATAAAGACAATTACTCATTCAGAACTTGAGTATGTATTGATCCACCAACATTTCATTTCATGCTATGTGTGTTGAGCGACTTGGACCGCGGAAGGGCTGGAGGGTGATTGCTGACAATAACTTGCTAATGTTAACCCCCAATTTCCACCGCATCTGGAACATCTACGAAAAGGCTGTATCCGCTGATCGTAGCTATTCAAGTTAACGTGTCAATTTCCACCAGCTTCTTTCCGTTGTCTGGACGCTAGATTCAGCACAGATTAGTCAGTGCTGGACAGGAAGTTAGGCACATACACAAAATAAAACATCCGTTGTCTTTCAAAGTAAAACATTCTGTGTTTCAGGCGGATTGTATTTCACAACATGCAAAAGGGCAGGGATGAACAAGTGAAAAGTTTTTAGACAGCATTTCATCCTGATGATACCATGGATGAGGAGATGCTGATTTTGAGTTCTCGTGATTACCACCGTTCGTAATCTTCGTAATCTAATGGATCCTGCAAGAACTGGCGCACAGCAAAAATTGCACATGCTGCGTGGTGCAGTGCCCATGTCCGCATGCATATACTGACGTGAGTCTGAGTTAGAGAGTTATGTAGATAAAAATAAAAAAAACCTTCATATTTAAGGTGTGGCGGCTTTTATTTAGCCATGGTGGTGCACCACGATCAATTGCACATCAGGGAAACCCTGAAGTTGGTCGTGTTGCTCGACATCCATCAAATTAAAGCCAAAAAACTGAAGTTTTCCTAACTTCCTTCTCAACCAACAGCAGCCCTTCTGCCATGTTTTTAATCGCTCACTCCTCATATTAGTGATCCATACACATCACACGTAGGCCGCAGCTACGTGTAACAGGGGTGCATTCAAGGTGTTTTTCCAGCACAGGTACTTACATACACACCGCACCGTGCGGCGCATTAATCGTCTTTCTTCGATTATAATGTTTTTATAATCATAAGAAGCCAAAATCATGATTAAAATTAGATTAATCTTCCAGCACTAATTGTGATGCCTTTATTTCCTTGAAAACTGAGCCAATCATCAGTAAAAGTAGAGGCAGACAACAAATCCATGCTAAAAACAGCCTGTAATTTTGACACACAACCAGTTATACCGCATTACAGAGCGGGTTCTGGATGAAAAGAATATTTTGCCGTTGTATGAAGACAAAGACGAACTCTTTACACCCAACTCAGATGGGCAGATATGTAGATCCGTGGCTGTTTATCTGAATCGCACTGAAAAATGTAGTTACTTAGAGAAGCGAGCGTGTGCTTGTTTGTGTAGAGTGAAGGTCTTGAGATTGAATTCCCATAAGGACATTACTCCGACCAAAGCTTTTAGGCTCACTACACATTTGGCATTTTTCTTCCCTAAAGACATTTTCCTGAGTTTATGACATGTCGGAAACTAGATGACGGATTTCAATACAGTCCAGAGTCTTGTTTGTTTACTTGTACTTTGTCTAACCTTCATTTCCATCACACCGCTCCCTTCCCCCTCTCTCTTTAGGTATATATGTCCCCTTTTCTTCAAAGCTCTTTCATCATTTACTCCTGCCTGGACATAGCTTTCAAGAGAGCTCACCGCTGAAGGTGAATCAAATTTAGAGGGACCGCTTTTTTTTTTCTTTTCTCAGAGCTCTCCCATAGCAGAGGTTCACAGCTCCGCCAGTTGGCAGCCGCACGGCTTAAATGACTACATACAATTTATTAGGGTCGATTGAAGCATCTGCAGGCCTTTTTGTGTCCCCGGAGAGGAGTGGAGTAGAGTGGCAATTCAAAGAGGGAGGACGCTAGTGTGTGTGTGTGTGTGTGGGTGTGTGTGTCAGAGGGATGATGGAGGAAAGAAGGCATAGCAGAGCAGGACCTAGATTATTAGGGTGCTTTTGAATCCCTCTGAAAGACAAGAGCGGGAGTTGATGAAATTGTTATTGTTCTCATTCGCATAAAATGGAAGGTTAGCCGGCCAAAGAAAAGACAAGAAAAGAAAAATTTCTATCCCTCTGTGTATCATTTCCCACTTCTTTGGCTTGAAGAGATAATGTGAAAGGTAATAATACAAGTATTTTTCAGTATGTATGTCAAAAACGCCAAATTCCTGCCTCTTTGTTGCTGCTTGGGCATTTGACAGCTGTCCTTTCATCCCCATATTCTCAATAAACACACAAACACATTGATCCACTTGAGGAGACCCATGCCTCATGCATTATGGAAGTCTTTGGGAAGGAGGAATAAGCCTATTGCTATTCAAACACAGTAGCAAGAGGCCCACACCACATCTACACATTGTCAACAGTGAGATAATGCAATACATAGATGTGTGTGGATCGATGGGCACGTATGGAGCCAGCACAAGAACAAAAAACTGGTTATCAAGCTGTACCTGCACTGCAAATCAAGTTAACGCATGAGTGTGTGTGTGTGTGTGTGTGTGTGTGTGTGTGTGTGTGTGTGTGTGTCTTCCTTCTTTGTCCATGCGCTGGGTGGTATGAGTCCAGATTTGATGGCCTGTGTAGAGTATCTCCTTGAGCAAGGACACCCACAAAGAAGCAATATCTCCTCTCAGTTGGACTGACCTACAAGAGACACGGGGGTGCTTTTGGAGGGTGTCAGCTTTAGCGTTCATATGTGTGGACGTGAAAAAGAGTGTGTATACGTTCTGGCCTACCTATCAAACACATGACCTTAGCTTGGCCACAGGTATGCCCATAGAGGACCCGCAAACTAGAAGTCAAGTTAAAGCCATTGAAACAATCAGGTGAATGTGTATAAAGTTAGTAACTAAGTCATGTCTTCTTTTCCTCTCATTTGAGCACTAAAGGAGAGGTATTACATATGTTATATCTATGTAATTTCAAAACATAGCTATTGTGATGAATATTGGTCATTAGGGGTGGGAGAAAAAAACGATACAGCATAGCATCGCAATATTTTATCTGGTGATATATTGTATCTTCACATTAACCAAGTATTGATTTTTTTCAAATTGCCATAAGTGGCACTTATGCAGTCAAATTGAATCAGTCCTTGGATCAGTATCCTTATTTACAGCAACTTGTGTTTCTACTAATTAACAATGTTAAATACCATGATATATTATTACTATATTGTGATATGTCTTGTATGATGAGGTCCTTGCAAATATACAGTTGTATTGTATTGTATTGAATTGTGACACATGTATCATGATACGTATTGTATCGTGAGGTCCTTGCCAATACCCACCCCTATTGATCAGTGGAAATCCAGCGTTTAGCCTTTAGCCTCCTTGCTAACAGCGTCTTGTGCCCGCCTAAACTAACAATTCAGCGCCCCAGCCACCCCTTAATGAGTGTGAAGACAGAAATAACCTATTTAGACAACATTGTTTTTTTTGTATCAGGCTTTAAACGTGTTTACTTTTTTGAACAGATTTGCTTGTGCTTTTGGAGCCAGCCCCAGAGGACACTCAAGGAACTGCAGCTTTCTAAAACCAAGTTGCTGCATGTTTGTGAGAAGTATAAGCTTAATGTCTTTCTTGTCTAATATGACTTAACCCACTGAGCATTTTTTTTGGTCTAAAAGAGGTCTTATACACGTCTAAATGTAGCCTAGATGACTGGTCTAAAATCAGGCAGCCAAAGGTCTAAAAATTAAAGTTTTTTAGATGTCTTAGTTTAGACTAGCCTCTAAATCTGGGCAATATCTATACTACACTATATATTGCTCAATGGCTATCATAATTACTTTGGTTAAGTACTTGGAGATCACTTATGCAACTCAAGAATGCTTTTTTAATAAATACTTATCGAATAATGGGTTAAAGTGCAACTAGACGGTTGAAATTACGTCTCACAAAAACTAGACGTCTATTGCTCAGTGGGAAGGTTCAGGAGTATAGTCCTGTGTCGGTAATGCGGGAATATGTGTGTGTACTGTCAGTGTATGCTAAGAACTAGCAGCGCACCATAAGAATCAAGAGTATTACTTTTGTTAAATCTCAGGAAAAGAAAACAACATTTTAAAATATACAACTACATATACATATATATACAATGTCCAAAGTGGGTTACAATCATTGCTAAACTGCTCTCTAAGTTGACTAAAGCAGAAACGGTCACTCATGAGGCCCCTATGTTTTAATTTCACAACAAAACTCGGTGAAGCGTTTAGGTAAGAGACAGATATTTGGTTTCATTCAAGCGGATGAAACAGTGATGTGAGCATGGAGATGCCTTAATACCCCGAGTACTCTGGAATGAAAGTGCATCTCACAAAACCCAGCACAAACACGATCGTCGACACTAATCCTCACAATGTTATTTGTTTTCCAGGGGAGATGTTCTCCTCATCTCACCCCGACTGACCTGTTTAACTGGAAAAAGAGATCAAGACTGCACACTTGTTTTTCATTTCTATTTCTATTGGGAGGACAAACCTACAAATCTAGTTTCACTTTTCTTTCTGGGGGCAAAAATCTACTGAAACACAACAAACCTCCCTCTCTTTTTTAAACCTTTTAAAAAGTTTGGCATCGAATTAACAGAGGCCAGACATATAACTTACAAATCATTGTCACATACGATAAAAAGCAGTTTACATCATTTTTTTCATGGAAAAAAGAGAAAAGGTTACGTTTCTGGTTCCCTGCCGCTACTCCGAAGCCAGTGACACATCTAGTTTTGCATGACCAAAGTCACAAAGATCACACTTCAGAAAATGTAAATGGATCAGAGTGCAGAATACAAGCCAATACGCCAACACAATATGATGGAGATACATTCCTTGCATGCAGTCGTCTTGAGTGGGAGATGCTCAAGTGGGAGAAATTACAGCAGCAGGAAGGAAAGCATTTCAAGACGCTTACATGCCTGACTAACCTCTCATCCAGGTTTTCTTTTGCTCTTTATCTGTATCCTTGAATACACTCCCACAGCTGACATTATAAGGCTGAATAATTAAAAGAGCCGGGAACTGTTTCAGGCATCGTCTTTAGCGTCAGTGCTGACGTGAAACCCGTTTTAATAACGAAACAAAAGCACTTGTTTTCGGCTTCATTATTCCAAATGCACCACTTCCTAGAATCGTAACTGAGAGGGAACTACATAGGAAGCATTAACCTAAGACCCGAAAATAAGGCTGTGATTGCAACGATGCTTTGTTTTTGCACTTAAAGAAATGCACATTACAAACCGCTCTCGAGTTGTGCATGATTTATTGAAGTACAAATGACAGCTGAGAGTATCTCCAAACTTACTCTAGGTCAATGGCTTCATTATCCCCCTTGAGGCTATCCCATTATCAGCTCTGAGTGTCATGTTCAGCTGCTGTGAAAACCAATCCACACCCGCACGTCTCTCCTCTTTAGCCATTATCAACTCCTTGTATTTTGACAAGCTGTGAGAAAAACAGAATCTACTGTTGCCTCGTGTTCTATCGACGACCGGCGGTATGAGTTTCCACGCTCTGGGAAATCTATGCGGGAGTGCTAGACATGAGCCAAACCGCAGTGACCCTCCAGACCAATTATAAGGCTTTGATGACAGGACAGAGCAGCGAAAACCTTCTGGGTAAACCAATCAGCTTGTGGGAAACACACAAATCAATAGATATCTCATAAACACTTCTATTCTATAGAAATTAGATACAAGGCCCCGTGAAAAACAAACATGTTCGCTGGTTTTGGAAAGTTAGCCTTTGGAGAACGTTTAGACAGCTTGGAAACTATTGGGTTCATTAAAATGAGTACTCTAGGATATTCAAAATGACTGAATAATTTCTAGACAGAATAATGTATGAGTAACTACCCAGCTGCATTCGATGGCTTATTTGCTCTATCTCTCAACACATAACAGATGCAGTTTTGACAAATGTTTATGCCAGTGATTCCATGTGAACAAAACAAGGATTTGATTTAGACTCAGAGATTATTATTATTAGTCTCAGGTAGCATTGATCAAATATGTATTAAATCACTGCTAAATATTTGGAAATGTGTCTGAGAGAGAAAACAGGGACATATGTCAACGACAACATCTCTGTGTTAGTTAATCTGATATGTTGAAACACAGCAAGCAGCCAGAGTCAAAAGCAAAGAAGCAGGCAGTGTTCTTCATGCTGAAACCACAACCAAGGCTGTTAGCATTTACATGTCAGTCAAAATGCAATCAAGGTTAAAAAGTAATGAGTTGACTGCGTTTCTCTCTCTGTAGTTGAGCCGCTGTTCTTTCTTCCAAACTAACACCAAGTACATTTCATTTGTTTTTCACAACGAGACATCAGCTAGAATTGCTTTACATTATTAAGACGGACTTATAAGCGGTTTTAAAATGTAAAATAATGGAGATCCAAACATGCAATCACAAAAGCAATTTCAGTAATTGAGATTCATCTTTGAAATTCAGCGATGAATGTGGTTTAAAGACATTGCCTGCAGCCTTTAATCATTTCATACATTGCTAGCCCAAGACCTTTCATGCTGTTTGTGCCACTGAAGATAAAGGGACTGATGCATTCAGATTGTTGTCTTCACCTCATGATGACACACTGATAAACTTAAAGGGATATTCCGGCGTAAAATTAATTTTGGGTCAAACACACAGTAACACCCCCTTGAGAGATGAATGCTTGCTTCTCTAGTTTTACCAACTTTAGTAACGACCGCACAATAGCAATACACAGCGGTCTGAGGAGCCACACACAAACCTCAAACAAAACGCCACTCTATAGCCACAAATAATGCTCAGAACAGCACCTAACTTCATCAACAGTACATGTAGGGTCCCAGCCATAGTACTATCCACCAAACATCTTTTTAGCTTTGCCTGATTTCTTTTGCAAAGAGACTAAACACAACCCACCTACTCTCTTCCAGCAGCCGCTTGTTTGTAGCGGGACCTCGGGCCAGTCCATTACGGATTACAGTGGGGTTACACAGCTCAAGGAAGAACATTTATGATCATTTCTTTATCATTTCCTTGAAGTAATAATCACCATATTTATAATTTTACACTGCAGATGTGGTAGTTCTTCTGCCTTAGCGTTTCGGTCTGATTGCATTTCCATGAAGAACTTTTCTCATGATATGTCCCGTAACATCAGAAAAATCCCACACGAACATGTAAAAAACAAGAAAAAAAAGATTTTCATTGGATTGGGTTTTTAAATAGCCCACAAAGTTTAAAAAAATCTTTCAAAAAAACAAAATAAATATTGACTTCCAAAGAGGATCAAGAGAGGTCCTATATGCAGAAATACAGTATCAGTAAGGTTTTCTAATGCAGATAGTCAAAGTAGGTATGATTAGCAGGGAAATGGTACGTAAATGAGGTTCATATGCATGTGCACGTGTACTTTGTGCCACCCTTGTACAAGTTAGTGCACCAGTTGGGCTACCACAGTCAAAAAAATAAGTTCGGTGCCACTGATAATACTTTTTTATAAATGGCTTTATCAGATTTCAAAACAGTATTTTAACAATCAACAATTTCACCCTCACATTTTTCATCTCGGCAAATAAACGCAGTATATCTTAAAGGCTTGTCTAAAATTTATGATAACTATGAAGAAAACAATATCAAAAATATATATTTTAATCAGTACATGGATATACTAATAGACGCTGTTGATTTGTGTTAAAAAACGTATCCCGAGGTTGAAACACCACGTGATGCTCAAAAAACAAACTCCAAATACGCTTGTGCATCCACACAAAATGCACACGTTGTTAACCTTTGTCAGGCTATTGTGGAAGGATGAGCTGAAATGGAGCAATCTCACTCCACTCACACTTTATAGGATATCATGCTGAGTGTGTCAGCCTGAACACGTTACCTTGATTAACAATCTAAAAATAGGTCCCACACAATGACGAGTGTTGTCCCTAATACACGACACAGAGGGGATGCAAGGCAGGAGTGGACCATTTTGATTTATAACACCGGTCATAGGTCTTTGAAAAAGCACAGTGTTGGTTGATGCCTGGTTTACCTCTTCATCACTGGATCTATCCCACTGTCTGTGACCCTCGGTAAATATTACAGACGACATATCCTGCTGTGTTATATTTGATTATTATATGACTTAAGATATTTAAAATTTGATGTCATCCTTAAAGAAAAGGAGGACACAAATCAAGGATGTAATATAAAGCTCTACGACTTAAACACACTCCTGTCATCAGTTGTAAAAACCAAGTTTATAGACTCATTAATACAGTCAAACCTGCTGTTTTAATAGACACTGAGCCGTGGGTGCAAGCTGGGCTGTCTGCTTTTTATTTCCTCAACAACCCTTCTATATAAGCTTAATGGCTTTCAACATATTTCTTACAGAGCCATAAAACATCCACGGTTTTCCTTTATTTGGAAAATTTCTATACTGTAAGTGGTGTAAATCACAGCAGAGCTGACACTGTTGTTTTTATTTCACCAGCGAGGTGAGCTGCATTTCTTCAGCTAATGATCTGATCGTTTTGTTGATGCTTCTGTACGACTCATCATCAGCAGGATTGTGGTGCATATCGCTCTGTCTGTGCATGATTTCATCTCTAAAACAAAGGCATCAAAGCCCCAAAAAGAAACTTGATATCCTCTTGAGTCAGCGATTCTGGCTGCAAAATGTGAGTGTTATCTGCTGTATCTGAAACGGCTGCAACAACACAGAATCCTCTGTGGTTATTGTGATGTGTGTGTGTTAGAGTTTGGACAGAAAAAGGGATTCATTTCCGCAGCTTTGGCTACAGGATTATTTGTGCACGCATGTTTTCGCTCAACTCTTCTCATGTCTGAGAAAACAAATCCCTGAAATTCACTAATTTCAACTTTCTGAGAACAAACTTGGGTATAAAAGTGCAAAAATTGTGCAAACAGGCACAGTTTTGCAGGAATATCATCATCTCCAAAATTCAATAATGTACAAAAACACTAACATGTACCTAGGGCTGGGTGATAAGGGAAAAAGTTTCTCACGATATATATTTTTTTAAATCCCGTATCAATCTGTCTCACTGACAGTGTTGTCGGCTTCCTGTGTTAAAATGCTATGGTTGCGTGTAGCTGCAGCCTGTTACTATGCAGTTGTTTGCTACTTGGTACTAATTCAGCGCATGATTGGTTCAGCATGGCATGACCCGGAGCAACTCCCCTACCAAAACATGGCAGAATGCCGACTACTGAAAAGCACATTGACAATGTTTATATCGATATAAAAGAAAATTAGTTTTCGGTATATATCATGATTGTTTCATCACCCAGCCCTGAGTGTACCTAGGGATGGGAATTGATAAGATTTTATCGATATCGTTGCCATTATCGATTCTTCTTATTGATTCAAATCTTTAGCGATTCCCTTATCAATGCCTTTCTTTGATTTAAAAAAAACGTAGACTACAGGTTTTCACTGTTAACTCAAATTTTGACTGAGTCTCTGATAACAGAGAAAGATGTACGCCACCTTCAGTGAAAGTCTAAAAATAATCAAACGGCAAACTATTTGTACAGCATTTACTTTGGTTGGTATTGAGTCAAATACATAATGCTACTCGACAAATGTTGAACGTCACGCTGTTGTCGTCTTTCTTAGTAAACTGAAGCCACCATCCGCCATGGTTTTCTGTTCTCGTTCACGCAGAAGTAGCTCTTGTGAGACCGTTTTTCAAGTCATCCGGAAGAAAGAAATCGTTAATACAGTAGATTTCACAGGTGCAAAGGTGCAAAAATGAACTACACAAAGACAGAATCAAGCTGTCAGCCTCTCGTGGGATTTTATTTTAGATACAGCATCAAACACAACTCATGACAATCAGACTCACAACAGAAACCCAAAACAATCCCTAGAATCCCCAGAACTGTTCCTTCTTATACTCCCCCAATGGCGTCATTAGTCATATTTCCTGCAAGCGGCCTTCACGTTGGTGTCTGACTGCCAACATCGTGACTTCTTCTGTAAACATGTATTCCTTGCTGGCTGGCTGGCTCTGCCAATTTTCCTCTTGAGATAACCATTATTCATGTGTGAAAAGTTCACCCTGACCTGACCTCTCCGACTGCATCCTGCATCCTGTTTTGCAACAACATGTCTATTATTCGCTCCCAAATTAAGGGAATCATTAAGATAAAATGTAAACGATGTTGATGGATTGAACCATTTGGAAGGGGTTCTCAACAAAAACTGGTTCTCGATTCCCATCCCTAGGCGTACCCTTATTATTTTTTTTAATATGAAGCAAAGTACTCAGTCTATAAATGACTGTAGGATATAAAACTTAAAACCTGGACCTCATGCGAGTGGAAAACTGGTTCGCTGTCTCTGTAAATGCGCTTGTTTATCGTGCACAGTTCATGTGAAATTCAGCAGATGTGATTAGTGGGGTTTTCACCACAAAGACTTAACCAAACTGTAAGCAATGGCACACATACAAATAGAGCAGTGGGGCCAGTGAACTGAGAGATGCTTCCAGAAATGGTAGGCCGGCCGATTAACCCACTTCGATTTGTAACTCTGTGTAATCCCCCCTGCAGCAGGGCCCGAGCCTTGTGTCATTAACACACAGGCAGAGGGAACACGAATGCGGCGAAAAAAGAGTGAGAGAGAGAGAGAGGGGGAGAGGGAATCAGAGGGATGAGTGACTGTACCGGGGGAATAACATCAGCTTGATGTGGGACAGGTGTGGAAATCATTGCCCTGCGATGAGCAACTGGCACGATGGCAATATGCTGTCAATTCCCCACGCTCTGCCCACTGACAAGAAAACAAGATGCTGCTGCTTAACAGACCTACAGCTGCAGGAACTGGGCTGGAGTCGGATGGCGAAACATCCAGCCCATCATTCACTGTCACAGGCAGCAGTGAATCAGATGCTTAACTAGTGAGCTTGTTTAACCTCAGGAGAATTGATTACACGCCTTCCCTTTCCTGACATTTTGAGCCGCGGTACTAATTGTACAATAAGCACAGTCTGTGACATTAATAATGATCTCAACATGCATCTTCATGACGCCAGTGCTTTGTGACGTGTGTGTGTGTGTTTGTGTTTGGTGTTGGGTCTGCGTCATTCTGCTCATTAATTTTGCACGCCGCGCTTTATTCTAAAAAGAAACGCCGATGAAAGTTGTGTAAGGGGGAGCTAAGAGGCGGTAATATCATTTTCAGAGGACCCCGATCAAACACATGAGGAATTACTCCACACAGGCTGACAACAAAGTGTTGCTGCAGGGCTCTTAGTAAGTCTAAACAGCATCAGCTTTAAACATGAGAGGGAACAGAGAGAAGGCTTTTCTGCACGACTGAGGGGTGAGAACACATCCACCACGTCACGGCTGAATTTCCAGTTATATAAAGTGCTCGTAAATGTTGTCTTTCTTTAGTGTCTTGACTCTTATTTTCTACATAAAAAAGCCAATATGATATATTTAAGCCACACTCAAGATGCTGAGAGGCCCTACTTTAACACTGTAGTTTAGCTCTTTATTTACGAGTGCTTGCTAATTCTGTATGTTCACCATGCAAAGTTCAATATTTTCCACCAAATCCAAAGTAGAGAGTCGACCACAAAGAAGAGTAACCTGATGGTAGCGGATGGTAGATTAATGGTTTGGAAAAGCATGCCAAAATCTACGAGGTTCATAACTATGGTGGACTGACCTCGTCCCAACCTCATGACTCCCTGCAGAGGTGCCAATGACATGTCTGAGGTGAGCATGAAAAGAAATTAAACTGTAGAAGAAGAAGAGAAAGCTGACGGCGGTGTTATACCAGCAGAAACAGCGGGATGTCGGACAGTGGTTGAAGAACTTTCCAAGCACTTTCTGCTGAGATAACAGGAGAGGCGAAGGATGTTTTGAAGTCTACAGAACTGCAATCGCTTGCAATGGGTGGACTTTGAGGTTTGCAGAGTCTGATGTAAAAATGACTGCGACTTTTACTGACAATAAGTGCAAAATGCATTTTTACATGCTAGTAACAAGTAACAAAATACACCAGACTTTAGATCTTTGCACACGTGGGTCGTGTTCACACCAAAAGGTCTGTTTTCTGATGCAAACCAAAGCAACGACGATACATTGATGATACATCGGTTCAATTTCTTAACTGGTTCAAAAAGGCCAAAACCAAACGGTCCAAAAATTGTCACATGGCAGCAAAAGACGCTCAGTGATTGCTTATACAGTTAAGGCGGGTAGACAACAAATCTCTCACAATTTTTACTGTTCATCAGGGAGCATCGTCTGCTCGTTCTTATGTTGGTGCTGATCTGGACTGCATATCAGCAAAATTTGACGGACCACAATAATGTATTAATACATGCACGTCGCAGGAGACACTCTGCAGTCGGACATTCATATCACAGAAGATGAATAATGAGAGCCTACCTCCAAGATTTTTCGAGGCGCGCACCAGAAGTAAACCACTCTAGAGTTCACTTGATAGCGGTCTGAGACCACCCCTACCAGACGGACCCAAGAGCGGTTGACTGGTCCGCACCAGAGTTTGAGACCAGCGTTCACACCAACCAATACGAACCGCACCAAGGAGGTAAACGCCCCAGGGTTCAGTTCAACTGGACTAAACAAGGCTGGTGTGAAAGTAACCTTAGTCCATTTTTTCCAGATCTGTTTTTTAAGGTCTGAAAACTGATGCAAAAAAAATGTCATTCTTACTGAGTCTGATGCATTTATTCTTTCTATTTAAAGTGAAAATTCAAAATAACCCATCATCAAAGTTATAAAAATACAGGAGAAAGGGGAGTCCAGTCTGCCGGGGAGTCGACGTCTGCCAATATATACATTTAAGACTGACAGAAGAAGATTTTGAAACTGAGCATGAACCCGAGGAATGTAAGAGAAAAATGTAAAAGAAAGAAAAAGGCTGCACCCTGAACTGGAACATGGATGGATGTTAATTCTATATATATAAAAAAGAGTTACAGTACAAGAAGCCAGAAAGTGCAGCAACTTCAGAAACCTTTGTAGTTCACTGACAATATTTAAAGAGATGTCTGCTTGAGAGGAGAAATAATAATAATAACGCTTCAGACGCCATTTACCCAGACATCTTTGTACACACAGCTTATGAGATTTTGACTGCACAAAAACCTGTGGTAATCTTGTCATGATGACAGCTGCTCCGTCTACATCCCCTCCCTCCTCTGCCTCTTGTTCATCCCCTCATTTGAAATGCCTCCTTTTTTTCTACATGCACAATTTCTCACCTGCCCACCAGCTGCTGATCTTTCCTTGATTTCGGTCCAACACTTGATTCAGTCACCTGCACCCCCAGTTGAAACTGTGATTAGCCTGTTTATATAGAAGGGTTAGCTCACAGTTATCCTCTGCCAGATTGTCGATGTTGTTACGAGGGCTTACTGCCGCAGCCTTCATTCTGTGTTAACTGTCTGTACCTGTTTATATTTGGCCATCTGCCCGGCTTTTAATGCACTGCCTATTGCTCATACTGTCTTTCATTTGCTTCCCATATTTGATTGATTTTCTTTCCTGGTGTTTCCTCATCTACTGACGAGGGATGGGAATTGAGAACCAGATTTAGACGAAAACAGGTTCAAACTAGTTTAAGCCATCAACATTTATTTGCCTTTATTCTTACAAGGTTGTTCTATGTGCAAAACAACGAAAGAGAACAACAACCAAGGAGTCAATGAAGTAACCACAGCAGACATGGAACAGGTGTGGTTCAAACGAATGTGATGTAATGTTGTTGTGTTTGTACACTTCAGCGTTAGAAACAGAACTGTGAGTTGAATGGACTCACTTTAAAACCACTTGCTTCACGAGACCAGAGGATAAACCTCATGTGTTTCTGTAAAATCAATGTCATTTTATTTCACACAGAAGATCAGCATTTTTTTTAAAGACTGTCTGTACCTAATCCAGTAAAAAACAAAGGTCTGTGACGATTTATGCGTGAGTTTTAAGTAGGGCTGGGTGATAAACTGAAAATTTACAGATAGCGAAATTTACGACAATAACCGACATCATTTTGCCCATATTGGTATATTCGGTGTCAAAAAAATAGAAGCTGGTTTTGGATGTGTGTAGGTAGGGTGTGGTCTCATGTCCCATTAAGACGTGACTCCACCCCATCCAGTCCGTAACAAAGAGGGAAAGACAGGTGAGGAGATGGAGGACGGTTCAAAAGTTGTAGCAGCTGAAGTAGACAAAGTTAATGTAGGAGGAGGTGAGCAGCTTGTGGAGTAGTTATTGTCCATTTATCGTTATCGAGGTGAACTGCTCAATATATTGTGATATTGATTTGAGGCCATATCGCCCAGCCCTAGTTTTAAGATGAAGAAGAAGAACTTTATTGATCCTTGCAGAAAAATTCATTTTTTTGAATAAACTGTAACTTTTGTTGTCAGCTCAATGTGTTGGAGAGGCTGCCAACTCTACTTCTGGTCTTTCAACTTATCAGAGACAGTAGTGCTGGACGATAATTCGATAACAATATATATCGATCGATAGACGTGTGGTGCGATAGAAAAAAAACGGGTCGATAAAAAGTTCGATAGAAAAACACAGTTTCCCTTTCTTTTTCATCATAGCCTATCATGTAGCTTTTACTACAGTCATTACTTCCTCCCAACCAATCACAAACGCAGACCCAGGTACGCTACAGCACCAAGCCCAGCCCCTCTCAAACCACAACAGACAGCACGTGTATTAGAAAAAATGTCACAGCAAGGAGAAGCGGAGGAAATTGTCCCGAAAAAAGGTTTCAGTAGTTCACCAGCATGGCAATGTTTTGGTTTTTACAAGTCTGACAAAAAGCGAACAGCGGTCGTTTGCAAAATTTGCAGAGAATTAGTAAAAACCAAGTCTGGTAACACAACCAACTTGTTTTACCATCTAAACCGATCGCACCCGCAGGAGTACGAGCTGTGTCGGCCGCGCCGCGGCTCCACGTCGTCGGAGGAGGAATCCTCTGGAACCGCTGCCAGCACCAGCACAAAGCATGTGAAGCAGACCAAACTGGACTTCGTTTCTTGCCAAAATACGACAAAGCGTCCAAGCGGCATAAGGACATCACCCATGCAGTGACATGCTGCCAATAACTACCGTTGAAAAGCCTGGCTTCGACCAGCTTCTAGCCACTCTCGACCCGCGATATGAAGTGCCCGGCCGCAAGTATTTCTCAAACACAGCGCTTCAGGCATGAAAACGGGTCAGGGGTTGAAAAACTGACAAGGGTGCGGAGGAAATACGTTCCGGTGTTGTGCTGTAGAATGCACCCCTGCATCCCGTCCACTCATTAGCTTCTTAAAGTGGAAGAAAATGAGCTCATGCGCGAGTATTTGGATCATGGCTACTAGCAGGGGGTGCGTTCGGCAGGGGTGCATTCTACGACACAACACCGGCGTGGATAAGTCCTGCTTCTCGTGCTCAGTTTGCGTATTAAGTCAATCATATGATAATTAAAAAAAAGAAATCTCCCGACCCCGGGAGACACCAGGCTGTGGGCAGTTTCCCACACAGTTAAAACTGGTAGTATGCTATTCCCACCTTAAGCTATTCTGTTTATTTATATATTTGTTTGTTTTGTTTATTTTCATCAAAAGACTATTTAAATATTTATTTATCAGATTTTCTGGTCACTTTAGTCTTTATGTTTGTCAGTATTTACTGACGTCACTCAGGCCACTTAAGTTGATTTCTTTTTTTTTTTTTAAGTTCTTTTTTAAAAAACTTTCAGTTGTGGTAAAAAAATAAATAAAAAGGTGGTTGAATAAAGGTTTGAATTTGATTTTAGTGCTTGTGTGTTCTTTATTAAAAGTAGGTCATTAAGCAATAGCATAAAACATCCAGGGCTGCAATTAAAATATATGTTAAATAATTATAATAATTATATCGATAATTATCGATATCGATCAATATGATTTATTTTTTATCGATATGCTTTTTTTCTATATCGTCCAGGCCTAAGAGACAGTATCTATGATCAGCTGACCTGTAAAGGCCCAAATAGAGTTCAGACTTCACCTTCACAAACAGAGCAGTGAAGGTAAACAGAACTGATAATGGCATGGTATCCATTCAATCTTCTCATTCCTACCAACTGAGTGAGATTTGAGCTCTTGTGTTTATGCACGACTGTTTTGGTGCCACTTCAATGCATTTACACGAGTTAAAATACCAAGCTGCTGATAAATCTGGGCTGTATTTTCGTATTTTACACATTAGACACTATGGCTGATGTTCATTAAGTCATTCCAGTAAAAACCAGCTTTATTTTTTTTGCTTCTTGAAGCGGAGGACCAGCATGCACTGCTGTAGGTTGTATGCAGGAAGGAAAACTGCCAAGACTAGTTCTAATGTCATGAAACTAAAAACCAAACAACTTGTTTCTACGACAGTATTTGCCCGAGAACCTGGTACTGCAAAAACAGCCGACTCAAGGGGCGCTCATGTTAGCTTGGTAGACCAGAGAGTGACCACTATGACCAAAACTTACATGTTAAATCACCGTCAGCTCAACGATCTGTCAGCAAGGAGAAGAATAAACAGAATGAATATTGTTGGAGAAATGCTTCCCGTATCAACAGGTGGATCTGCTGCTTTCAGGGAACTAATGAATGAAATCCTGTCGAGATGAGGCAGAGCACATTGGCAAAAGTATTAAACCGGATTTTTCTATGTGACATTTTCAACCACTAGGGATTTTGCAAGAACTTGGATTGTTCCTTGTGAAGGTCCCATCTGCAGCAGACACATCTGACATGCAGTTTTTAATCCAGATAAAGCTCATCTTGCATCATGCCGCTTTGATAATAACGCTTTACAAAATGAGTCGTACTCGCAGAAACCTGAAACCCCCACTGTGCTGCAATTGTACGCCCGATTATTTGTCTCAGAAGAGATTGCGTTGCCAAGTACACACTGCAAAATGTCACATCTCATGGCTGCACCCACGGTAAAAGCAATGACTGTTGTTACCTGAACTCATCAGTATTCCAGTGAAGGAGACATGAGCTCACACTGATCTCATGTGTAATGTAGCTTTCCTCTCATACAGTAGGAGTGGGGCTACACTACAATGCCACTTTGTTATTGATTTTACATATGTTTGTCCTGGTTTCCCTTTTGTGACTACATCTTCCAAAGAAATTGGAGTAAAATCATCTTTTATGTATCGACCTTCCTCAGAGCATCACAATAACATTATTTACAGGGAGTTAATTGATTCCTGTGGTGAGTAAAAACCTGTTCCTGTGTAATCTATTGTCATCTGTATCATCAAAGTCCTGTTTTCTGTACACTGTCATCCCACTTAATGTAAGTCCTTCTGCTGCATTCAAGTGGCAAATGAATGTGATCTAAATGGATTATGAGACTCGACAGGGAGGCCGATGTATCTCGACCTCCCAGCATGAATAATACAAGGTGAAGAAAGAGCGGTTTCAACATCCCTGGTGACTTTCTTCTCGATTTGCTCTCTGTATTTTTCAGTATAATCTCAGTGACCATCTATCTTCTTCTTTGTTTGATGATTTGGTGGAGAACTGAAGCAGGTTGTTGCATATTTTTTTCAGGTAGAAAAGACATGACTAGGGCTGTAAAGTCCTTACTGGTCGATACTAGTTGAGTTGACCAAAATTCTGATTGGTCGACTTGATTTTTTTCCGCTTCAATTTTCAGTCTTTGCTTAATTTCATCAAGAGGAATGTACCAACTGCTGTTGGGGGTGTTTTCAGAGCACCCCCATTTCACAGGTAACAGCTTGTCTAAGAAAACCCCCTTGTTTTCACCATTTTGGATTCGCCCAGCCCACTGGAGTGGTAATTCATCATACAATGAGTGTGCATGGTCTAGACCTACTCTATTTTTGGAAAGCGTCTTGGGATAATGATTGTTATGATTTGGTGCTATATAAATAAAATTTGATCAACAGTTTGATTGACTGGAGACCAGCTGGAGACAGTAAGATTTTAAAGCGTCTACATTAATCAACTTCCAGCGGTTTGGTGAATAAAATACTTGTGTTTTATTGCCTTCTTGTGCTGATATCAGTATATTTTAACCCCGTCGATTTTTGGTCGAAAATTTCAGAGTGTTAGTCGACCAAGACTTTCTTTGGTTGATCACAGCCCTAGAAATGACTTTGCGAAACAAAATGCATGTAATCCAAATGAAAGCTAAATCTATACAGATCCAAAGAGTCAAAATAATTTCACTCCAAAAATAGTTACAGCACAGCTGGACATAATCCACCATCACGTGCTTATAGATTTGTTGCCTTATATTTGCTCCACTGATTGTTGGGTCAGTTGGAATGAAAGACAGAGCTGCTTACAAAGATACTTTTAAAGGTGACTACCCCATCCCTCCAAATATATACTGTGACAAACATGGCTTTACAATATGATGGGCAGACACTGTCCAAGATTAAGTGGTACTGTGTTTCCTACCACTGTAAAATAGACTAAAACCACCATCAGCGCCGCTTTATATCCAACAAAAGTAAAGGTGACCATCAGTGACAAGACTGACCATGAAACTTTCTTTAGTAACTTTGAAGCCCTTCTCAGGTATCACACAGGAAGGCATATTTGACCAATAAAATCAAGCAGGATAAGAGTTTCTATAAAAACACTACTGGCACATGTGAGGATAAAATCAACACAGACATGAGGGTTATCTTTTTGTCCAAAGGGTTGGCAAAGATCCTTGTGGGAGCTTAAATGATGAGCAGACTGTGACTTATTATACAGACAAAGGAAGAACCACTGCGAGATTTATCAACAAGCATATCTGCCGTACCACATTTCATATAAAGAGACAGGCTTTAAAGACAAACAGCAGAGATTTACCACAAAGCTCTGCAATTCCCCATGTCTAAAAATAGAACTCCAGATCACCGATTTGGGTTTATGACCAACCTTTACTTTTATGGTTCTGTTTCATTGCTTTCAACCCTGTTTCAAACGGCAGGACGCAGCTGATTCCAGACTAAACACTCCAGTTAAGCTCCTGGATACCATCTGCCTGGCATCAAACTGAAAATAGACAACTACCTGCTGAACAGAGTGGAGCATTTAGCAGCTAATGAGACATCTATTTCCTTTAGGACTTCATGAATACCAAAACAGGACTAAGATAAGGAAAATCATGGATTTACACTCGCCGGGTGGTCTGAAACAGGAGTCAACATGAATGCTGGTGTCTCATCTGGATATGTTATTAGGAACACTTTGCTAACGCATTTGCAATCATCTCTGTGAAGTCGTTCTGCTTTTTTTTCTCATGCATGCAAAAAACTTAGTGTGAAAGGTTTGGAAAATATCCATATACATGCTTTAGCTGCATGGCATAGATAGTAAATGGCTGGAATTAAAAGGTCTGCATCGTATAAAGGTAACCAGTCACATTATTTTAGCAGACGGTTCCTTTTTTAAAACAACTGTTCATGTATTTCCCCTCTACCTTAACATTAACATGCAGTTAAAAATTCACAGTGAGGTCCTCCCTTTGTTAAACAACATTATCTTGCAAAAGAATGAAGTCAGAGTCTGGTGTGTGAAAGATTAATCAATAGCACTTTAGGTCTTGACACATTATTTACACTCCAGCACTCCAATGTAGACTAATCAATCGATTTTAAATCATAATCGAATTATTTGATCATGACAATGTTAAAAAAAATAAAAATAGTCAAATCGATTTTCCTCTCTATCATGTCTCATGACTCCAGGCCACTGTGGGCTCCCCCTTCCTGTGAGAGCGCTCCCCAGTTCCCACACACACCAGTGTAAACAAACATGGCGTTTGCAAAAGAAGGCAATAATTTTGTGTCTAAACAGGACAAGAGCAAGTCAGTCATGTGGAATTGGTACGGCTTCACAGTTTTAAACAAAGAGCAAACCACTCCCCGCTGCAAAGTCTGTCTCAAGGCGGTATCAACCCCTCCACAAGGAATCGAAGACAGGAGTAATCTAAAAGTTTGTCGTATTGGCGTTTCATCCACACAGAAACGGCGCTTCAGGCGACTGTAAACGGTACTTTTTGAAAACGGGAACGGGAGTGCATAAATCCGTAAACGACTACCATTTCATCTCCATGTGGATGCCCATCGGCATCTCTGGAAACGATTATGTCACACACAGCGTAACTCAGCGTAACTCGGCTGCGCGTGTCCGGCCAAAACAACCTTTTTACGCATGCTCTGTACTCTTCTTCTGTGTTTTGTGCATTTCCTCATCATCATTACAGCGCCACTTACTGCCTTGGCATATACACTACATCATTTTCAGTGGTTTCATTTTGAGAGATGATAGAAAAACTTTTAATTTTTAAAGTGAAGTTTGGTGAAGTTGTCACTGAATAAAAAAATCGAAATCATTAATCCAAAGTTTTTGGCCAAAATCGTGCAGCCCAGTTGCAAACACTCTCTGAACTCTGTTTTGCTCTGCTTTATTTGTTACGTAACTCGAACAACTTTTTCCCGGTAGTTGGACTGATATACGAGTTTGTGGGGAAACATGGCTTATTGTTTAGAGAGGATTAAGGCTTATGGATGAGTGTGGGTACATGAAACACATAGTGATTTTTCAATTTCACTACGAGCCCTCCTTGTATGTGCCCAGAAGGTTTAATATAGTCTGAAGATAAGAAGGGTTACGATTAAGGAGTCCTTAAAAGGTTTCAAGAAGTTAACTTTTAATGGAGTAGTTTTGAGTACAACAACTCAAGACTGAGAAAAATCACGATGCAAGGGCTCACTTTTGAACACTGCATCCAAATTAAAGAGATCACAGCTCTCTCCTTGTAACACTTACGTCTTCTTAAGCTGTACTTGTCCATTATTTGACACTTTATCACCCACGATTTCATCTGGGGACTGAGGCCAATCCCCATCTGCTCATTAGTTTGTCAAGAGTTTCAAAGATAGAGCTGAGATGGTTTTAATAGCTCGTCATTGCCTCCCTGAATTCACACTTTTTAATTGAGCCTCGCACATTACTTTTTATTTATTGCAGATCACAATTGGAATGTGTTTCAATCTGTGAATCTTCACACATTGCCTCGACACTCTCATTAGTTACCATGCAACCATCATGGAGCAGGTTCGGAGATAATTTGAGTACTTGACAAAGCCTGCAGTGATCCAGAGCCTTGTGAGTCAATTTCTGTGAGACCCAGCCAGCAAAACTGTGTCTGGAGCAGAGCTGCACGATATTGGAAAAAACTAACATTGCAATTTTTTTCAACCCTGTGATATATATTGGGATATTAAAAAATACAGGAATTTTCCCCAGACGACCTGAATAGCACTATATGCTATCTTGTAGACAGTTGTCCTGCACTGATCTTACCTCTTTTTGTGAATGTTAGTAGAATGGCTTCTGTCTTAGATATATTTTTAGCTTGCTTGTAATGTGCTCGGACTTGTTATCTCTTGTTGTGGCAACAGATGAAAGGCACTGCCGACACAGAACACGAGTTTGGTCGACGTCATCCTTCTTGAAAACGAAATAATTCCACATAACTGATGTTGCTTTTCTTTTTGGCAACAAGTCTTAATTTTCGGTGGTTTTCTTTTGTTTGTTGCTCATTTTGGAATCGTTGTTGTTGTTACCGATGTTGTGTACAGTAGAGTGGTCCAGGGAAATGTACAATTTAAAACCCATACAGTTTTTATTTGTGGGGCTAAACAGTGAAAGTGATTATCGGCTGTCAAGCGTTTCTCGGCACAACACCGTCAGCGCTAGCGACTCACTCCATGTGCAGGGGCGTGGTTTCCTCCTCTCTGATTTTGATTGAGGGTAGTCTGCTTGGCAACAAATTTGATTGGTGGATTGCTACACAGCACATGCAGAGTCTACGTGTCAGTCAGCTACCCTTGAAATTAAATGAGTTCATTCGCCTCCTACATCGCAGGCTCTGCTATGCGATTATCACGCACACGTACATTGCAATGACGATGCTCAAACTAAATATCATGCAGCCCTAGTTTGGAGCGACAAAAAGACTCAGTGGTGTCACTGTCTCTTTCCAGTAAGTTGCATATGTTGTTTTTAAAGGATAATTACACCACATTATTCATCTTTAGGTGAGTAATATTAGCATCACATTGGGCTGATTAGGTTGATGTCTCCTTGTGATTGAACTCATGGCATTAAAAATCAAATTTGTGCCATAAAAATCTTTTAAAATCACATTGACATCCCTTTTGCTCCTCATCAATTTACACTTCGGCCCACATCAGCTGTATAATATGGATGGCTGCTGCAGAATGGACTGAGACACGAGTACAGACGCAGACCTAATATCATTTTAAAGCTCTCAGGCCTCGATAAGATACGACTCAATACCACATAAGTGCTTCCGCGATCTTTCTTTCCTTTGTTATCATGTGCCAAGAAATAATCTCTTGCCTTTCCGCCGACATCCATTACAAGGCAACACATTTGTTTAATATATGGTATAGTTTTCAGGGGAACCTTTCTGCGTCTACAGCGCTCATCCTGTAAGAGATATCTTCTTCTTGGAAAAGGGAAGAACTGGGTACTAAAATCGGGGAGAGGGGGGCTCCGTCTCTGGCAATCAATAAGCTCCTCTTGACCTTTATGAGCATCAATAATGGTATTTCTGCCTTTTGGAGGGGGATAAAAAACTTTAGCTCATCCTCTGATGGGAGTATTTCTCCCCCTGTGAAAACTGCTGGCTTAGGAATCAAGTGCTCAAGAGCTCAGATAAAAACAAATATTGAGACTTAAATGGCATTCAAGGAAGAGCAGAAATGAGAACTGCTGCAAGACTGGGAGAAATAAACCAAACCTCCATCTATACTTGGGCTTATCCACTCCTCCGTGGAGCCGTGTACGCTCTGAGCCTCGCGAAGCCACTCGCCTAGGGTCGAATGTCTAACATGCTATTTGTATTCAGCGCGTGTCCCTCTCTCTATGTCCACCTCTGAGTCATGCAGAATGAACCCTCAGCAACACTAGGTACATGACCTTCCCTCCAACACCATTCCCCCCTCCTCCCTTCCAACTTCCCAGCTTGGTAACTTGTTAATGTCACATCCCTCACCCCTCTATCTATCTCTGTCTCTGTCTGAATCTCACTTCCTCTCCGTGTCACATCCACAGGGGTGAAAAATTTGACCCTTAGGTGTTGCACAATCATATCTTCTGCCTTTTCGCCCCTGCAAGGCTTGAGGACTTTGGCTCTGACACCCAGAGAACGAGTGACCTTTCATGGGTATGTAATGAACACCAGACACAGCCTCCTCATTCCATGTCTGGCTCCGGGCCTAAGTGACATGTAATGTAGTTTTATGCATGGTATATGACTCAGTAAAGCAAGCTTCTGGTACTTCTATCCTTAGAGAACCTTTACAGACACCCGCGGCTACATCTTCTCAGGCAGGTTGTTCCTGTCGAGGAGGAGAAGAAGGAGGAGTGTTTCGAGGGGTAAATCATGTTAAATATCTGAGTCCAGGTCGTTCGTTGTTGGACATCAGAACTGCTTACGTGACAAAATACAGAGTAGGACTCCATGTCCTCTGGGCCACTCATGCTTGAGGGCTTGCATACTTAGTTCGGTGACTCATCTGGCGTGTGCTAGAGGCCCGTGTTGTTTCTAAATGGGTTTCTGCTTTGTGACATTGGTAACAAAGTGCTAAAACAGATGGTTTAAGACAACCCTCTTTGCAGTTCTTTATTTTAATGGCCCCTCTGGACAAAATCAAATAATGCACCATGTTATCATGGGTCCATGTCTCTGCTTTTAATGCAAGACCCTTCTCAGACAGCAGCGGTAGATGGATAGAAGAAAATATTGTTAATACACACCAAAGCACGGATGTCCCGCTCGGCCATAATGGCTAATGGGACACCGTTGGATACATCTCTCTGTGTGACATCTCTCCATTATCCTCTACCCCGTTCCTTATCTTTTCTCTAAAAGAAAGTACCCAGGGTGGTTTCGCTATCCCCGCTCCAAAATAAGTGGCAGACAGAGAGCCAGATGGGGGAGTGGAAATGGAAGGACAGAAAAAAACACGCTTCGGCACCAGCTGCTATCCTGAAAAGTGGTTACATTTATGGGAAGGGGAGCAGATCAAAGATGCTGAGAAACCATTATGCACACATGTGGCCTCTCCTTTTCATGAGACTCCAATGGGTCAGGTGGTAATGACCCCTCCTTTCACATTAGTGGGTGTTAGTGCGCCAAAGCTGACACAAAAAAAATGAGGTGATCAAAGAAGCTGTGTGCCAGTATTTTTGTGTGTTTGGAGGGAGAGTGGGATTTTGTTTTGTTTTGTTTGGCCATGTGTGTGGGGGCGTGAGCACAAATACCACCCCTGATGTCTTTATGGGCAGAGAAATGAAAATGGAATATCTGGTCACGGTAGTTGTAACCTACCAGAACATGAGAAAAATAAAACACAGCCGCGTTTAGAGTGTCTTATTGGCTCAGTTGTTTGACATTTAGCACTCAAAATCAATACTTTCTCCAAACTCATCAAAAATAGTGTCTCAATCTGTGGCCCTCACTTCAAAAATAAAGATACTGGTGTTTCTCCAAGCTCAGTTTGCTTTTTGCTAGTCTTTGTGTCGAGGTATAAAAGTGAATTTGCTGTATGTGGTTTGACTCTTACAGTATTATGCAGACATTAAACCAGAATAAATGGTGCATCAGTATGTTAGCTTACAGATAAATGTCTCATATTTAAGTTAGAGTGACAGACACTTGAACATTGGTAACAGTGAAGCAGAAAAGAAATACACACACATGCATACACCACAAAAGTCGCGTAAGATACAAGACTTGTGCACATTCAGCCGGCTAAACCAGCAAATGTTGTCACCCTTGTATTTTAGCAAAGCCACCAGTAGGGCTGGGCGATATGGCCTCAAATCAATAAATCAATATATATAGCAGTTCAACTCGATAATGATAAATGGACGATAACTACTCAACAAGCTGCTCGCCCCCTCCCACATTAACTTTGTCTCTTCAGTCGCTGCTCCAACCGCTACAGACTGGATGGGGTGGAGTCATGTCACCGAGGTACGACAGCATCTTAAAAAGGACATGAGACCATAGCCTACCTACACACATCCAAAGCCAACTTTTATTTATTTACTTTTTTGACACAGAATATTCCAATATAGGCAAAATGACGTTGGTTGTTGTCGTAAATTTCCGTATCGGTAAGTTTTTGGTTTATCGCCCAGCCCTAGCCACCAGCGAAGCAATTCTGTGTAAGAGCTTCTGAAAACAAAGAAATCAGAATATTTGGTTCCAGATTTGTTTTCATAACTATAGACATGATTTCTGTTATTAGTGATATTTCATACAGCAAAAATAAACCCCCACAAAAGTAAAACTCCAGGTTATTTTTTGGTAATTTGGACACAAAATTGAATTTGCCATATTTCAGAATTTCAAACTAGGAGAGTCCCATTATCTTTATCATCTATTTTGGTTTCCTACTATCAACATACAGGCAAACTGTCCCATTAAGGAGCTTCTCTATTTCTGTGAAGACCATCTGACAATCATCTGTTTTCCTGGTGACCTATGTGACCACTCCTGTCCCATCCGCAGACCCAACAGTTGATCATTACAGACGAGGAAACTAGTCGCTCTGGAACATCCAGGGACAGTCAGTGACACTTGAATCAGTCCACTCTCTCCAATGTTCAATTCACCCGACAACCTCCTCCAGCTATCAACAAAAGCAAAGCACAGATATCCTTTTTATACTGCATCACTTTGGTGTCTGTTCAACACAATAAGTCAGAGGGAAATATCCAGAAATTATACTCCAGGGGGAAATTCAGTGTCATAATTTGTCACGCGTGGGTTTGCAGACCAAAGTTTTGATGACTTGAGAGAGAGATGGATGAAAACAAAAACAACAAGAGTGAAAATGATTTTTACTTCTCGTCATTCTCTTCTAGATTTTACTCTAAAATGTAAAACTATAATGGATTTCAACATTATTTTTAATGTATAACATTGTCCCTTTGAGATTAAAATGTCACTACTGTCTTTGTTTTGGAGGAAACTATAGAGAAGACAAAATAAGTCCAATGCATTATGAGATGAATATGTACATCTCCGAACATAAATCTTATCCTCTCACTACAAATAATCAAAAAATACATAAATCTTCCGCAGAATTACAATGTAAAGCAGCTCCCCAGCTCTTGCATCTTTTACACTGCAAAACACACCAACTATTAAGTATTCAAGGCTTCTGTAGAGGCCTCTGTAGACCCGCACTGTTCATTTGTTTGCCTTTTTGTGTCTTGCGTACATGTATGTGAACATTCCCTCCTCTTCTGTGTCTAAGGAGATCATCTCGTTCCTCATCTCCTCCCTGCACATCAACAGTCTCCAGAAGCACAAAGACAACAGCATGAGGAGCAGCCTTTGGGTGCTGCTGCCAAAAATATTTCAGCATGTAATCATTCCCCGACATCACAACATGACTCACATCACATCGAGTAACACAGTAGTAACAGCTGCAACAGCAGGACATGAGTGTACGAAAAAGATGCAAATAAAGACCAGCGCACCCCCTCCAGCAGAGGTCAAACAGAGAGGAGAAAACAAAAACACACAGGTGACAATGAACTCATCAGAAGCCCATGCATATTCCCATAAATATCAATTTCTGCTCACCTTGTCGACTACATTAAAAGTGCCAAGAGTGACCTTCCTAGATGATAATATACAGCCTGGAGTTTCTGTGTGTACACTGTGGTGCAGTTCTAACTTCTCATCACTAGGAGGTGCACTTGTATGAAGCAAAACTTCATCTGCACTTCCCACATCCTCAGCTCTCAAGTTCCTTCACTCACAAAACAGCCATAACAACAAATTTAGCATGTCCTGTGCAGCCACGCGTGTGTCAGCGGAATATACAGCCAGGGTTGTGAGTTGAATTAATACTACCATGGAAGATGTGATGGGTTGAACTTTTCCAGCTTAAATCTTTGATTTTGTAAAGTTTAAGATGCTTGCTTGGCAAATTAAACACCCAAAAAACATCCACACATTTAAATCTAATCACAGCCCAATTGAGGTTGACTTTGTTGGTTAAATCCTAAAACACATTTAAGTAACATTTGAGCTCTCAAACCATTAAAAAAATCAATGCGAGTAATGAGGGGTAAATCTGGTGTACACAGACCTACATTCAGAGGGGGGTTCCCTGGTGGATAGGGGGGTAGTTCCCCTGTTTGCATAACCCAAAAGAGCAATCGTTAACCTTTAATGTTCACTCAAAGAAAAATAATAATGGCCTACTTACCATATTGACTTCTGAGACCATGTCTATGCTGGCTATGTCTATGTTCATTCCCACTCCAACCGGACGACCTAGGACACATGAAGAACACCTTCATCACACACAGATATAATAACTCATTGACATACATTAAGGAGAAATGGTTATAATGTGCGTGATGGGGACACAGATTTGAGAATTTGGCGGTTGTCAGCCGGATAATAGTTGACAGTGTTCATTTCGGGTGGGATTAGATCCGCTGAGCTGCGGTGAAAGTGCTGGTAATACCCCTAAAAGTTGTTGACATTTAATCGCAAGCCCTGGACATGCCTGAACATGAAGCCCTGGCAGAGAGCACCTGAAGTGGAACATGCGTAAAAACTCAAACAAAAAAAGAAAGAAACAAACAAACAAACAAAAAAACAAGTGTATGTCAAATTCCTAAACTAGTCAGATTAATTTTCACCGATTTAATTTCTCATTGTGATAAAAAGATGCCGTGTTTATTATTATCTTTTGCTTTACTCTTGTTATATCGCATTTCTAGCCACCTTCTGGGCTGTTTTGGCACATTTTGCCTCGAGAAAAGGTGGTTTCTTACTTTCCGAACCGAAGCCCATTCCGGTGATTTCTTTCTTTTTTTCCCCCCTCATTGTTGTCATGAGCACTGTCCTATCACACAGGCTGACAAAGCTCAAACTCGGACAGAGTTGGTGATCAAAAACGAGTTGGTTTACCTCCGAAATCTGGCCTCAATCGTATATCATAACCTTTCAAGAGTCTATCCACCGTATCTTTAACCACAGACATATTGCTTGGATCGTTGGCAGTAGTACTATGGAAGAAAAGAAGAAGAGAGTAAAGGTGCACAGAAGCTTTCAAACCGAGATATTACAGAGGCATTAAGTGTGGCAAGTATTTTCCACGCCGTCTGTAACACACTTGGTAAAAATGTGTGGAGCTTCCTCCTTCCCTTCCTCTTACCTTTGCGCGCTCGCCACGGACATTACGACAGGGAACAACCACACGCAAAAACACCTCATTCTTCTTATTCTGAACACTGCCATACTTGTGTTAAAGGTTCTTTTTTTTCTTCTTTTTGGTGAAGAGAAACGAGGTCCAACTTATTCTCGCCAGTGCAGTAATTCCAATGCCGGGCGCATGCGTATTAGCGACCACAACATGAAGAAGCGGCGCTGCTGCTGCTGCTGCTGGTCGTGGCAGAGGTAGTACCCAACCACAGAGGAAATTTAAAGGAGAACTAAGACTAGAAGTTACTCTGGGGCACACTGGGGTATCCCTGCTCCTGTTGTTGTTTTTTTTAAACCCAGAGTGGGTGCTTCAGAGGCGGTTATCAGGGAGTGGGTGGTTCAAATCCACGGGAGGGGGGATGGAATGTGGGTGGGGTTAGACTGTTTCCTCTCTCTTTTTCAGACCAACTTATCACGGAGTCCATGAGCAAGGCACTCATCCCCGCTGAACCGCTTGGGGGCTCCCAGCTGGTGATTTAATTGGACAGTTCCTGTGGTGTGAATGCACGACACGTCTTCAGCCTGATTCCCAATTAAGTAGAAAAAAACATAAATAACACTTTACAATAACCAGCATTTATAAATAGCAAATAGATCGTTTATTAATGTAAGTTAATAGCAATGAAATTATGATTAATAAGTTTCATTAATTATAAATAGACTATTTATTAAATAGGACTTAAATAAAACATTTAAATTTAAATGTGTGACAGTAGCACTTTGTAAATGGTTAATATTTGGTTTTTAAACCATCTATAAACATCCCACTGAGCAATAGACAGCAATTAGACATCTAGTTTTTTTTTTAGACCTAATTTCAACCGTCTAGATTCTGTACATTTGTAGATGGAATTTAGATGTTGCACTTTAGCTCATTATTCAATAACTATTCATTTCAAAAAGCAACCGTGAGTTGCATTACTGATCTCCAAGTACTTCAGCAAAATAAGTATGATAGCCGTTGAGCGATATACAGTGTAGTTTAGATATAGCCCAGATTTAGGTGTGGTCTAAATTTAGACGTCTAAAAAACTTTAATTTTTAAACCTGTCTAATTTTAGACCAGTCATCTAGGCTACATTTAGACGTCTATTAGACCTCTTTGTAGACCAAAAACTGCTCAGTGGGATTACTTAGATGGTAACTGTAAAGTTGCAATTGATGTTTTTAATACTTTGTAAATGATTAATAAGTGGTTTATAAACCACTTATAAACAATACTTAGATGGTTATTGTAAAGTTAGGGTTAGGTTTTTAAAATTGCAAAATGTACAATGTTTACCATTAATGGTTATTGTAAAGTGTGACCAAAACATAGAGGAAAACTTTGTTCTTTTGTTATTAATGTTTACTTTGAGTGAACCAATACAACTTTCATAATAATCACTGTAAACAATGACTCAGTTTCTGTTCTAGATACAGGGTGTTCTGTAAACAACTCCTTATATCATGTTTTCATTGTAAAAATATTGTTTCTAAGTCACATTAACTCATCATTGCATGTGTGTGAATTACGTGAGGGGGTGATTTTCATCTAAATTTTTTATTTTTGACAGCTGTAGGACTGATCTAGCCGGGGTTATTCATAGTTTAACTCTGTCTATGGTGCTGAAACCTCTTGTTTCAGTCCCTGCCGCATTCCAACGCTGTCCATGGTACTGCAAGTCCTCCCTCCACTTATTACTCACCACAGGAAAAGGGGGATTCCGTGCCATAACTGCATCTCTGCTTCAACACTTGCTCACGCATCGATCCCCACGCATTTAGGGCCTCTGACGACAACGAGAAGTGTGGCTTAATACTCTGAGAGGCGTTGTCAATGCAGAGCCTCGGGGTAGAAAGCAGGATGCATGGAGCAGAGCAGCATGCACTGAAGCTTACAGTCAGTGCAGCAGCTCTCACAGACATGCACGCCTGTGGCTCCACGCACTGGTGAGCAGGATGTGCGCCACTCACCGTGTAAACTCGGCCACGAAACGTCATGGATATGGTGGGATCAGAGGCGGATGCTAGAGCAGTGAGCTATATGTAGGACTCCTGCAGCGGCTCCACTGCCTGAGAGAGGAGGGGGCAGAAGTGATCCGAGCAGGAAGATGCTTGATGCTCTGCAATGTTAGAGCACAAATGGAAACAGCGACTGTCTAACAAGCGACTGAAACATCAAAAAGAGGAAGTAAAATAATATATTTAAATATATGGTTTCATGTACTATATATTTAAACTGAAACACTGCATATTTTTTACCAAAAGGGGGCGTTGTGAAATGTTTAGAATTTGCCAAATAAAATGCTATAAAGAAGCAATAATTCATGTTTTAATGCCAATCCCATTACTTAAACTGATATTATATGAAGAAGTAGTTGATGTGAAGATTGGAAAGCTTAATTTAATTTGGCATCTGAGATTTTAGCTTGAAATATATTTTATATTAATACAGCAAAAGTCACTTAATACTATGAAAAATGAAAATCTTAAAAAAAAATTTAACATTTTGCATAATTGAGGGGACAAAGATAAATCCAAAGGGAGTGACCCCATTTTTTCCTTTTGAATTGAAGCAGTATATCTCGCACAGGAATGCTCAAATCAAACAGAGCAGAGTCATGCTTACTCCATGAACAGAGGTTTGCCTGGCACTAAGATTGCTGCCCCAGTGTTAAGAGGAAGAAGAACTTTATTAATCCCTGAAGGGAAATTCAATAAGCATATCAAATACAGATGTAGTTTAGATGACTATGTCCTCACATTGTCTCTGGATTTTTAAGTTGGTCATCCTTGGTCTTGGTCACTTTCACATTGTAGTTTTAAATCAATGTACGAGTTTAGATGGGTTGTACCCATAGACTGTATATACCATGGACAACTTGTTTCCATATTCTGCCAAGATACGGAATTGAAGCCATATCCCCTGGGTGAGCTACGCAATCTTCGTACGTCCATAGGCTGTATCAAGTGTCAATTGTAGAAAACATGAACCCCCTAATAACTTTAAAAAACAGCTGCACAGAAAAAAGATGGCTTAGGCACAAACCAGTCTTACAGTCACTACATGTCAACATCGCAACCAGGGGAGAGAAAAGTTTATATTCTATGGAATTAGTTTCTGAAGTGTGTCCACAGCCCCATTAGCTTATAGGCTTTGCTGGTGGAGGAGGGATTTATGACCTGTACTGCAGCCCATCACCAGAGGGTGCTGTTCTCAAAGCGGCTTCACCCAGCAAGGAGGCAGATGCTGTCAATTCTATATGCAGTCTATGGTTGTACCCGGTCTCTGCCAGGGTTGACCCTCATCACTGGTGCTTTTTGTTATTTTCATTGTGATAGGATCTCGAGGTGCAGCCAAAGGAAACCAGCATCTCCAGTTTGGGGTCTTTGTAATTCCATCTCTGACCTTTATGGATGATGTGGTTCGGTTGACCTCTTCTGGTCAGGACCTCCAGCAGGCACTGGGGGGTAGATGAGTGCAAAGTGGCTGGGATAAAAGTCAGCACCTCCAAGACTGAGGCCACAGTCTTCTGCTGGAAAAAGAAAAACTCTACCCAGGTGGGAAGTGAGTCTTCACCCCAGGTGAAGGACTTCAAGAATCCTGGGTCTTGTTCACAAATGAGGGTAAATAGATCATGAGATTGGCAGGCCTGTGTTGTATTGAACCATTGTATGAAGGACACAAAGCTTTCAATTTACCAGTCTATCTACATTCCAACACTCACCTTTGGTCGTGAGCTATGGGAAGTGACCGAAAGGATCAGGTCGTAGATACAAGCAGGTGAAATGAGTTTTCTGTAAAGGTTGGCTGGGCTCAGCTTTAGAGAAAGGGTCAGGTTCTGTCGGGGTAGAACTGTTGCTCCTTTGCATTGAAAGGAATCAGTTGAGGTGAAGTATTCCCACTGGATGTCTCCCTTTGGAGGTTTCCATCGAACTGAGAGGAGGCCCCAGAGCTAACTGGAGGGATTAAATATCCCACCTGGCCTGGAGAAGATGGATGCCTAGTTTGACTTGCTTTGGCTGCTGCCCCTGCAGCCTGACCCTGGTTAAAGGGATATTCCAGCGTAAAATTAATTTAGGGTCAAACACATCGTAACACCTAGTTAGACACCCCCTCGAGAGATGAATGTTGCCGACCGCTTGCTTCTCTAGTTTTACCAACTTTAGTAACGACCACAGGATAGCAATACAGAGAGGTCTTAGGAGCCATACACAAACCTCAACCAACAAGCCACTCTATAGCCACAAATAATGCTCAGAACAGCACCTAACTTCATCAACAGTACATACTGGGTCCCAGCCATAGTACTAACCACCAAACATCTTTTTAACTTTGCCTAATTTCTTTAGCAAAGATACTAAACACAACTTACCCACTCTCCTCCAGCAGCCACTTGTTTGTAGCGAGACCTCAGGCCAGTCCATTATGGACTGCTGCGGGGTTACGCAGCTCAAGGAAGAACATTTATGATCATTTCTTTATGGAAAAGCAATCAGACCAAGACGCTAAGGCAGAAGAACTACTGCGTCTGCAGTGCAAAATGATTAATATGATGATTATTACTTCAAGGAAATGATAAAGAAATAAAAGACGCAAATTGTGCAGGAGTTGAAAATGTCTCAACTTGAGCGGATATCCGCATCATGGTAACAAATACGCAAATCCTTTTCTTTCAATTACCGAAACTGGAATAAAAAGGAACTCACCTGGAGGCAAGTGAGTGAGGTCGGATTACCTGGTAAATTGTCAAAATGAAGCGAGTAAATTCTATTTATTCATGTGTTCAGATTTGCGTGAATTAAGCGAGTAGATGATTTTACTCGCACTTGGTGTGAATGCCCCTTAAGTCTTCCAAGTAACAGAAAGATAGAGAAAACATGATAACTTTAGCATCTGTATAAATAAACAAATTAATTCAGAACACATGTATCTTAGTTTGGTATCCAATCACACTCAGCTATAATAGCCTTTAAATAAACTGCCAAGGTTTTAAAATAACCTAAAACCTTCATTAAGTAACCTGTGGGGCCACCTGGTAACCTACTGACCGGAACAACTAGAAGCATGGAGTATTACCAAGAAACGCATGCACAAGGATTAGCACCATGGACAGCACTCAAAACAATTGGCACGACTTCCCTAATAGGCCTGCCACCATCTTTTATGTCAGTTATGTAATCACCTTCCCCTCTAACTCACAGAAAACAAACACAGCTTCCATCAGATCCTAACCCAAATCTCTCTGTCTTTTTATGCACGCACAGATTTTAGTGATTGTCCTGTACAGCGAGTCAATCTCCCGACAAGTTTGCAATG